TAATTAGGTATCTTTTGAGTCAATCTATCAAACATTTAACTGAATAAATGTATTAATTCTGCATTGAAAATTTGCTCCAAAGTTGGTCAGTTGAAGCAAAGTCTTTGCAGTGAATGAAAACTCTCAGCAACACGTATTTACTCTGTACGTGATGAGTTATATTACTAGAGCTGGGCACATGTCTGTTTGTTCTTTTTCAAAAAGCGATTATTACTACCTTAAAGTTTTCTATGATGTCGTCATTTTCGCGCTCCAACACGCTCTTGTACAATCATGATACTGTAAAGAGCTATTTGGAAGCTGGTTCAGGCTGAGCCAAAAGACCTGAACCACTAAAAAGAGCCTGAAACGATCACTAGCAGCATTTGGGCGATTGAGGTTTCATACCTGAAGAAGAAGAAGAAGGATCCCAACTTTGCTCTTACATATTAAGATGGATCACGGACAACTTAAAGGTACATTGAATCGCATAACTTTGTGATTTTATACACTTGCAGCTTCATTTTTCTTGAGAGAAAATGACTCGTCGTAGTTTTTTTATGTTGCCCTAATACTCTGTTATTCGTAAGAATATCCTAGATGTCACTGCACCTTTAAGAAACTTCAGAGTCACCCACAGTTGATTTTTGACTAAAGTAACGGATTACCTAACATTATAGTTCACACACTTCAAAACAGCCAACAGAGTAAAGTTTTTGGTCACCTCTGCATCTAACTGATTTGCTTGTCTCCTGCAGGTATCATCGCCGTGGTCATCTTCACCATCTTATGCACGCTGGTGTTCCTGATCCGCTACATGTTCCGTCACAAAGGCACCTACCACACCAATGAGGCCAAGGGCAGCGGGGAGTCCGCTGGAGAGTCTGCAGACACAGCCATCATCGGCACCGACAACCCAGAAACCATTGACGAATCAAAGAAGGAGTGGTTCATCTAACGGCCAATGAAAGGAGTCTGAGACAGGACGTGATTCATCAGACCACCTGTTGGTTAAATTCAATGACCAATCACAGGAGAGATGAAGAAAAAGGCCGTTCAATAAAGACAATAATCCCCCAGAGAGAGCAGGAATGTGGGATAGACTGTACAGAAATCTTTTGTTTGTTTGATTTGTTTTTGTTTTTGTTTTTTTTATATATCCAGAGTATTAGAGAGAGAAGGAGGACGGTACACAGCAGAACACAGCTGTAACAGACTGTACATGTACATACTAACCGGCTTGTCCTTCTTTGTATCGTGCTTGGGAGTTTTCAGGAGTCCTTTGAATACTGTATATGACAAATAATTATACTTACCGGGGTCATGTGATAGCACAGATTTATTGCCAGTCTCTGTTGCGTTTTATTTTTTAACAAAAATCTAATATCAAAAATGATCAAATCGACATGCCAAACCCCCCTTCCTCCTTTTTCAGTCATCAGGCTGCGGTTGCACCAGCCTGTCAACACTCATCAGTCAAACTACATGCCACCTATACTGTGGCAATATAGACATGAATATGGATGCCAAACATCACAATGTAAATACAATATTTTGTGTTATTTTTTTCTTTTTCTTCAAAGATTTATTCAGAATCTGATACATAAACACTACTGAGAAATTCAGAACTATATTACATAAATGTGTGTCCATTACATTGTATATGTGTGAAATATAGATTTTTATGTTGAAACCTTTATGACATTCGATTGTATGAGACATTCCTTTCTGAGGACGAGCAGAGGTGTTTCTCAGAGCATGATGGGAAATCATGACACTCCATTAGCTTGTTTCATTCAGCACGGCAGCTTTTTTCGTTAAAAACGAGCGAAACCAGGAGCCTTTACTTGTTCAGACTTGAGCAGTCGGTTTGTTTCTTTGCCAAACACTTGAGTCTTACATCCTTTTATAGATCAGTTTAGACTTTTGCGTTCAATGTTTGAGGATTTTCTCGCAATCTCTCAAGGCTTGCATCGAGGACAAAACGTTGGGCTGATGGGTCAGTGCATGCTTGCAGCTGTGCATACTCTTGCAGCTCAGTTAGGACAGTCACACAAATAGGATGCAAATTTTTCTTTTTTGTTATATCCATGCACTAAACTCCATGTACAAATGGCTAGAAAATGCCACTTAAATTTGTAAAATATCTGGGATAGGTTGAGAAAATTGGCTTACTAATGCATTGTGCCTTCAAGGTGTAGAGCCATATCGCCTTGTCCCGGACAACTGAACTCAAAACGCAGCAAAAACTTGACCACTCCTGCATGAATCCTCATGAATCAAAGTTTTCAGGTGTTTTTGTTGTCCCTTAATTTATTGGTGCTCTTTTTAGTTGCCCTTCTAGCTAATGTCAAATCCCCACAAAGACTTACTCTTTCTCCAGCATATCTGTGTAGGTTCGTAGGCAGCAAAAAGCAGCTTTATTTATGTGGAGGAGAGCTGCAAGCTGCACAATGCAAAAGAAGTTTACACCTACCCGTTATGACGCACACAAACATGCATGAAAAGCATGAGTCAAGGTTGTTAGTTTGATTCTGGGAGTGACGTAATCAGAACGAGGAGGCTGCTGCTTTGCCAACACTGAATCGAGCTTCTCTCGAATGGTGCCACTGTCATCCACAACATGCGTTCGAAATATGTACAATGTGTATTTTCTGACTATTTTCCTAACTTTATTGCTTATGTTTACCTTACCGTAGCATTTACAGAACAGTTTGAAACCAGCTGCCAACTTAAATATTGCTTTGTGAACTTGCTTTTTGTATGTTTGTTTGGTCGAATTGCTGCCATGTCGCCCTGTTACATGAAAGGTTTTGATGTTTTGGTCTCATGGTCGAGTGCGAACCGTCCATCAGAGGTATTTATCGGAGAAACTCAGCCTGCCTTCTACTGCAGCCTCAAAGGAGACTCTCTCTGTCCACACACACCACATCCATGAAAGGCAAAACCAGTGACTTTCCTCATTTTTCAAAGATTACTTTCCAGAACATGCCCTAAATGTGGTTGGAACATGGTTCTGATGGTTTTTCAGCTCAGACAGACAAAACCATAACCCATATGTTTGCTTTCAGTTCTATTGAGTTCAATAAAGAGTGTTTGATCTTTCGTGTCGGTGTCAGTGTTCAAAGATGGAAATGACAGGAGTAAAAAAAAAAGAAAAAAAATCTCTAAAGCTGCAAAAAAATTCCACACAGTCAAGTTAAAGTGACTTTTAATGTTGTGTTCTTGGGATTTAATCTTATTCTTTCTACTGTCATGATGTGACTGTATTTGAATTAGGTGGACATTTAATGGTAGACTGCCCCCTTGTGGTCAGATTGGGCAACTATTTTCACACAGTTTAAAACACAGCCCTTGGTTCACTTTGTATCCCACATCTACAGATACAGCCTCAAAAGGATGAACGTCCCTAAGAATTTCATTTTTTCATGAAATTTAAGTCAAAAAGTTAGAGTCAAGGAGTCTGTTCCAGGCTTTAGGATACATAAACAAACTAGAAAAGCACTCGGAGAGCGCAGACCTCCACCAAGCAGCTCATGTCCCCCCTTATATTGTGATTCACACCAAAACTTTTACTGTTACGTGTCTCTTATTAACTTTTATTTGTGTTTAAACTGGTATGTTCACTGTTCATAATGTTCCCAAAACAACAAAGCTCATATTAGATACATAAATGCATGATTTGTTATGCAGTGTTTGTAAGCCTACACTTCCTTGTATCTTCATTGGTTATCTTTCAGCTTTGAAAACTCCAACAACACCCTTATTTTTGTGTGTTCTGGATCACAGTATCCAGAATTTTGTCTGGATCAGGATCAACCTTTGACACCTCATAAAACTCATTGAGATCCTTTTGTGTAATTTTTTACTATTATTTACTTATTAACTATTACTATAGTTACTATTATTTACTTATTATTTACACTTATTTACTGTCCTTGAAATTGAACACTGGAAAAATATGAGATAAACTCTAAAATTTGACATGTCGGAGTGTGTGCAACTGACCTGGCTCGCCAAACAGCTCAACTCCCAGCACAGCATAGGTGAAGAAAAAAATTGAAGCGCAGACAAATACTTCCAACCTGAAATCTAAGAGCACGTTAGATCCTGTGCATCAAAAACTACAATGTTCAGCATGTGCATCTTCAATCTGGGACCAGGACTGCATAAAAAAACACAGCCTTGTCACTTTTTCTGATGACAGAGAAAACCTTCAAGATCACTTTACAATTATAATGCCCAACAAAAGTTAATGATCCCACTGTGTCTGTTTACCTCTGATGGGGTCCTCTTGGTGGTATTTTCTTGGCCTTCAGCACAGAGACACAGGGAAGCTTTAAAAATCATGAAAACGTAATAAGTAAATCTGTGTAAATTATAAATTGTAAATATCTGTGAAGCTTTCAGATTTTTAGGGATTAAAACGAATAACTGAACTGTGCTGTGTTGGCTGTTCCATAAAAAGAGTGACCCCTGAGGTAAGTTGTCAAAGTTCAACATCTTTCTTGTCCAGGGATAGATGGCAGCCAGACATTCACTTTTGGTGATGATGTTTCTGTCCTGACCAAAGCAGTAGAATAACTTCCCTTCGAAGGCTGAAGTGTGTGGGAAATAAACACAATCAAGTTTGGATTATGATTAATGTCAAAATTTCTATTCTGACCCACTGGGTAGCTGAAAACAGATGCTGCTGACACTTTTTTATATATAAACACTTCATTTTGACAACTGTTCAGTGACTTTTAGCTGTTTGGAATCATGGTGCCCATATTTTTTCTCCTTATGTCTCAGTTTGTACACAATTTGTACTTTCACATTGTTTCAAAATAGGTAGCCCATGATCATTCGCTTTAGTAAGCTATGATATTTTAGCAAAAAGGGGCTTTGTAGATATAAAAAAAAAATAAGAGAATAATGGGTTAAAATTACAAGCCAAAAGACTTACCTGAGAGAAAAACTCGACAGCTAACCTGCAATGAAAGGCTATAAAGTTGTTTGAGTATGTCTAAGTTTGAAAATTAAAAATACAATAAAATTAAAAATACATAGCATTTTAATCATCATTATTATTATTATTATTATTATTAATTTATTTATTTAGTCATGTATCCCTCCTGAACTCTGGTTCCATTGCAGTGAAACACCAGTAGGGGTCAGTATTGGAATAGACAATTAAATCAGTCCCACAATTCCTTATCTCAAATAATTTATGCAAAAGAAATAATCAACACTAAAACTTTTGTTTTAAGGTTTTATTTTTATTGGCTTTGAGCTTGTTTAAAAAAAACATAACAAAAGACAATCAGCAGTCACAGAAATCCTAAAAAAAAAAAAGAAAAACAGCATTCACAGTCTTATGTACTCTTTCCCTTTCTTTCACCGCCTGGCCTTTGGATTTCCTCTCTAATGCAGCAGATAATGCAAGATGGAGAAAGTGAGGTCTCAAATAGGATTGGACTTAGTCTTTGGTTGCAGCGGGGGTTGAGATAAATGCTTCATTGTCTCCAATGTGGTTTTTGTGGCGTCACAGACACCACCGCTCGAGGGGGGGGTTAAGTGAGAGACCTCTAAGATGAAAGACTTGGCAAGTGATGCAGATTGAAGTATTGGCAGCAGCAGGAGACTCCTCAGACTTCAGGGCACTCACCTGTTAACCCACAAGGAAAGGTGAGTAAGCAGAGGTATTTCCTGTTTCATAATTATCAAATTACATTGACATTTAGGTGTGCTGTAGCATACCATTTTGGGGAAGCATGACGATGTTATCAGGGAGGATGCCAGTATTAAGGGAGAGCTGTGTGAACTTCTGCTGCAGCCCCTCATTGACCACAGTGCCTCGGCCTGCAAAATGAGATTAGTATATTTTTTATTTTCCTACGTTCACACATTTACTTGTTCTGTTTCCTGATGTGTGTCTGTCCCAACTTACTGTAGAGCTTGTTCAGCACCTCGGACACTCCCGCCTTTGTCTTGATAGTGTGGACCATCGCATAGTCATCATATACAACATCTACAATGCGCATGTCGTTGTCATTGTTCCAGACTGAGGAAAGTAAAACAGACAGATCAGGCTGCTGGATTCATGTATGTGACACTCTTGTGTGGTTTGACATTTGCTGAGCTGTACTCACTCTGGCTATGGAAGGTGTAGCGTCCGGGAGTCTCTGATTTCCTAGCAAGATGAGTCATTCTCCAGCAGGTCCCGTCAGCACTAAGGGACAGAAAACATTTAAGGGTTAGTTATTTCGGCTTTTTCGTCAGAGGAGACTCGTTGATTTGGATGTTTTACTCACTTCAGGTTAGCATATGAGAGGTCCATGTCTCCCACCTCAGTTGGTGTTACTACAGCAGTGCCTATCTTCATCCCTCCTTTGTGTTCCACAAACCACTGAGCATTGGTGGCAAAACCAACAAGATACCACTTGCCTGCCATCTGGAATACAGGATGTTGCAGAGTAAAGTGAGTGTGAATGCTCAACTAACCACATTCTTCTTTCTATATGAAGTTTTTACAAGTCCAAAAGAAACAACTCTGGTTATCATATCATTTATCTGCAGCTGCTGTTGGCCAAAGAATGACCAACTCTATCTTACCTTCTGCAGGTCAAAGTCTGCGACCGGTGCGACCTCAGCACAAGCCGACACCACGCACATCAGGGCGGCCAGCATCCTCACCATTGCGCTCTTCATGATTCTTCGATATGATCTTGGCTTCTCAAGTAGTGAGTGAAGTTCCAGGGAGAAGTGCGGCTCTCCAAGGTGACTGCAGGCTATTTATATCCTGCAAAGTCTTGCTCCCCATCCCCTCCTCCGCTGCTTTTCTCCTCCTCTTTTACCCCCTTCCTTTGCTTGTTACTCGATTACAAAAACTCCCCAGTCTTCACCCACTGCAATGCAAATCACTGCTGTTACACAACTGGCACGTGTGGATAGAGAGGGAGGAGGTGGTGGTGGAGGGGGTCAAGGGGAGAAGGGGGTGCATAATAGGGTTCTTTTACCACCCCTTCCTTTGGCCTCCCCATCCACAAATGCTCTTGCATGCTTGGACTATTAAAACATCTGTTTGGTAACCATTTAGATAACTTCAGCATACGGCATACAGAAGCTTTAAAACAAAAACCCTACACAGACATAAACAAAGACACTCTTTGGCCCAGTGGGCCCATTCAAAGTTACTGCTGTGGGATTACTATCGCTCAAAAGAATAGGAATTTCACACTTTCTTAATTAACTTCAGTGATTTTTTAGCGTCTTGCATCAATGAAGTGCCGGCCAAGGTATTTAGAAACTTAATGAAATTTGTAAATGTAATATACTCATTTAAAGTTTACATAAGAGGAATTAATTATGTAACTAACACCTTTTTAGTTGTAAGTCAACAGTAAACATGGATTTAAAAGATTCAGTTTAACCGTGTTATAGCAATCAACAACGATTGTCTCACAAATGATTATTCAATATGATAGATGAGTCTGAAGTATTTGCACGGTTTTCATTCAGAACTATAAAATGTGCTGAGTAGCCCTAAATCCACCATATTGATGGACTTATCTAAGCTTCCTTTGTTAAAACAGGAGCTGACTTGCAATCAGCTGATTATGTAATGGACACACAGACAGACACACACACACGCACAGAGGTGTTGGGTGGGGCTAAGAGCAGCCTCAGGATGCATATTTTGTAACCCAGTTCTGTAACAGCACTCTCCCAACCCCCTAAGGGCTCTACATCTGATCTGCATTAACTCTAGCCCCAACCCCCCTCCTCTGGATCCTCACACACACTCTGAATGCACACAGAGGTGCTGCGATTGTTTTCTCTTGAGCTTAAGCCTTTTAATGTAAATTAATTACACAGAGCAGCTCATACGGGAAGACAGCAGGTGACAAATTTTTGAATAGTTTTGTCCTGCAAATTTTAACAGATACTGACACAGTGCTGCATGGAGACTAAATGCGTATACCTTACTTTTATTAGACCAAACCCTTCAATAGATTAATTAGTTCACCTTAAAGATATTTGCAGATATCAGATCAATGCAGAAGATTTATTTGGTGCAGCAAGTTCAGTCAGTCACTTTATGCATTCAAGGACTTACAAAACATCCCAAAATATTCTCAAACATTTGCAAGTAACAGAACCCTGGGTTGAAGAAGATGCACAATGAGTTGAATTAAAGTTAAAGTCTGATAAGCCTTGCACTAAATTTGTGGCATAGAAACATCTGGACCTTTTTTTTCTTAAATAGAAAACATTTGATCATTACTTGTGCTACATTTTGTTCTGTGAGACATTTTTTAAATCTTAATGCAGTCTTGCTTCATCTTTCTTGCTGAAATCCCCTTTTTAAATTCAACATCAGTCAAATATCTGTCTTGAGAGTTTTCTGCCACTGCAGGCCTGGATCCGCCTGCAGCACGGCAGAGCTCAGCATGTGGGGACACAGTCTGTGAAAATAAAAAAGTAATGATTTAATTGCAAAGAGGCGAGGCTGCTGTTTTCACCATGCTATGGAGATTGAATAACATGTTTTCAATCAAGTTTAAATAATGATTGTTACACAAGTTGAAACCCACACATGCACAGCCTGCAGGAGAAAACGTGAAAATGTAAGAGAAGGTCGCAGCAGGTCAATTTTTTTCCTTCGAAAGCAGCACTCTTTGGCTCTTTCTCTGCCACCAGCTCCTTCACTTTTTTTCTCTCTTTTTTGTCAATGCTTTCGTGTCTACATGAGGTCTATGTTTGCTGTGTAAGTTCAAGCAAGGCCATAAAAGAAATATCCCAAACTAGTTTTTTTTGAATGAGTACATAAGTTTGTACATAAAAGCGATGTCGATAAACAGTCATCGGTGTGACCTCTGCTCATAGAAATGCACGAGTGAAGCTTTTAACTGTTTCACAGCAGAAAAGATAGGTGTAAAATAGTTCTGCAGCCTTTCATCAGCGCATGAGCTCGGATCTGAATGAACAGCAGAATACAATGAATAAGACCCGAGAAGATGCTCACTGATACTATGAGGCCTGCAAGCTCCATTTAAGACCAAAGAATTCAGCAATTCCCTTGTTGTTCAATTGTAATCAGATTAAAGTGATCTGGTTAGATGAAGTCTAGACTGTGTATTATTTCTAAGACCAAGAGAAAACAACAACATTAAAGCACTATGATGGAAACACATGAAAGGAAAGCCTAAAATAGAAAACTGAAAATGAAAATGAAGGTAACATAAAAATGGCAGAAACAGGACCTTATATACGATATCACAGTGTTGAAATATGAGCATAAAAGTAACAGTGCAGTGTTGTATAATTAAAGACCCTTCTGCACAGCAAATATCTGCCCTTTAAATGCACTGAGTTTCAAAATCTCCTTTTCAAATATGGAGTATATAAACTCATTTAAAGCACCGGTAATCCAGATTTGGTAATCCATAAAAGTATTTATTTGACTAAAGTCTACAGTTATCCTGTTTTTTAGGAAACTAGGACAAATGTGAATTAGATAATCTTACCCAGGAAAAAATAGGTTCTGAAATCAGGGTCATTCCTACCAGATAAAACTGTTTGAACAACCCAGTGGGCGCTGTGTGAATGCTGTGTTTATGCTCCCCTTTTAGTATCAGTCTGGCAGTTATCTTTCCGTTTACAGAATAATGTTTTTGTTTTCTTTAACTTACTGATCACATGGTCCTGGTCCACATCACCACAGTGACCTACAGAGTGGAAAAAACACACTGTTATTTAAAGGAAAGGGAGTACTTTATGACTGCATTTAAAGTCTTTGCAAACACCTTAGACATATGAATCAGTCTAAATGTGTTGAGCTACTTGAAAAGTAGCTCAACACATTTCAGTTTTCTCCTACAAAGACTACTGAAATAACTACCTGTTGTCACTGTAGATTATTTTGTTTCATATTTGAAGTATTAATGATGGACTTACTGTAAGTGGGAAAGGGAAAGAGGTAAGCCAATCCCAAATTCTGTTTTTCAGCAAGTTGCTCAAACTTGGTCAACATCGGCTCTGACAGATCGTCTACAGACCGTCCTGCACCCAGAGCAAGAAACACACATTACAAAATGCAAATGCAAAGTATTAACATACAGAGTAAATAATTATCACTTTGCTTTAAGATGTCAAATACAAATTATGGTCACATGACTGAGGAACCCACCGTAGAGTTTCATGGTGATCTTTCCTTGTTTCTGGAAGACCATGACAGCATAGTTGTCATAGTCCGTCTCCCCGATTACAATCTCAGTGTTGAGCTCTGGACGAGCACCTGGAGGAAACACGACTAAGATGTTGGCTGGAAAGAAAAACTCTGGTCATAGTGCTTGAATATAACAACTGAGACGCACTGACCTTTAAGAGTTAGCTTGCCAGGAGTTGGAGAGAGATCGTAGACTTGTAAAATCTCCCAACACAGATGGTTACTGATAGGAGCAGAGAGGAAGTTGAATTTGAAAAGCAGTTTGTAAAAACAAGCACTTTAGTTACACATCATTTTCTAGGATGCTTTCAACATTAACTTTTTATTCATCGCAGTCTGACTAATTTGTTTCCTGCAGATTGGTTGTGTCTTTTGTATGTGTCCATAGTTTTCCTCAAGAACTAAAAACTCCTACTGATTATGATTATTATTATGATTGCAGTGTTACGCAACCCCAACAGATGTCTCAGCCTGAAGCTGAAGATTGAGGTAGCTTTCTAACTTTGCCAAAGATGAAAGAACCAATAAGACTGTTTCCTTGGCTGGAGCCAAACTGTGTTTATAACCTTAAAATCACAACAAATATATCTTGGAATGTCCTGAAGAAACGCCTCATGGGTATTTCTCTGTTTATTGTGCAATGCTCTTTTTGTTATTCTGCTAAATCTGAAAAGGTCGAGATGACCTGCAATTTACGGGAATAGGCTGCTTGGATTTAACCGTCCTGCCTCCTCTTTCCTGTTTTTGAGGATACACCAATAAAACCAAACACATGTGGTTGAAAAATGAAGCAAGAGCTCTGAAAGGGGAAATCATAGCACAGCTGCCCCCTCTGCTGTTCAAAAGAGATACTGCAGAGTTGAAATTATCAGGACAACATGCTCAGTACTTACTGGCGTGTTTTAGTGCTGACAGACAGTGTTTGGTCAGAAGCGGAGGAACGAGTGAGGGTCATGACTGTGGGCTCCACCTTAGTGCCATGATTGATCAGGTATGAGCATTTGGAGGCAGTGTTGAGCAGGTACCATCTCCCCAACATCTACAGAGCAGGCAAACAGGAAAATACATCAAAAACTTCCCAAGCTGTAATTGATTATATTTGGGAGTAGAAAACAAGCTTTTGAGGGATTCTTGTGAGTAATTTCCACTCCCAGAAGGAAAAGCTTTACATTTTATTGACACATACAGTCCAGATCTGGTTTGTAATGTGTCCACTCACTGCTTCATCTGAACAATCAAAGCATTAAGAGAAAAAGCAGCATCAAACTCGCAGGGTGCAAAGGTCAGGTAACGGCACATTGAACTATTTACTCTGGTGATCTCAGGCTGAAGCTGCCCAGAAACAGTCAACAAACCAAAATGAGACCCTAGATTTTCTCTTTGAGTGTGACTTGTAAAAAAGAGCGAGTTTGCGACAAATTCAGTGCAGTTCTTGTTCCTTATCTCTTTAGTAAAATACACTCCAAACAAACTGGTACAGACACTGCTTAGAAAATACATAAAGCCAAACAGCCCTTCTGTGGTGCATAGAGTCCTTCTGCTGTATCTTACCCTCTGTATGTCTATGTTTTGTGCAGGTGGAGTCAGGTCAATAGGTTCAACCTTTGGCTTCTTACGAGGTCGTCTTTGGGGTCTTGGTCGACTCACAGCCCCCCCTACAGCTTCAGTCAAGCCCCACAGACACACACACATTAACACCAGCACTGCCAGCATGCAACGCCATACTCCAGCCATCAGAGCGTTCACAGTAACGCCTCCAAGGATCTGTATAGGACTCCTCAGGTACCTGGATTGTACTTGTCTCCTTTTTCTAAAGTAGAGCTTGTCTCTGCTCTCCTTTTTGTCTCTGTCTGCAGTCCTCCTTCTCTAACCTTCTTTACTCAACTTTAGAGAGACACAGAAAAAGCAGATAAACAAAAAAAAGACCAGGAGACAAACATTGTGAAACAGTGGATGGTGTATTTGGTTAAATATTAACTGGCTTTACTGGCACCGATGAGGCCATACTGCTGGACTGTTTAGTGCAGACAGCCATAAATGTGATGAAGTATTGACCTAAATATCTTTATAAACTCTATAAGCACAAAAGAATAATAACCAGAAGCAGAGGATATCTTAAACATTTATTAACAAATTACAAGTCTCATCAGTTTGATCTACAAATGGGGAAAAAAAACAAATACAGTGAAGCAATCTCATGACTTCCAGTGTTTTGAAATCCCTGCTGAACAAAACAACAGGTCTACATAGTTCAGGTACAGTGTGTTCCTTTGTATTTTAATATTAACACAAGTCAAACAAATTAAAGGTGATTAGTGACCATATTTTCTTCTTCTTTTTTTTGTTGTAACATCACTGGGTTAGCCACCGTGTCAAATTATCATTCCAACTGCACTTTTGATCAAATTACTTTCATCGCACACAAAGTTTCTAAGTCACAAAAAGTTCTCAGCAATCAGAATAACAATATACTTGGTTGGATTTGTAGACTTCTCTCCGGTACATTTATTTGAAGTTCTGAACAACAGGCTGAGATTTATTTAGTATAATAAACCTCATCTATTCCTTTTGCCACATGTGCCACTTGGGTCATTTAACCACTGGACATATACAGAGCAAAAGTTTCAACTCTGGATCGTCATTTTGCCTTGCACTGAAACACACATTTAGGATATGTTTGGTAGTTTAGAAAGGGTCCATTTGACTCCTCACTTTTCTTCGGGCATCTCAGGCTTGTGGTCCTCTCTGGGTTTAAATGTGAGCGCCACACTGTTGATACAGAACCGCTGACCTGTGGGGTCCGGCCCGTCTTCAAACACATGGCCCAAGTGGGCATCACACTGCATCAAACAAAGCATATGAACACCAGAGTTATTGGGAATTTAAAAAGCACATTATTTCATTTTTCTAAATACAAAATAAAAAGTTTGACTTTTACAATTGTACAGCAAACATATATGGTAAATAGTCAAAGAAAACTAGTACTTTGAACTTTGTCCTAAAAGCTCAGACCACTACTCACATTTTTACAAAGGACCTCTGTACTTGCGGTTCCCAGGCTGTTGTCTGGGCGACGAATGATGGAGGCGTGGCTTTCATCCCTCTCCCATGTCCCATGAGCCTCTTTGAATGCAGGCCAGCCAGTCCCAGAGTCATACTTAGCCTCTGAACTAGAGGGGAAGAGACATTCACCAACTGAGTTTCAACTACAACATCTCTCTAAAACCATCTTACAAAGAAAAGAGAACAATTGCTTCTCTTTGGCTTGTCTATCCTCCTTGCTTTTAGTTTTTATCAAACATGATTGCGGTAAAAATGGTCACTACATGTATGTATAGAAAAACATAGTGTATGTTTTTGTGCTCCTTTAACATCTTTCTTTTAAACGTTACCTGAAAAGCGGAGAGTCACAGCAAATGCAGTGATACATCCCCACCTCATAATGGTTCAGGTAGATCCCACTAAAGGGCTGAAAAACACACAGTATTAAAGAAAGAGGTGCAGGAGTAATAATTTGAGAAGTTACAATGTTATTTGTTTTGTCTTCAAGCTAATGATTTGTAAAGTGTATTACAGTGACTACATATCTGCACTGGTTGACCCTGTCTCAGGTTCAACAATACAGTGCTGAACAGAGTCCACCTTGGCTGCAGTTTATGAGATAACATGTGGGTCAGACTGAGATAATGCTGGTCTGACATACATTACTGTACTGCTGTGCATAAAGACAGTATACAGTACTCACCTCCTCTGTCCCTTTCTCTCTTGTGACTACATACTGCTCTGGTGTCAGTTTCTTGTGCCAGTTTGTAGTTTCATTATATCGGGTCAGAGACTGCAAAGCTGCAAGGAACAGACATGAAAAAGAAGGTGATTTTTTTGTTGTTGTTGTTGTTTATGTCCGTATGTTCCTCGGAAATCTGCCTGTTCAAATCACTTGAATAGGTTGCAATACATGCCCTAAAATATAAATATATAGTGATAAAAACTGATAAACATAACAAGCATAACCCTAACCTTAACTCGTAAACATAAAAAGCATAATAGGCAACTATCTCCTGAAAACTTTTGACAATAACTTGCGATTTGTGTTTCATTATATTTCGTTCTTGGTGCTTTCCGATAAGTTAAGAGGTATTAATGTAAAAATGCAACATGCCACTTCTGCTGGAGTCTGCTTGCTGAGCTGCTGTAGGGCAGTGGTTCTCAACTGGTCTCACTCTGGGACCCAAATTTTCCCATGGTCCTTAAGTCGTGACCTACTTTTATAAAATTCAAACCAAGTAAATTTATTTTTCATTAAAACAAAAAACATTTTAAAGACTCTAATCTTTAACAAAAATGCACATCTTTTATCGGATAAAGTGCATTTTAGAGCATGTGAACTGAGAACAACTACTGAAGTTGCATATACAGAAAATATCAAACATCAAATTGCACAAAATAAAGACCAAAATAATAATTTAAAAAAATAAAAACGTATTTTTACAGCCTTCAGGCCACATTATGAAGAAACCGAGGACCACAGCATAACACGTGCCTTTCAAAATAAGCTACTTTTCAAAATAAAAGACATGTCAAACATCAGATGCGCATGAAATATTTACTTTTTGGACCAGCTTTTCGCCACCCACTTTTGGGTCGGGACCCACCAGTTGAGAACCACTGCTGTAGGGTACTCTGCATCCTGAAGCGCTCGTTTGGAAGTAAACCAATAAAAAGGTGCCTCTTAACTTACCGGGAGTTGTGCAAACAGGGCGGATAAGGACGGGGATCCCCCTCGCTAACACCGTGGACCGGGCTGCAGCGTGCTGAGAGACTAATACGAAGAGACGACGAGCGGCGAAACGAGACATGTTTTCTGCTGCAGACTGAAGAGTGTCTAAAGTCAAGTGCACACATCACAGGAAGCCAAGAGCTGCTGGCTGTGGCGGATCGTTCACGCTGCGGCGGGTTCGCGCTGGTCCTCCCCCGGCTGATGCAGGCTGTTAGCCGGGTGACCGGGTCAAATATCACTCCTCCAGATATGTAGTTCAAAGTCGACTGGGCTCCCTGGCTTTTTATGGCTAGATAATGTACAAAGAGCACAGTGCCGGGAAGCAGCTTAACGGGCAAAAAAGGCTGGATTGGAGAAACAGTTTTGATGGTGTTGTAACCTTTAGTGTCCTACAGTGATCTTTTAACAGCAAAATAGCATTGTTGGAGGCTGCACTGTAATCACAAAGGGGGTGCCCTCAGTGGGAGACTCTTGGATTCCCCTTCAGTCGATAAAATTTATAAAATACCCTCTTTGGTGACCTTTCAGTAGATAACACAGGAAAACGATTTTGTAGCTGCCTTTGGTTGCCTTTCCAGTGAGTAAAATGTTTAAAATGTAGTAAAATTGTCTTGCAGAGAATAAAAATGGATTAATTGCCCTCTAGAGGATTAAACATGGTTAAGTTTGGATGCACTTCCAGACAATTAAAGGTGATATAGTGCCCTCCCTCATGCCTTTTAATGGATGAAATGTAAAAAGGAATCATACTGACAACTAGGGGTAGCTGTAACTCCATTAATGATTTATTAGAATTTGTGTAACTGAAGGCTGTAACTTATGACTTTGTTTAGGGTTAATGTGGCAAACTTTAATGTAAAATGAAGAAAGTATAGTGTGTTGTTTTCTGTGTGTTATGGTGTCAACCAGGCATTTTATATTGTATTTTTCATATCAAACTGTTTTTTATTATTCCCTACTTTCACTTGACCACCTGAAAAGCAGCCTTCTACTGACATGGCAGTCATAATCTCTGATCTGATATTGAGCATTTCAATACCCTGACAATCTTATAGAGAACCTATCGAATAGCAGAAGGTGCCTCAGCCTGACAGGGTTGAAAATAATCCAAATGTACCAAAGCATCCTGCACCACAGTGGTGGTCTATATGGTCTGGTAATGCTCAGCAGCAAGACTATTGGCCTTCAGCAGGCTTCCAGGGTGGTGCATGAGATCGACTATGTAGCAGCAGGACTCCTTTCTGGACAAGTTCCCATTGGAGAGGAAGACCTCGTTCCATGCCCGATTGTAATCGCCCCGCACAAGTGTGCAGCTCAGTCCAATACTATCAGCCAGACACTGGAAAGTGACAGAAGGGCATAAAAAGTTAGCAAAGAAAGAGATGGGTAGATTCACAATCGATGATGCTGTGTGGTACCTTAAAGAGAAGTGCTCGGTGACAGTAGATTCCCATTTTGATAGCACCAATAGGAACAACATTTGACTGGAGCTTAAACTTGAGCTTGCTGATGTGAAGCACCCATGGGAATTCATGCAACTTCTCCACTTTAATTGGTCCACCCATGGCTGTACTGACCAACCTGATGACAAAAATCCATCCAAAAAAGGAACAATTGGAACAATTTCTGCCAGTGGTTCATGGAAAGATTTTCTGCCTGTTTTGCATTTCTGCATTTTGCCCATATACCAACAATAAAAATCCATCACCTGGCTAAGGTAGCATACTGCTCTCGTTCATCAGCAAGTAAGAGGATGGATTCCCTGGCCTTCTGAGCCAGGAGCTGTAACGAGACATCACCCGTCATCTTCTGTGGTTGTTCTGTAGGAGGTTTGGGCTCAGGTATGGGCTCAGGTTTGGTCTCCTCCTCCTGTCTGCTTTTCTTTTTTTGCTTTCTGCACAGAGAAATAAATGTGACTCTAAAGAGGTACAAGTGTCTGCGGTGACTTTAAGAACAGTGGATGGAATCTTACTAACAAATATGAAAACATGGGCAGACATTCTCACCGTAGTGCCCTGCTGTCTGTGCGGCTGATGTTTTTTTCTTCTGGTTTGCTCTGCTCCACTGGCACAACCTCCATCTCTCTGCCACAGGAGAACAAGTCCATTACCCAGGAGAGGAACATACGCATGCTGCATCTAGCTTTCTACATGGAAAGTTAAACTTAAGTCCAATTTCACTTTGGATAGGGACATAACAAACTACTTTGTAATCCCTGAGATGTTGTGAGTGAGAATGGTGGAGGGGTACCTCGAGGGAGCACTGCTCTCTCTGGCAATGTTCATTCATCAAGATGCTGAGAGCAGGAGGAACTCTGTGTGTGGCATGTTATAATTTCAGATTCATGTCTTAGACAACATACATGTGAACTATCTTTTTGTCTTTTGGCAAAATTGGGTGTTTCTTCGTGGATTTGAATAATGTAGCTTTTTATTCACAATCGAGACTCAAGCTAAAAGTCCTTTTACTATAAGTGCTGCCATCTTAAAAGAGGATTGTTTACCCTGTGAGGCCACACTAACGGGGCAAGTTGAAGACAACTAATGAAAAAGGGAGAGTAGAGATGTGGATTGGAGGACTCAAGGGGAGGGTGATAGTAACAAGCACAATATACTCTGGCTGGTAGTGTAGGAAAGCTGCCAAGTCTCAGCCAACACGCTGACACCATTGACTTGAATGTTTTTCACTTAGCTTGTTGTGAAAGAGGCAAAAGACACAGTTTGGTGTTGGGAGTTAATACTAAACTGTTTTCCCTGCGGTTTTTTTGTATTTTACTGAGAATAAATTTACAAAAAAAGTTACTAAAACATACTCTGGCATTGATGTAAAGTTGACAACTATCACTGGGTGATGCTGGTTGACAGGCTGCTGAGACAGCTCCTCTAAAGTTAGAACCCTCTGATCTTTACGAGCCTAAAAGAAAGATAGAGAGAAAACACAACTGTTGTCAAAATCAAAATGTCAAAACAGTGGCTACTAAATAGTGTTTTCCTCTTCGTGAAAGATTTCTGTGACATAAAAAACCGTACATAGATTAGTTCAACTAGTCCAAACCACCTGCATGTCTTAAGATTAGACTGTTTCAGCTACAGTGTACACACATACCTTCCCAGCATCATAGAAGTCATCGCTTATGTTGTCCGTGGATGACAAAAACCCTGTCAGGCTGTACTTGATAGACAAATTGGAGTTCAGCAGGTTGCTCATAACCAGCTCACTGAGGCTGCTCCTTTGGTTCACTGATTGGTTTATTTCCTGAAGCATTTCCAGAGCTCTGAGACATGCATGGTCAGAAAAAAAGACCAGCATATATACAAAATTGAGTGGATGACAAACAGAATAATGTGAAAAAACTAAGATTTACACATACAGTAAATTAACCAGTGTGTTAACTGTCATATACTGCCATCTACTGGCTATTTAAGATACTACCATTAGTTTTTTTGACATGGCTGTACTAAAGTGGGGATTTAGTTTTTTTGTCTTATGATTCATCTATGATGCCTTCACTTCTTGTTATCTGTGACATCAGTTTCTTACCCAAATCTGCACATCTCCACAGCTGCTGTCCTGTCACTGGCACAAATATTGATTACTCTGCATGCATTATGCAACACTTCCTTGTGATAAGAGTGCAGCAAATTGACCAGTGGTTGAAGGCCCTCAGCACTATTTAGCTGTTTAAGACAGAGAGGACATTTTGTCAGTTTCTGTATATGAGTAAATGGCTATTATTATTATTATTATTATTATTATTATTATTATTATTATATTATTTAAAAATATATATATTTAGATTTTTTTTTTTTTTTACTGTTTCAAATCAATATTTTTTGGGGGATTTAATATCATGTACCTGAGAATAAGGAGGCACTTTAAACAGCTAATAAACACAAACCTGTTCCCTTGCTTCATTATCACAGGTCATCTGTGTCAGACAGTGAGTAGTGCTAACCAGGATCTGTGTATTTGTGGACTTAAGTAACTCCACCAGAGCCTGTATGGCGCCATGTGACAAGATGCTACAGCGGATGACCTCCTGTTTTGCCATGTTGCCAAGCGTGGCTGCAGAATTGGCCACCGTCCTGGGACAGCTTCCACAGAGCTGCTGGACAAGGAGCTCATGGCCTCCTGCCTCGTATACTGCACTGGTGGAGAGCACGAAAACGAATGGGAGATTTACTGCAAACATTTAAGGATGATTAATAATACAGATCCACAACATAGGAAATGCCTGAGAACTGAAGGAGTCAGTATTTACTGAGATATGAAGACAGAAAGGGAAGGATGAAGGGTATAGGAGAGTAAAATCATAATTTTTAATAATGGAGAGAAAGGCTTCATGCTATTTCATATGCATCTCCTCACGCTGAGTTTTTGTTTTAGAGACTGCACACTCACTGTTTAATATTTAATGCATGTTGCACTTAGATCAATCTTGGAACCCATAAGCCATTGTCAGACTTTAATATACATCAGTTAGCAATAAACAACTCCAAACCAAGGCTTCTGCTGCTGCACGCTGCAGTGTTTAAAGCCTGATTGTTAGTCTAAGAAACAATCGTGTTCAATTCAAAAGCAACTGAACTTGCACAGTCCCGGCTTGACTGAAAATAGAAAGTTACGCAGAGGCTTGTTTCAATTTGAACCTAAAATAAAAACAAATAGTCTTGTGACACACAGAGAATGAGTCTGAATTTGCTGGAAAACAACACCATAGAGTGGATTTGTAGGAAGGAAAAGGGAAGGCAAACAACTATTAAAATTCTCGTATTTTGAATGAAGGTCAGGTTGCTTAATTCTAATTCTAAAGCATATAGGGCTGAGTTCTTTACTCATTTGCTGCTTGTGTTGAACATTTTTGCTCCAAGAGAGGTTGCTGGTTGCTGTTGTTACTATTACAATTTCACTCAGCAGACACTCTTGTTCCAACGCAACATATAGAAGATCTCAAAGTAAGTTCAGCACAAGCAAAGATCTTGACAGAAGACTGAGTAGATGACACAAAATGACCTCAACTCAGTGCACAGGGTGTTTTTTTGTTTGGTTTCAGATTATATGTTCTCAAAAGATTCAGAGGAAAAGTAACTTCGTTTTCAAAGCCCTTTTTTTTCCTGGAGAAATTAAAAACAATAAAACACTCTGCTTGTCCATCACTCACTGTGTATTGAGTTGGTTGCAATCCGTGAGGCTATAGAGAACCTGCGTTGCTGCCTCTTTCAGAATCAGACTCTCTTCATTTAGCAACTGTACAACTGCAGGAATAACACCTGAAACACAGAAACCAAAACTGTTAACATCAAGCATGGATGTGCTGTTGATGTTAACTGTGGGTGTGTGAATGAGCAGTACCCAGCTCTCTGAAGCTGTCTTTGCTAGCAGGATGTAAGCTCATGGCGGACACAGCTTGGCAGATAGATGTCTTCATGATGACATCCAGCACAGACAGAAGCTCTACCAGAACCTTCTCTATGTTCTGCTCATGGAGCAATTTGCGATTCTCAGCTGGACACATAAAAACACACATATAAAACAAACACAGTGCTTAAGTATGAGATATTTAAACCTTTATCAATAAAAAGTGAGGAAAAATTTTTAATTCCTACAGCTCCTGGCAATCCCAGTGATACATTTTAAAGCACTGGACTGGATCTCAGATGAGTTTGGAGAGGGAACAAAGTCCATCAGCCTCCTCAGTCCTCCACTCTTTTGGATCAGGTGCAAACTCTCGCTGTCACTCACACAGTTAGAAACTACCTGTAGGGCGTCAGCATGTAGGTCACTGAATTCCTGTAGGGTATAAAAAGATAAATAGGGCACAGATGATGTAGAGGATTCAGACTTTGAAAGCATTAACAGGATATTAAGAGCCTGTAATAAGTGGTTATTTAAAAGCAGCCATCTCCAGCTAATGGTGCAAAAACAAAACTTTATGGCGCTATTAACACATGTACCGTGTTGCTGAGAATATCCATCATCTTCTCAAATCCTTGTTCTTCCCTGAAGGTTTTGCATGAATCTTCATTGAAAGTGACTCGATGCAGAATCCTTAAAACCAGATGCTGAATGACAGGATAGTCTGATTTCAGTAGTCTCAGAAGAAGAGGAATCCCACCCAGCTCCTGTACTTCCACACGACCCTGGTAGTCCTTCTTATGCAAAGTTTAACAAAGAATACAAAGACAAGAGGAAAATTTGGAACCATTTGGAACCAAGTTGCTCATCCAGCAGTGGTGTTGATGATGTGACCGTGCAATGCTGTTTTTATTGTCTTTAGAGATACTGTTAGATTTAAAATAATCTCCTTAATGGGGGTAACTTTCTGTCACCTGAACCAGGTTGAAGATAACCTCTAAAGAGTTCTTCTGGACATCAGGATCTGGGCTGGATAGGAGCTGGATCAGAGGTGGAAAGCCTTTGTTGTCAGAGATCTGGACCTTACAGGCAAAATCCACGGACAGAGCAGCCAGGCACAGTGTTGCAAACTCATGGACAACTACATCCTCTGAAAAGGAGAGAAAAATGGATAGCTTATTTGTTATTACACTGTGAAACCTGACTTTTTGTCCATATTGCTCACCTTCAAGTGATAGCTTATCAATGATTGAGGGAATGGCATCCATTTTTTTCAGAGCATTCTTTACGTCACCTGTCAAAGAAAAGCAAGTATAAAATGAACAACTAAGCAGCTGCAAATCAGTGTGCAAGTCAACCAAACACTGAATCCTGCCACCAATCGACATCTCTTTAAATGACTGTGAATGCCAATATATATTGATTTTGTAAGTGACTCACTGTTTGTGGCCATAACGCCCAAGGCTATGACGGCATTGCGTCTGACTAGCTTGTTGTTGTGAGTGATGAGCTGGCACAGAGGCTCCAATGCCCCAAGTCCCAGCAGATGGACTTTGTTCTCATCTCCTAACAACAGGGGGAGACAGTGAACATAAAAATATAACATGATGCCACACAGACTTGAACGCCTGTGGGCATTTATACAGTATTAGTGAGGTAACAAAAATAAACACTGCAATGACTGTTTATAAAAGAATGAGTCAGAAGCAGGGATTACAGCTAAGAGGAGGGCATATATATGGTATTGAGCATGATTAAAGACATGTAATTCAAATGTAAGAGTTTATAATCTTACACTGTGTTTTTTGTTTAATTTAGTTTTTATTTAAGTTTCATTCAAAATCATTTACAGAATCATAGTCATCATATCTGCTGCTTCATACACAAGGTAACAGTTTTGGTACAACAAAAGAGACAAAGACGATAATGACAAAGAAAAATATAGAATAAACGGAATAAAATTATATCAGTATACCCACAGCAGGGCTCCACCTTTTTGTGCATATATGTTTTTGAAATTTCAGGGAATATGTTATTTGTTCCATTTGATATATTTCCTTTATTTTTTCAGTCCACATATTGTGTGTTGGAGGGTCAGGCTTCACTTGCCTTACTGTAATGCATTTAATTGCTGTTGCTAAAAGTATCTGTAAGATATATTTTTTGGCTCTACCTTCAATGCCTCTTGGTAATAGGCCTAGTAGAGCCTATTATAAAGTGTTTTAAACTTTATCTCCAGTTTTGGGCATATCCAGATTATGTGGGTCTGATTACCAATGTGTGGGCCACAGTTTCTCCAGCATTTATTTGAGTGTGTAGTGCTAAATTTAGCTGTGATTTCAGGTGTCTGAAAGAACCTCATGACTACCTTCCATTTAAATTCTCTCCATACATTTGAATTAGTTACCAAACGTACCTCAGTGCAAACTTCCTCCCACATCTCATGTGATATGCTGGAGTTAATTTCAATTTTCTTGTGAAATGCATTTTGAAGGTGGATAAAAATATATGCCTATGTTCCAGCACATAAGTAAATGCAATGGTTTGTGTCTTGCGGCAAATGGCAACAACAGACGGAAGTGTACAGTACCTTTTTCTCCAAAAGTGTGGATTGCCTCACAGGCTTTGATGAGGATGTCCTCCTCTTTGGAGCTCAGCAGCAGCACAACAGTCTCTGGGGTCTTGCCCTCAACAAGCACAGGATCAAACTATGGGTGAGAAAAGGCAGATGTGCTGTCAATGCTTTATTCCTTGGTTTACTTATGTATGATAGAAGAAAACTGTGTGTGTCTGTGAAAAGGAGACTTTAAAGGCTATTGTCTCTCACCGTGTCCTTGCGTGGACTGTCACTCCCTTTCTTCCATTTCTTTTCCATCCTGCCACCCAGATAAGAAATGACATTTAAACTATTAACACTGACCCGCCATAACATTATGAAAATATCTGGAATCTAATGCAATTTAATGCAACAACTCTAAGACAAATTCCACTATCTGGAAGCTCTAAATTTCCTGTTTTGTTGTAGCTTCCGTTCGTTAGCTTGACAGTAACGCTGACATTACAGCTAGCTGGCTGTTCAGTTGCCGACTCATGATCACAAACAATGCAAAAAATCGATAACCCGAGCATCCACATTATGGATTACCTTTCATTTCAAACTAAAGAAGAAGAAGACCAAGGTTAAAATTAGCAGGACAGCTAGCCAGAGGAAGTCTGTTTGGTGTGTGGGGAAAGGAGGTTGACACTGCGTTGCTAGGTAACCAGTGTCACGTTGGGCTGAATTGAGTTTTGTACATTTTACCCTGAAACGGACGTTGTTCCCCCGAGCCGGTTTAAAGTTACAATATATAAGATAGCATTGGTTTATATTTTAGCTGTTAAAACACTTACACTTAATAACACTGGTGCAAAAACGTAAAAAGTGTCTACGTCAATTTCGTCCTGTTTTTTCACTATTACAGTTGAAACCAGAAGTTTACATACACTATATAAAAAGGCACATAACCTTTTTTTTTTATCTCACCGTCTAACATTAAATCAGATTAACCTTTTCCTGTTTTTGGTCAATAAGGTTTACCAAAATTATTTTTATTTTTATTTTTATATGAGAGAGAGAATTTTTTAGACATTTTTTTATTACTTTTTCGAGAGTCAAAAGTTTACATACACTAAGATGACTATGCCTTTAAACAATTTGGGAAAGTCCAGATGATGATATCATGTCTTTGGAAGCCTCTGATGGGTTAATTGACAACATTTGAGTTAATTAGAGGCACACCTGTGGATGTATTTCAAGGCACACCTGTAACACACTTCTTCTTTGTGTAACATCATGGGAAAAATCAAAAGAAATCAGCCAATATATCAGGAAGAGAATTGTGGACCTACACAAGCCTGGTTCATTCTTGGGTGCAATTTCCAGATGCCTGAAGGTGCCAGTTTCAATTGTTCAATTGATCAAACAATTGTATGCAAGTATAAACACCATGGGAATGTCCAGACATCATACCACTCAGGGAGGAGACAGGTTCTGTGTCCCAGAGATGAACGTGCCTTGGTCCGAAATGTGAATATATACCCAAGAACAACAGCAGAAGACCTTGAGAAGATGCTGGCTGAAGCTGGTAAGAGTGTGTCATTATCAACAGTGAAACAAGTCCTGTACCGACATGGGCTGACAGGCCACTCTTCCATGAAGCCATGACTCCAAAAGAAACCTAAAAAGCCAGATTAAAGTTTACAAATGCACACATGGATAAAGACCTTAATTTTTGAGACATGACCTGTGGTCTAACAAAACTAAAATTGAACCTTTTGGTCATAATAATAAAAAACAGGAACAAGAAATTGTTACATTTGGAGAAAAAAAAGGGAAGCTTGCAAGCCTGTAAACACCATCCCAACTGTGAAATATGGGGTTGACAGCATCATGTTAGGTGCTTTTTTATACAGTGTATGTAAACTTCTGGTTTCAATTGTAAGTGCAAATACTAGGACTATACATATTTAATATTTATTCCCTATGTTGCTTAGATCTTTATGGGGGAAAAAGCTAATGAAGAAAAATTAGTGAGCAATAGTTTTATTGTGTGCCCTGTGTATTACAGGTTATACAGTACAAATAAAGTAGGCCAAAATGTGTCTCTGCTGTGATGTGTAAGACATAAATTAAATGAGCTCTGTACAGCATCAGCACTCTGATGTCTCCTACTCAGAGAGGCACTGACACAGCAATGTGCCGGTGGAAACAGCACAGTATGCACCAGAAAAACCAAACGACCTCTAAAGACATTACCTCTGGTGGTGTGGGACATCACTGCTCTGTTGCCTGGAATGAGCCCCAGATTAATCTCAGTTGAAGCAAGCCAAGGATGGGGGATGGATTGGGTGATGTACATTTTTCCTCTAATGCATTAGGCTATTACATGGCATAGCTTAAGATATACAAGGGTGTCCAGAGGGGTGGCCTAGGTTGACAAGCCCCCACCCCTCGCAATCTAATTTGCCTACCCTGGATCATCCTAAAAACCCATTGGCTATTTGCCTTGTTGGGGTTGGGAGTTGAATTAAAATGAACTGCATGGATTGGGTTGCAATTAATCAGCGCAAGCTTTATTTGCATTCAGAAATGCTAGAAAAAATGCATAATATTTAATCCATCAAACACTTGTAATGTATTTTTGATAGTTACACAGTGTTATGAGGTAAATGTTAAGTATAGGCCTGCCATATTTACCTGATCATGATCAATATTTTTTATATATCACTCATGGTTAGGACACACATGTAAAAAAAGGATTGTCTTATATTTGAGTTTAGAAATGACATAATGCTTAGTTTAAAATCAGCTATGGCAATAGAACAGGATGTATATAGCAACATAGTAGAGAGTGGGGTAAGATGAGCCATTTTTCACTACATCTAGGCAATCATAGTTTTGTCTCTAACGAGTGTATCTGCATATATTTCAAGATGTTGTGCATCCCTGCAAACCAACAGAATTAGTGTAAATATAACTGTCTTGATAATACAGCATGCAAAAAAAAAGTGGCTCCTGTGGACCATAGGGATATGGCTCAACTTACCCCGCTCCAGGACCCCACGGCTCAAGTTACCCCGCTCCTATGGTCAACTTACTCCATACACGGGGTAAGTTTACCATAGGAGACCACGTTTTTGGCATGCTATATTATCAAGACAGTTATATTTACACTCATTCTGTTGATTTGCAGGGATGCACAACATCTTGAAATGCATGCAGATACACTAGTTAGAGACAAAATTATGATTGCCATGATGTACTGATCCAAAATATGAAAAATGGCTAATCGTTTTACTCCACTCTCCTCCATACCGAAATAGAAAGATTAGGTGAGCTACCGTATAGCACAGTTAAGCAGCATGGAATCAGAGGAGGGAGGGGGATGCAGCGAATCAGCGCAGAAAGCCCTGCAGAGCGCAGCCTGCTGTCACCTCCCCTCCGTCGAGCTGTCAGTTGACAGCGGCACACATGAGCCTCAGTGCGGCAGACGGAGGTGACCACCCGTTGACTTCACGTCGACAAAACTGCACCTCGGCGTCTTAATTCAAACGGGGCAAGGACATAACATGACATTCCTGTCATCTCTCCGGACTGACCATAAACGCGTAGGAGGGCTGAGCCGCTAGCTGGAGATAATAGTTAGCTTACAGGCTAAGGGTAAATAGCTGCTGAGCGGAGTCCAGTTCTGCTTTCTGCCGTCGGTTGGCTAACGTTTCTTAGCGGGCTAATTTTAATAACTGGTGTAAACGCAGCTTTAAAGGCTGTGTGTCATTTGTGACGAGATTTAACATTTTCTTTATTCTGTACGTGTAACAATTTCACGAAATTTATCGTGGATGTTTGCTCGCTAGCAAGCTACTCGGCTATGCTAACGCCAGCTCAGTGAGGGCTCACATCACAGGGGTGCGGAGAGCTCCACACTCGTCGAGGAAGGAAGAGAGGGGACTTATGATGTGGGCTGAGGGAAGCGGAGGACTGTTAGGCGAAGGAGACCAGCAGTATTAGCTTTAAAATATTTAGTTTTTTTCCCATTAGTCCTCGTCGTGGTTGGGCTATAGTTTGAGCTAAGCTGTGTGGGACGTTGGATGAAGAAAAGAATTGGGACACTTTGATTTGCGAGCTGGCTAGATGAACAGTATCGGTATTACTGAGTCGTGAGCGGGCGGCCGCCGTGCCAGCTTCAAGGGGGGGAGAGAGACTTGTCAAGATTATCACTCAGACTGCAATAAAAAGCCAGCTTGCTTCAACATGGCTTCGGCGAGCAGCATCGCCTCGGCTATTGCGAGCAAGACGAAGACGAAGAAAAAGCACTTCGTGGCTCAGAAAGTGAAGCTCTTCCGTGCCAGCGACCCTCTGCTCAGCGTGCTGATGTGGGGAGTCAACCATTCGGTGAGTCACATCATCTAATGTCCATAATGATGAGCTACAGTTGTCTCCCTCGACCCTTTGTGACACATTAAGCCTCGCTTGCTGTCAACCATCAGCCTTTGTGGTATTGTAGTTTGATTGACAAATACCAGATGACAGCTGGCCAGCGGTGGGCTATAGTGCTGTCAATGCATGTGTGTGCATGTAGATAGAAATGTGCTGGACTCAGCATACTCTTAGTTATGATTGCCTTAGCAAGGTTTTACAGTCGTAATATGCATGATGGTAATGCTGCATGATTTTGCTTAAATGTGTGTTTGAAAGAGCCCTTCTTTGGCTTCCTGTTGTGCACATGTAGGATAAGCTCCTCGGGCCCTGTGTCATGAGAGAACAGATCTTCCCATGCAAGACAGCTTATCTTTGCTCTCTGCTCTCTTTCTTTTCCTTTGCTGACTGTTTTCTCTGATGTCAAGAGAGAAAGCAAACTAGCCAATAGTCCAGCAATATTTGACCAAACTATGAACCCTCTACTGCATTTCAACATATAAAGATATAGTGATTTATCATATTCAACACATTTTAGTACTTGTATGAAATCATAAAAAAGCCTTTCCTTCATTTTTCAATAATCACAAAGTGGTTCTTACTGTAAAGCCATGCTTTTTTACTGAATATTTCATCCAGTGTTTTGGATTGAGCTCTCCCAAATGTAAACAGAGGAGCTTTGCAGTAAGTAGAGCAGCATTTATTCCTATCATCTCTTCATTCTCATGGAATAGCTTATGGTTTCTAGGCTGACAATAGTACATTTAGTACATTTATTTATAAGGATTTTTAATCATTTGATTGAGATGTTTAGAGCTGCTCTGCTTTTTCACTCATCACTGATGTCTGTCTGGTTTTGTTGTGTGTGTGCCTGTGGTCAGGATACTGTTAAGTTTGAAGTAATATAGCTCGAGTCAGGCAGTTGTTTCCAAATTCCTCATCAGGGACGTGAATATCTTGGACTGGTTCCTTATCAGATGTTAGCTGCCTGTTAATATTGGCTCGATATTTTGTGGTCCATGGTGACGGATCAGGGTTCTCGTCCCTCTGGAGGTGTGTGTCTGAATCTCAGCACAGCCATTCAAGATTTTGATTTGTAACAATCTCCCAAAGATTTAGGCAAACAACACTAAGTCACATGTAACTTAAGAGCCATGTGTGCTTTCTTTAACCCCTTATATACTTTGGATAGAGCTGTTAAATGAAATCTGTATTCATGTGTGTTACATATGTTATATAGGAGACTTGAAAGTCTTTAAAGGGCATTGCTGGCAGAGGCTGAGCAAGTGTACTCACCAGTCATGAACTTCAAATCTAAACTTTGTGAACACTACGGGTTTTTAAAAGAGAGATGGGAAACTTACAGACTCTGATGCAATTTGCAAAGTGTGCTGTGCTGCTGTAAAACACACAGGCAGTATGACTATCTGGTGACTCACCTGAAGTGACGACATAGTGTGACCATGGCGGTATTCACCAGTGCCCCAGAGCCCCCCTGGAAGGTATTGCCACAGTTCCTGGCCAACAACTCCTCTAGTTCAAAGACAATAAATGAGGCTGTAGCTGTTTTTATTTTTAAAGATACCCAGTTTAAATGTGTTTCCATTTGTAAGCTGTAGTGAAAGACCGCTTTGTTTAACATTAGTTTATTTTTATTTTCCAGAAAATAGAAATTGCTTTCTTCTGCTCTCCTGCCGCTGAAAAAGGTGTTAAGCCCACAGTTTTTTTGTATTGTACTTCATTATTCTTGTGCATCCTTAACTCTGCGTGCCAGGTGAATTATAAGTGTGCTTGGCTGTTCAATTGAAAGACAGAGAAGACTCAAAAAGAGGAGAGTTTGTAAAACGTCTTGCGTACATTATTGAATCACATTGTATGGCATCAAATCACACAGCGTTGTGATTGGGGTGTGAATTGTATCACATTGGTCGTCGCTGTTCACACTCTGACGGACTACTCCTTCTCAATGTTCATGCACTTTCACAGATCATCCTACAATACACTGACAGGGTTTCCTTAACCACGCACAATGATACTGCTTCGTTGTGAATTTTGCTTCTTTCCAAGCTGATAGTGTTTCATGTTGTTTCCAAAACTCACACTGCTCTTCAGATTTTTTGAAATTGTGAAGCACTTTGTAAGGCCTGTTTGCAAAAGGCGCTGTATAAATAAACTTTATTGACTTAATCACTCATAACCACACTTCTTTTTGAAGTTGAAAGGATGCTAAGTTTACCAAGAGTTATACTAGCTTAACATTGTTTTGAGGCATGTGGTTTTGGACACAGTTATAACTGTTAAACTACCAACAATGTTTGCTTTTCAAGTTGACATGAGCATTTGATTTTTGGGCCTTGTGTTGAGAACGGCAGTCTAGCGTGGATTAAGCAGTCTCTAGATAGCCTGATGTATGTGAGGCCAGGACAGCTAAAGAACCAAAGCTGTTATTCTGCATCTAAGCCGTAGTCTGTTGATAGATTACACTCACCTTAAGCCTGAGTGGGCAAAGTAAAGTGCGCTTGAGTTTTACCTCCAGTCAGGATTAATCTCTCACCCTTCAAATGCAGCTGGTAAGGCATTAAAATGAATATTGATACACTGCTTACACAGTTAAATGGGTTTCATTATTTTGTTATAAAAACTGATGCAGTAGTGATGCACCATTTGTTTCATACCTAACCATAATCTAAGCAGTCACTCCTCACCCATCTACCGACCCTCACCTTGAACAGTCAAGCGTCAACATTCTTTCAAGTGATTTTTCCTTTGTGGGCTGTATTGTTGTATCATCAGGTTTCTCTTATGATTTGCTTTAATGGTTTAAGAGAGTGAAAAGTAATCCACAGCCCCGAGCAGAAACCAAAATCGAAACCTAAAATCCAAACCTGAGCTCTGTGTGTTTGTTTGAACTTCATAATGAGTGGGATGTCAGGAAAAACATTGATTATTAATTTTCATTTCTAATCCTGTCAGGGTGTCTAGTGATTTAAATAATTAATCGCATTACACTGCTGTGCCTTGATTGTAAATGCATATGGGGCTCCTCCTGATTGGAGGGATGCACTTTGAAATTCGAGCGTGATATTCAATTAACTTAAAATAATTACATTTATTTCATGCATAATTTCACCCATCTACTAAATTTGAATGTTAATGTTTGTGACCCGACTTGCCAGTTTTACAGATGAACTGCAATCCACGCATCACTTTGAGACAAGAGTCAGCATGCTCAAACACTTCTCTTGGATTGCATAACCGAAAGCAGGACTGCCGCCAGCACATTTTCTTCTTCTGCCTTGGGCTACTTCTTCTGCGGTTCCTCTCATCACTTGATGAGGTTTCTGTTTCTGATACCTCTGGCAACGTAGAAATGGCATTCCACGGCAGGTCACTCAGGCGAGTCACTTGAGTTATAGCCCAGATGGTGTGGAGGCTGCAGCATGGTGAAGTGTTGTTAGAAAGGGACTTTACATCATGAAGTTTGCAAAAGTAACCTCAATCTGTAAATAACAGGACACTGGAAAAGGAGGGACTAAAGCAGAAGGTCTGAGAATGCAAGCAGGCTGCAGAGAGGCAACATGTGAACACTTGAATACATCCACATGTTTTGTGTGACCCTCAACCCTCTTATCCATGCTTGCCTGTCACTCAGAAACATCCACTTTGGCTTCTCCTAACAAGGACACTTTTTCTCTGGGAGCATAAAAGTGAAGGAACTAGAACCAACTAAGTATGTAGGAGAACCCTTCAACTAGCCTCTTTTATTTATTTGTTTGTTCAAGCAAATTTCATATATAATGAACCACATTAAAGCTATGGTCTACGATCTGAAAACCAGTTTGGCTGTTGAGACAGATTTGAAAAACGCAGCCTGACCCCCCTTCACTCACCCCTCCCCTCCATGTTCAAAGATCACGCCCCCCCAGCTCATGTCGCCTCCTAACAACACGCCCCCTCCCATAGAGCAAGAAGCCGGCCGGCAGAAGATATCCATATAGCCATTTCAATTGTACCGGCGCAATCAAAACCATATATTAGCGGGGCGAAGCGGGTCTGGTGTCGCTACTGCCAGCCGGTCAGAGCATAGCTAATTGTGGGCCAGGCTTTACCTTTCTCGGTATGTCTTCACCAGCTCAGTTTACAATGCTAAAGATGCGTGGCTAACTTATGCTGAAATCTATCGACAGAGCCTACCCGTTCCGACCAACAACGTTCAGTCATTCGCCAGTATAGGCACAGACTAACCAGAGTTATTCAGCAGACATCTCCCACTGTAGTAAAGAAAGTAATTTCTTGTTCAACAGAAATTCGGCTGTCTCAGCGTCAGTCGATTATTATGCCTTTTTGAAGCAGATACACTGAATGGATTTTTTTGCCTTCTTTTTGATCTTTATATTGTGTAGATCGGACCGTAACAGCCTTATAAATGGTGTTATTAGTAAGTACCAAGCTTCCAAATGGTAGACCATAGCTTTAAATGTTAAGATGCATTCAATTAAATAAGACGTGTCATCTGAATCGTGTTTTTGCTCAGACAGCGCTATTAGGTTTGAACTTTGTCTCCATGGTAGAAAGTGTCTGACAGCGTGCTGAAAACAAATGTCATTCGCTGCCTCTTTTTCCTCTAATCCTTCTTTGAAATTTTTATTTGAACTCCCCAGAGTCTGATGGTTACTCCGCTCATGCTTTTGGAAAAATGGATTGAGGCCAAAGCTAAAAAACGTTTATGTCCAGTAGAAATCGCAGTTATAACCTCTAAAGCTTAGTATGTGCAAGAGCTTAAATAAACTAAAATCTGCAAAACCACTCTCAAGACATTTTCGATAAAGAATCACGTTTGTCTCTCAAGGATGCGCCACCTCAAAATTGTGTCTGTAAATGTGTCTTTCCCTCTTCGTTTTGTGCCTGTGAAAGTAACCTTACGCCTCACTTACTCAGCTTGAGAGCAATAACAACTCTTTGATACTCATTATGTGCTAATGTTAACTGAAGAGAAACCATGTACAAAGAAAGCCTTCAAGCAGACATTGTTCAGTGTGTTGCAGCTTGCATTATAGTGTATATATTCCTCATGAAAGCAGGGGCTCTAAAACACAAGTTTGAAAAAATCCTGTGAATTTGGCACCCTCATACGTAAACCCTCTCGTCGTGTCTGTGGTGGTGTGAGTTTGATGGAGCAGACTTCTCAGGAGAACAAAGCCTATTGTTGGGTGTGTTGGCATGGATTTTGGTCATTATACTATAGGAGGTAATACCGGCTCCCAAGGTAAATACTATCTTCTTTACTCATTCCAGAAATGTGTCAAAGTCTGGTCCTAGCTCGAAACTTTACAAACGTGCTGCATCCTGTGTGTGAGTTGTTTTTGGGAGTCTCTTTGGTGTCTGATTACTTGTTAGGAGAAGAAGGTGCCCGAGTGTTCTTCTATGACAACTTTTGAGTGGTTTTGTCACCAGCTTGACACCCACTCTGCAGTGTTGGAGGCCAGCAACTCCTAACCTGCTGTTGTAAGTTTTCTTCAAGTTAAAAGGAAAGATTGATGAGTTGCTGTTCTAATTATTTTGGTTGGTTTTGGTCATTTTCGTCTTTATAACAGGGTTACAGTATTGTTTGTTGAAAGTAGAGCGCCATTCATGGGGCATTTAAAGAAAATTAGAGCCTAGAAAAGCAAATGAAAGATTTTCCTTGAAGAAGTTGGAGCAAATCTTTGAAATTTTGGTCTTTCCATCGCTGTAGGACTGAGTTTTATTTACTTTTGGTTTTGCCTCTTTCGATACATTATTTAGTTGCTGCTTTTCTGCACATCTGTCCACTATTTTTGTTGTTACCCATTTTAGGGTGACCCCGTCTGTCAGTCTGGCTCACCTTCTTTCCCCGACCCCTCTCTGTCTTTCTCTCTCTCTCTCTCTTTCCGTCACTGTGTCCGGCCTGTCTGTCTGACTCACAGTGGTTGTGTCTGGTTCTGTGGTTTGTATTAGAGGAGGTTCTATAAATATCTGCAGGATTGACCTATAGCTAATATGTTTGTTGGTTCTGGATGGAGAAAATGGAAGAGCTGGAGCTTCACATCCCGGTACCCTGAGGCTATAACAGATAGAGGAACTTGTCTTTAGGTCCTTTGTGAGTCTCCTAAAAGCCTTTTAACAAGTTTTTTATTTTTTTTGCCCTTCCCTGCATGCATGAATGCAAAAGTTGATGCACAATGTTCCTTCTTCTTGCCAAAATTCAATGTGACATGGTGCTGAGCAGCTTGATTCAGCCGACAGGACAGGCAATATACTATAAGCCTGTTTGTTGCTCAGTCCGTCTAAACCACTATATCCTTTAATAGCTGGCCTTTCATAGCCCTGACTTCACTGATCAGACTACGTGTGTGTGTGTGTGTGTGTGTGTGTGTGTGTGTGTGTGTGTGTGTGTGTGTGTGTGTGTGTGTGTGTGTGTGTGTGCGCACCTGTGTATGACATCCATAGTTTCTCTGTTCTGTTTTCACCTTCATCATGAGTCATATAGACTATAGATACAGACTTCTTGTATTTTCTGTATGTGACTATAACTGCTTGAGTATCTGTTTCTATGTTGTGTTTGCTGTAAAATTAAACTTCCCTCTCTATCAGTATGTCTAAATCTATTCAAAGACATGGAAGTAAGTTCTCTTCTCTCCCTGTGTGTGTGACTGACACTGACTTCAACAGAAGCTTTTGTTGTCTGATGCGAATGCAGACGTTCCACTGTTCCACAGATCAATACAATAAGCTTTTAATTGCGCTGCAGGTGTCCGGCTCAGGTGGTTGTTGGCATTTGTCCAAGGCCTCATGTGCTCCCTGTGTCTTTGTCTCGCTCTCGCACACACACTAAGATGCGTCCGTAAGTAGCAGACAGTCCTTTTACCTTACCGTTGCTCCACTTCTGGCAACAGAGTGTCCTCATTATGACTGACCTCTGAGTGCCGTGGTTGTGAGCAGAGGGACTAATGGGAGTATGAGCTACCTCTGATACTATAGTTGTAATATTGGTGCACTGAAATAGGTTACAAACAAGCAGCCTGACTTTATCATATAAGCTTTATTATAATACATTTTGGATCCTTGGATAAGCAGAACTCATTCTCTTGTTGAATTGGCTCCTGTTTTAAAGGTTCGTGGAATCATAACAGTCAACTAATGATGTAATTTCCTTTTTAATGAAAGGTCAGGCCCACACAATCTGCTGCAGCTCCTGTATATGTGACCTTTAATGCACAATAACGGGGAGTTTCCTGTGTAACTTGGTGTATCTATAGAGTATATGAGTATAGTAATCTGTCATCCATCAGCATATACCAGCATTTTAATTGGATTAGAACTGATGGTTTATTTTTGTCTCTTTGTACCAAAAGTGTTAAACAGTGCTCTGGCGAACATGTGTGTTCCTTGGGGAACATTTTGTGTTCATTGATGAGAGTTGTTTGTGCTACACATCTGCACTGAAACAGCTGTGCTGCAAATCCACATCCCCTTCAACTGTATTTACACCTCAGCATATTGGTTAATGGTGCTATCAGTCGGTCTTGATTACACTTTAATTAGAGCCACTTGGACCCAAATGTCTTGTGAAGAATGGGCATTAGAGGAAATGTATGTCAACATGCCATCTTGGGAGAAAAACAGCTGCTTTTTCAGAGCACGTCTCATTTCCTTCACATGTCTGACAGCTTGACAGTAAGTTATTGGCTGTCAGATGACTTCAGTGGAAACATAAAAAACCGTTGCTGTTCTCTCCGTACGTTTCCTCTCGTTCTCTTTTTACAAGTTTGCTCAAACTTTCCGTATCTTGATCTGTTTTATTTAACTATTAGGACATGTTTTTCATGATACTTAGGGCGGGTTCACACCACCCTCGTTTAGTCCGGTTGAAGTACTTGATGCGGTTCGTTTGGGTCGGTGTGAATGCTGACCTCGAACTCTGGTGCTGATCGAATAAACGAACTCTGGTCCGCCTGAAGAGGTGGTCTCTGACCGCTATCAAGTGAACTCTAGAGCGGTTCATTTCTGGTGTGAATGTCATCCACACCAATCACAGGTCTCACTCACATCCTGCCACCACTGACAGGTTCGCGGTTGAACCCACAGGCTTCTGTGGCAAGGGAGAAAGGAATTTTAAATATCGAAAACAATACATCTAGGCTATTTGTAATGCATAAACTAATGACAAATAACCGAACAATATTTGTGGTCACGTGACTTCTGGTTCTGTTTCCTGGAGCGATTGAGTTTGTCCTTTGTGAACGCAAACCAAACCAGTTAAACAATCAAAACAAATGTATCGTCTTGCCTTGGATTCGAATCATGAAACGGACCTTTAGGTGTGAACAGGACCTTAGAGTACTTAGAATACTTTCTCTAAGTTGATGAATATATCATGTTGTATTTTACAATGGTGTTATGAAATAGTCTTGGACAGGCAAGTCTTCATGATGATCAGCAAAAGGTTCAAGAAAAGACATGACGTGTCATAGAGGTAGCAATAAAAATATTACTGGAGCTGGAAGATCTAATTGGAGTTTGCAAACAGGCCATTAGGAAACTATTCCACTGTGAAGAGCCAACAATTCAAGATTTTACTGTGTGGAAATAAGTAGAAGAGGACCAGGTTGAGTAATACATGTTTTTAAGAACAGATGCAGATTATTAGTCGATCATGAGACTAAAACTGATATGAGTTTAAAGTAAAGTTGTAACAATCCTACTCCTGTCAGCTGTCAAGAGTATGCCGCCTCACTGCCATTGTTCAGAAAGATAAGGGTTATGCCATGCTGCTGACAGAGCATACTCTCTTCACCAACTTCCTGTCCAATGGAGAAACAGCGCACACTTGCTTCACTGTGGGCCGGAAAACCAGTTCTTGTAACCATAGAGACAAACAGGAAGTGGTGGTGTGAAATTTGTCTGCAAATTTGATAGCTGCATGATGATAAGTAGATTTTGCTGCAGGCGCCTGATAAAACAGAACACAAGTGCAACACTACTCTCAAGAGAGAAGTCCTGACACAGGCCAGATAAAACAGGAGTACCACATGTGTTTTTAAGTGTTTGTTAGTTACCGTTAGAGGGTGAAGTCGATATGCTGTATTAGCTGCACCTCCATGCAAAACAAAAACATTTGGCACCATGACATGATGAGAAATCAATGTTGTGCTTAGGCCTCAAACTGCAAAATGGTGCATTAAGAGTGACTGCCAAAAGCTTGATTCAAAGTCTACCAAGAGTCACGCACATGCCATGCTTAAAGTTTTTAAGTTGCATGAATTTGATAACAAATCTGGAGTAGTGCTGGACGATAATTCGATAACAATATATATCGATCGATAGACGTGTGGTGCGATAGAAAAAAAACGGGTCGATAAAAAGTTCGATAGAAAAACACAGTTTCCCTTTCTTTTTCATCATAGCCAATCATGTAGCTTTTACTACAGTCATTACTTCCTCCCAACCAATCACAAACGCAGACCCAGGTACGCTACGGCACCAAGCCCAGCCCCTCTCAAACCACAACAGACAGCACGTGTATGAGAAAAAATGATACAGCAAGGAGAAGCGGAGGAAATTGTCCCGAAAAAAGGTTTCAGTAGTTCACCAGCATGGCAATGTTTTGGTTTTTAGAAGTCTGACAAAAAGCGAACAGCGGTCGTTTGCAAAATTTGCAGAGAATTAGTAAAAACCAAGTCTGGTAACACAACCAACTTGTTTTACCATCTAAACCGATCGCACCCGCAGGAGTACGAGCTGTGTCGGCCGCGCCGCGGCTCCACGTCGTCGTCGGAGGAGGAATCCTCTGGAGCCGCTGCCAGCACCAGCACAAAGCATGTGAAGCAGACCAAACTGGACTTTGTTTCTCTCCAAAAATACGACAAAGCGTCCAAGCGGCATAAGGACATCACCCATGCAGTAACATGCTCCATAGCGAGGGACATACTGCCAATAACTACCGTTGAAAAGCCTGGCTTCGACCAGCTTCTAGCCACTCTCGACCCGCGATATGAAGTGCCCGGCCGCAAGTATTTCTCAAACACAGCGCTTCAGGCATGAAAATGGGTCAGGGGTTGAGAAGGTGAGAAGGGTGCGGAGGAAATACGTTCCGGTGTTGTACCGTAGAATGCACCCCTGCATCCCGTCCACTCATTAGCTTCTTAAAGTGGAAGAAAATGAGCTCATATTTTACAAAGACGCGAGTATTTGGATCATGGCTACTAGCAGGGGGTGCATTCGGCAGGGGTGCATTCTACGACACAACACCGGCGTGGATAAGTCCTGCTTCTCGTGCTTAGTTTGTGTATTAAGTCAATCACATGATAATTAAAAAAAATAAATCTCCCGACCCCGGGAGAAATATTTCAGTGTTCAGACACCAGGCTGTGGGCAGTTTCCCACACAGTTAAAACTGGTAGTATGCTATTCCCACCTAAAGCTATTCTGTTTATTTATATTATATATTATATATATTTGTTTGTTTTGTTTATTTTCATCAAAAGACTATTTAAATATTTATTTATCAGATTTTCTGGTCACTTTAGTCTTTATGTTTGTCAGTATTTACTGACGTCACTCAGGCCACTTAAGTTGATTTCTTTTTTTTTTAGTTCTTTTTTAAAAAACTTTCAGTTGTGGTAAAATAAAAAAGGTGGTTGAATAAAGGTTTGAATTTGAATTCAGTGCTTGTGTGTTCTTTATTAAAAGTAGGTCATTAAGCAATAGCAAAAAACATCCAGGGCTGCAATTAAAATATATGTTAAATAATTATAATAATTATATCAATAATTATCGATATCGATCAATATGATTTATTTTTTATCGATATGCTTTTTTTCTATATCGTCCAGGCCTAATCTGGAGTGTTTCTGCTAAAACAGTGAGAACTTGCAGAAGAAAGGTTTGGGTTTATATCAGCCTGATGACAGTTTTACTACCAAACCTCCTGTAGTCCTTTTTTTGATGTGGATGTATATACGTCTAGGCTTTTCTTAATGACTTGCATTAACATTCAGCACACTTGTGTCCCCCCCAGAAGGGTATGAGGCCTTCGTAAGATCAGGCATTGTTTTTGCCCTTGTGTGAAAAACAGAGCCTTGTTGATGAGGCGACATCTCCCCGCTGAGTACCCAGAATGCATTTGTGCTACAGCATCACTGTGACGTCTGTGCCTATCACACCAGGGCACTGAAATATACTCAGATATGGCATCTGTGGACTTGGATCCCTCCTGCTCTGTCTCTGTAATACCCCCCTTTCCATATTTTGTCTCATGCTTTCTTCTGTTTTCAAACACTCTTTCCCTTTTCCCGGTGATTTTTTTCCTCTCGGTCTTATTCTCAAAGGTTTCTCTCCTAAAAATAATTCCTGTTAACGATGCTCACAGATTCTCTGTTCTTGTGCTCCATTTCTTTTCCTTTTCTCAAAAAGATTACAATAATCCTGGAAGGTATTTAAAGTGCATGGATATTCAGGTTAAATTCTAACCTTTACCTCAAGTGAAACGACACTGAAAGGCGCTGTACGAAGTGAACAGCTGTTTCTGTGCTTAGTTTTTGCATGTATGCCGAGGTACTTAATGGGAAAGTCAGACTCGTGTACAGAGGCGGGCTTCTGCCCATCAATGGACAAGCATGTGCAGACTTAAGCTTTAAGATTTGTTTCCCATTTGACCAGTCAACCCAGCGGGTCAGATTTTTGTCATTCTTGTTGCTTTATGTATGTTCTCATGAGTCCTTATAACAAACAGACTGAAACAATTAAATGTAAGCTTCTTTACTCTAAGTTTTACTCCAGTCTACTTTTAAGAAGTCAGAGGAGAAATTTCAGCCAACAACAGACTAACAAGTTTAACATGATCCTGTTTTGAGATTTAAGTGGGTTCAATTGTAGGCTGTAAATGTTGCCAGTTTTGAAATTATTTTCTTCATCTCCATAGTTGTGAACATCTTATATGCAAAAAAGTACATAGATCACAAGTAGGGCCCGACCAATTTATTGTCGAGACGAGTAAAACGGCCAATTTTAGTCCATTTGAGACTAATCAGTAATCGGCCAAAACTCGCCGAATTTTCGACGATATTTTCGACGATATTTTCAGAAATAAAATGCGGAGAATATGATTCGGTTTCACTTTGAAAACGTTCCGCCATTTGAAAAGTTCCCCGACTTATCCTGTAGATGGCGCAGCGACCTCATGACAATCTTCATCCACTAACTACCTCACAGCACAGCAGAGTGACGCATCTGAAGCAGGCAGCTCAGGGACGCACGGAGGAGAGTGGTCCGCCTCAACGGTAAATAAACCAGTTTGTGAAGTAGACAATAAGTCAACAAGTTTCAGTTCAACCCACTTCACGATGTTCCCCGCTGTGCTGGTCTCGGTCACGCAGAGTTAACGGTGAAGTACCATGTAATACGCAAGCTAAAGTTTGAGTTAGCCATCTGCTATTAGCCTTGCTGCACTGTTAGCCGTGCCAGTAATGGTAGAATAAACAACAGTACACATTACGTGATCGAGCTACTTCTCTAACTGGGGCAGCTGCATGTCTCCAGATGAGACCGGACCGGAAATGGGTATCATGAGTTAAGACGTGGAGGCACCGATCGGCGGCGGCCGAGTTGAAAACACTTTTCTGGTCCGAGTTTGATCAGTCGGTCTTCAGTTGGCGTGAGGAGCAGTAGCCTACTGTATATCTACCGTATATAGTATACTGTAGATATCTACAGTATATATTTATTTTTTACTACTTCATGAAAAATTTAAAAATCGTTTAATCGGTAATCAGATTTTTTCCCCCCCTAATAATCGGTATCGGCATCGGCCCCAAAAAATCCATATGTTCGGGCCCTAATCACAAGAATAAAAAGCAAGACAGCTTCCATAACACACTAAACCAATGGGAATTTGGACTAGAGGACACAAGGGACAGTGTTCATGTCTTGTCCTGTTGACACCTTGTTTTAACGTGCACCCTGAACATGAACAGATCCTTGAATAGCTCTCTGTGCCAACTGTGTCTCCACATGTGTGACCACCAGTTGTCTTCCTCGTTTAATATGTAAATGACCTTTACCCAAAGGCCTCCTCATCAGCTCTTATCAAATATCTTGTAGATTTAGAAATGATAAGGATGTGCAGTTTTCTATTAAGTCTTATTCCACCCTGGAGGTGTGGTTCATCTGTGAAGTGTATAAACTCAAGTGTCTTCTGAAGTGGGGATGTAGGGGTAGACCGACTGATTTCCCTGCCTTTTAAACCAAAATCTAGATTGCAACAAGCTGATTTGTCTAAAGGTAATAAAACGATCATAAAACAGTTGAGCACAATGTATTTAAAACAGCTAAATGTGTGATTACAGAGTCTGGGGGTAACAGGTTTGCCGAGTGTGGTTAACACTAGGAAAGCTAAATCTTCTTAGTAACCACATGTCTGTGCTGGTAACACACTGCTCTGGTTGGGTGGTTACATGCCAGTTTAATCAGACACAGCCTACGAACATTTTCATCCCATTTTCTAGATCAAAAAAGGAGCAAACTGCACAAAGATGGAGCTAAAAGATGCCATCTTCTATCTGTGCTTGTTTAGTGGAGCATGAACGGACTAAAAACTCTAATGTGGACTAGCGAGGGTAACAATGTTGAAGCATTATTCAACTAAATGTGCACATCCAACCAGATGTCTGTACACGGGTCTCAGTTAATAGTGAAAAGACAGGATTCAGCACACTTGTCATCATGAGGACATGTTTTGTTTCCTCACCAGGCTGCAGTATTATGAACCATGATGCGTCACATCTCTCCACTTATTTCAGAAACAGTCTTGCCTGCTTTCAGCGACTGTACCTCATAGTCCCATTTTGAGGACAAAAATCACCGTCCTTTCATATTTCATTTAGATCCTCCTCTAATGCATATAGCACATTTGCTCAAAGCTAGCCATGGCTGGAAAAAGAGTAGAACCAAAGAAACCCAAGGATACACAGAAGAGGGTTTTAAATTCAAAAACATATAACATTAAATCAGACCCTGGACTCAGAGATGGAGTTGTCCTCCAATCGGCCACAGACCACCTGCCTGAGCGATCCGCCGTCAGTTCTTCCTCGAAGCATCTCGGGTGTATTAACACGTATTCTACTTATGATGGGATCACTCAGGACACGGGTTAATACCGGGCGTAACAAGTCCCATGCCAGAGCTTTTAACCTTCATAAGACTGTGTTACAGGCTATTTGCCAGTCCTCAATGTGAATACTCTTGGTCTAAATACAGCAATTGGGCCACAGGAATAGATGAATTTGAGAGGCTGTAGGATAAAGTAGATACTCTTGAGGTCAACCTGCTAATCATAATCAGTCCTTCGGCTTAAGCTGTCTGTAGCCAACTTAAAGTCTTTATCATGCGGAGTATTGATCTCCGTCTGCGGCAAAACCGTCAGCATGAACACCGTGAGTATGTTTAAGGCATGGGATCTTAAAAGGACGCTTATTTATGGCCACCTGAAGTATGCCAGATGCTTCTATGGGTCGGTCAGTCATGCTAAAGCCTTTATCCACACCATCTGTTGTAATACTCCCGCAGCATCTCAGGGCCATAGTCAATCCCCAATGGTAAAAAAAAAGAAATACTCCTCTAGGCAGCTGCTGGAATTGTGATCTGACACCACCTCTTGTATGGCTGCATAATCCTTGCTGTGAGCAATGTTCAGAGCTTCAAGTACAATTGGCAAAAACACCACACACACACACACACACACATACACATGTTCTATGATTAATGTTGTAGTCAATCAGAGTTGGAGCGTTTGAGTTTCTTCAGTGCACCTACATTACAAGTGTGCCTGGTGGGACGACAGGTTATTAATAGATTCGAGCGAGCTGCCAGCACCCCTGCCAGCATCCAACAACAAGAAGGCGAGCTCACACGCACGATCACACACACGCACACACACACACATCATATTTGTGTCAAGCTGTGTCTGAGTCATAACAAATGTCAGGTCTATGTATTACAGCGATGTGATGCGTGGCCAGCTCCAAATGGAAATTCCTGCAATATCCTTTTGTGTAAGAATCCCTCTGTTTATTCAGCCTACAAGAGTTCAATATGCTTTTATCTGTTACGTGTGTGTTTACTGGTTTGTTTGACTATTACGACCATTAACATGCGGTCAATTAAGCCGTCTCTCTTTCTGACATACTCACTATATCGGTCCTTTTCTCAGCTGTTCTTCTAAATGCGTCTTTCACCTTCAGTTATCCTTCAGCTCTGCAGGACAAATCAAACGTAGAAAAAAAAAAAAGCTAATCTGCAATTTGATCGCATCGGCAAGTGTTGAATGCCAAAATCAGTATTGATTGAAAGCCTAGACTTGAGCACTTGACCTGAATCATATATTAGCTCAATAATCTGTATTGCACATTCATTGTCGAACCAATCATGGTTGTTAAATATCTATGACAATGCTGAAGAAGTGTTTGAACCTGTTATATCCCACTATAAAAGGGTTATGTGGTCATGTCTGCACCCTGTAACACTGACTATCTTTTCACATGCAGGATTTAGTCATGTGAACGTCCATGTGAAGTAGTGTGAAAGCTGCTCTTTGTAGCACTCGTCACAAAGATGCACTTTAGTGACTTGGGTGATATTGCGTTGTGAAAAGGTTACACAGGGTGAGATGTGAAGTTCACAGCTGGTGTATGGTTGAATTTCTGCAGAGGTCTTGTTTGACACTATTTAGCGGCTTTGGTGACATTTCATAGTAAAAAAAAAACTGATGTGATGAGGAAATGTTCTGCTGTTTTTCCATTCTCACCTTTTTTGCTCTTCACAAAAGTTTATTTTCTTTCACTGTAAATCCCACACTATGTCTTTAATATGATCAGGGTGACTATATATTCACCCGAACTGTTACACGTTGCATGTATGATAAAAAATATGATATTACTGTCATGTTTTCTTCTTATATCTAAGGACTTCTCTGATCTTGCAGCTTCCTAACAGAGTTCGCTCCTCTTCTTTGTTTTTTTTCTTCACAGATAAACGAGTTAAGCCATGTTCAGATTCCCATCATGCTCATGCCAGACGACTTTAAGGCCTACTCAAAGATCAAAGTGGACAACCACCTCTTCAACAAGTAAGGCCTTTTAAAGTAGTATCTAGTATACAATCTTCACTTCTTTGATTCATTTTGCAGCATTTACAGTACATGGTCTCTTGTGTCTGCTGTTTGTTCTCTACAGGGAGAATATGCCCAGCCATTTCAAGTTCAAGGAGTACTGCCCCCTTGTGTTTAGAAACCTCAGAGAGAGGTTTGGCATCGATGACCTGGATTTTTTGGTATGAAAAGCAATGTCACAAATGCATCTGGGTCAAATATCTATCAGTATTTCTCGTGTCTCCTTCTTGGGGCTAAATTTATATGAGTATCCATTTTTGAAGGAGCTTAGTGACTTATAGATTACACATTCTGCTGAAATGCACGAATCAACAAAAACATCTGGTGCTATATCTGCGGCTAACTACTGCAATGAGCAAATTAAAATCATGCAACACTTGAGCGAGTTAGCTGTTGCTCTACTGCTTTTTTATTTTCCTCCTTTTGTCTCAGCCCCCTCTCTGCGTCTCTTCCTTTATTTTCCACTCTTCCTCTGTAAATCCCTCATCCCAGTGCAGGCCATGAGTTGGCAGTATTTAGAGGTCAGTGTGTCCCAGCTCACTGCAGCTGTCCTTCTCACATGTTTACATTAGGGTTCGGCTGGCTGCAGTGAGTGGGCAGTCGGGGGGTGTTCAGGCACCGGCCAGTGAAAAGGAATGTTGTTACATTCTCAACATTAGGCTACTTTCCTACACGAGGCACCAGTCTCACAGTGGTCAAAGAGGTTAACTGTTTTTGAACATCAGTGTTTTTCCTTGCTTCAGAACCAGCCTGTTGGCTTTGTTTCTAATTACATTGGTAATAATCCTCATCAGAGCCAGTGGGTCCCACCAGCTGCGGCGCTGCTCTTTTGATGACATGCTGCAGTAACCATTAGTTTTAATGAGCAATGTCGGCTATATCAGATTAAATTGGGGATGGTAACTGAAGTGCAGATTAACCTTTTTTCCACACATCGTGATGAATACGTTGTGGAAAAACTGACTTAACTTCAACAAAAACATGAAAACTTTGAAAGCTTTCATCAAAGACAGCCTCGGGCAAAGGGCCTCTTAAACATTTTCAGCCTCTGACACACACCACTTTAATGTAACACCAGGACCTAGACTGAAAGGAGGCCACTGAAAGTCCTCGCTCTTTAGCAAACCACAAAAAAAAAAGAAAAGAAAAAATACTGCAACCAATTTCAGATCTAAACACAAGAAAGACGCGCTGCTTAACAGTTGTTCTTAGCAGCCACTTAAAAGTCAGTCCTCACTTTGTGATAGCATCAGTAGATGCTCTGAGCTGAAGAGCAGTCAGGGGACTGAGGGCACAGGACAGGAGGAATTCTTGGAGAATGAGGCATTAAGCCAGGGGTGTTGGATCATGTTACTTTGGAGCTCTGAAGTCTGGGCAGCAGCTGTTTGTGTCTGTGCGTAGGTTTGGACAGGCAGCAGGCATGGGGGTCAGAACCCCACATGTTTAGACTGGAGAGTAGGAGGTGGTCACACAACAAGAAGATAGAGGAAGGAATCCTGTAATGTGGAGACCATTAAGGAACATCAGAGGAACAACTGTATCAGAGTTTCAACCAAGTGATGAAATTTGGTTTCAGCACCAGCAATTGCCACTGTGATGTCAGGATAAAAAGTGACTCATAGTCAAATAAACAGAGCGACTAATGTTTTCTGCTTTTAAACAGACAAACCCTTAAAAGAAGAAAGTTTACTTTAGATTTTAAATTGCACACTTTAGATCTCGAGGTCTGGATTTTTGTGTGCAGTGCGAAATGACAACCAAGCATCTTGATATAAATAGGAAATTTGGCATTTGTGTATATCTACTTTCACGTGCCTTTGGTAAAACTTAAGAACTAATAACTAGAAGTTTCTTGGCTCTTTGAGCTCGCTGTTCACATCTCAATTAAAAATGTTTTTTTTATTTTTGTCCTTGCTTTGTGTTTTCAGAACTCTTTGACACGCAGTGCTCCTTTGAACAGTGAGGCCCAGGGGCGCAGCGGGGCTCGCTTCCACACCTCCTGCGACAAACGCTACGTCATCAAGACCATCAGCAGCGAGGATGTGGCCGAGATGCACAACATTCTGAAGAAATACCACCAGGTGTCAACAGTTTATGACATCTCTAGATACAAGATAGGCGTTTTTCAACTCTGGGACCTTTTTTTCAGCTTAATTAGCTCAAAACCAGTTTTTTTTTTCTGCAGAAACACATGTAAAATCAAAAGACCAATCCCAACCCTTTTTTTTCCTACTTGCTCAGCATAAACTTTGCATTTCCCCATCTTAAGCTCTACTTGTTATTTAGGGTGAGAGTGCTATCAGGTTGCAAATTCATACATTGTGCAATGTTCAAGCTCTTTGTTTTGATTCTCGGGTTAATGCTGTGTTTTAGAAACCCACCCTTCCCTTTTCTTTCAAGTCCCCTTTCTAGCAGCGTCAGTTAACATACATTGTGTCTATTAAAGGGACATATAATTGATATCCCTCGCTCTCTTTTTTTGATAGTTCATTGTTGAGTGCCACGGGAACACGCTGCTGCCCCAGTTTCTGGGCATGTACCGGCTCACCGTGGATGGAGATGAGACCTATATGATTGTTACACGCAATGTCTTCTCTCATCGCCTCTCTGTCTACAAAAAATATGATCTCAAGGTAAGAAAAGGGGATCTGAAAGGACTGGAGCATTACAGGAAATATACACTGTTTATCTGTGAACTGAACAAAATGTATCTCACACTTTCAACGCCAAGAAAGAGCCTTACTTGTTGTTGAAATTTTTCGCAAATAATATGTACCAGTGCAAAAAATAATCAGGTGTTGATACACCCGAAGATGGTAAACGAAGGCTGGGTTTGACATATCAGGCATTATCCATTGAGTAATAAGCTGTTTAATCTGTGTGCTTCCCTTGCCTAATAGGGTGAGCTCTTGTGTTCAGGCATGCATAGGCGTAATAAGTATCTGTAGGAATTAGTATTTGTAGGAACACTTGAGTGTTTTTTAGTAACAGCAGAGTTATGGAGAGTGATTTCCTGTTTTTATGTCTCCAGGGTTCTACTGTGGCAAGAGAGGCCAGCGACAAGGAGAAGGTACAGTCACCTTTAATGAGAAAAGATCAGCTGTTAAACATACCAACACAGCTTCAAGTTTAATACCGGCAGGACTTGTTAACCTTTATTGTGCCCTGTAAAGACACTGTAAAAGTAACAACATAAACTCTGTGCACCAGCGAATCAAAAGCGAATTGTATCAAAGGATGTTTCGCCCTTAAAACTGCATCAGAAGAAAGCAGTTGACACCACTACAGAATATTTAAGGTGCTTAAATTAATCTTTTTATATCAATGTGTTACAGCTTAATCAGTCCCTCCTACAACACATGGATATTCCTTTGTTTCCCTACTGAGAAATAGAGGAATATCTGTGTCTCCATATCAAAAGAAAACAGTCGACATCATTGGTTCATACTTTATTATGGTGTTATCTTTCCCCATCGCTTTCTAAAACACTATTTTTATCTGCTGAACATGCGGCCATCCTTTCAGCACATCAGAAACTGCATTGCTCAAAGGACAGCTGGTTCTGTGACAGTGGAGGTCAGAGTCGGTGTGGATTGAACAGATGGACACTTGTATGGCACTTGCGCGCCACTCAGGTCTCGAATCTGGAGTCAGTTTGATTTTAAAGACACGGATCCTTAAAAAGTATTCAGAAACTTAGAACTTTTCAGCAAAAACAAATAGAGAAATACTTCGAAACCTGAGATTATTTTTCCTTCAAGATATTTGAACACTGCACTGAAATAATTACATTATTCTCTGTTAAAAGCCACACGGACAGTCGCACAAAGGGAGGAAAACAAACAGTGTTTCCGTTGGTTTTAATGACTGAAAGTTTCAAACAATTTTAGGTTTACTGTCATCACCCCAAACGCCTAACAAACACGACTTCCTTTTCTCTCCCTTTGGGTGAGGATGACAGTAACACATATCCATCTCCTTCACTTAGCACCTACTTCATCACCCCATTCCCCTTCCCGTCCCTGCACGCCCTTTGTGTCTCTTTAATTTGCTTCATCCCCTCTAACCTCGCTTCTGCTGTTCCACCAGTCCCCCCCCTGCTTTCTGTCTGTGTGTGGAAGACTGAGTGTGTGTGTGTGTGTGTGTGTTTGTGCGGAGTCGGGGTATGTGTTGGGTTTTGAGTTTTCTTCAGTCAGATGTGTCATGATTTTGAGAAGTCCTTTGTTTGGTGTTTTTCTGTGCAGCTGTGTGTGTGTCTGACTGGCCGTTGTGTGTTTCAGCAGTATTGTTTGACAGTGCTGGAAGTGTTGCTGCTTATGTGGGTTTGGCTATTTCGGCTCTTGGCTGCTTTGACAGTCACCTGTCATACATGAAGAGTGTCAGTGACGTTGTAAAGGACCTGACGGCCTAACCTTCTACTTGTATGAGCTAACAGTTAAAGACAGGTGTATGACCAATTATTAACAGTGTATCTTATATATTCTGAAAGCTTTGACCTATAGGTGATGGAAATCGCTGACAGCGTCCTTGAACACAGTGACTTTAGAGCACCGTGGGTTTTGACCTGACAGCTCAGCAGAATTGGAAGGGGACGGTCATCCGAAGTGATTTTCATTCATTGCATGTCTCCACACGTTGCTCAAAAGTTTGTCTGACCGTGAAACAAAGAGAGAGAGAGAGTGCCACAGTTTTGACCCTGCAGGGTTTGAACTTTCCACTGGGATTTACAGGAGCTTACTGGTGGGGCACCATGCAGTGAGGCATGGTAGATCTCAGGGAATCCCCAAACTAAATATAGTCTTCTGTAAATGGAAGAAGAAACAAAACGGTATTGGGGTTAAAACAGATGGGTGGGAAAAAATAGCATTGGAGGATTTAACACACACACGTGAGCCTGCTGTGTGACCTCTTTTTGTCCACAGCTCGGCTGTGTGTGTGTGTGTGTTTAAGAGAGAGAGAGAGAGAGACACCATTTTCAGTCTAGCAATAGAGATTAAAAATGCTCTATTTTGGTCAGGCTAACATGGATAAATATGTCACTTTACAACATCGACCAACATCAGCTCTAATCTGAGGAATCATCAAAAGTGTTGTTGTTGGTCTCTGAGTGAATTTCTTATTTGACAAAGTAAACCTCTGATGATAGCTGAAGCCAGTCAGGTTGATCATCATCATCACACAGGAACTTTTTAGTGTGTGCTCACTTTCATACCCAGGTTAGAGCAGGCTCATTTGCAGCTAAGACTGAAACGTTAAAGAGAAGGTGCTGCTGCTCTCTCAACATGAAACACCATGTTTATTCACACTTACTCACACACACACACACACACACACACACACACTTAGATTAACCTATGATAACTAGCTCTGAGGGTTTGGTCGCTTCAAACTAATTTACTCCAGTGAGAAACATATTGCAGCTGCCGGTGAAATGACAAAAGAAGCATTATGTCAGATAATGATTTGCTCAATAGGTTCAGTGTGTATGTGTACAAACCTGCTTCACAGACACACACAAACATCAAGCACGGCAAAGGTTTTCTCCTGACTGCATGACCGCCCCCTCTCATGCATGCTTCTGCATGGTATAAAATGTTCTTCTGCATCTTTTTTGAAGTGGATGATTTCACACATTGTGATGTATATAAACACCAGCCCTGTTCTTTTTCACATTGTAGATGTGTTCTGTTCTACCTACTGTTATGTACGACATGTGCTTATTTATTATTTTTCATGAAAGAAGCCTGCAGCTCTTGTAGCTGCATTCTTGGTTTTAGCCGCTCTCTAAAACATGTTTATGTAAAGCATTTGACTGTGTGGATGTTCAGTGAGTATTTACACACATTTTTTCATGAATCAGATTTAAAAGAGCCCTGAATGTGTTGGTTTTACTCTGGCCAATCAGATCCTCTTCTTTTATGGCGGGGTGACTCCAGAAAAAAACTGTCTATGACCCAGGACCTTGGTTGATGAATGATTTGATCACAGCGTTTGTTCTCTAGCTGGTATATTTTAATGTTATTCGACACAATGGTCCTATGTTTGCTGAATAGCACTCAGTTTTTATCTGCTGTAGTTTTGATGTTGTACTTGTTTGCTCTTCTCTTGTATTCATGCCAGCGTCAGCTGGTCACTCCAGTGGAGACACATGGTTTTGATGTGTCAGTATGACTGAATGTGAAACACCTGGGTATTAAGATAGCAGACCCTACCCAGAACATGTACACCCTTATAGAAAGCAACACACCTGAGTAGATGATGGTACAATACAAACTCTTAGATTATAGACACTTCCTTGCTCTTCATAGCTCCAGCTCTTGGCCTCTTTGCCTCCCAGTAAAGTGTGATATAGTCTAGCCTAGCTGCTTCCTTTCCCTACCAGGAACAGTTTAATACAAGGTTAGGCAAGAACACTGAAAATACAGCTCCTGAATACGAACAATGAAACGTAAATATGAAACTGATGACACTGAAATGGTGTGGTTGCTACAGTGGTGACACTAACTGGCTTATTCGTTGAATGGAACTGTTGCAGACTGCTAACACTCTCTGGACACAGCCGTTGTTATCTGGGCTGGTCACGCCGAGCCTTTCGCGTTGATGCCCTTTCCAACCCTCCACCAATTTGAAATAACTGTGCTCTGTAACATTTGAAACACTTTGCCTTTACTTTCAACTTCCTTCCTCCCTTTCCCTCTCCTTTCTTCTCTCCTGTCCTCCACCCCTACCGCCCTCCCCCACCCCTCCCCCCTCCACCCTCGCTCCCCCCCTTTTCTAGCAGCCGCCCCCACCAGAGGATGTGCCCCCACGGCCCAAATCTGGTAATGTTCAGCAAAGGCTGCAAACACTGCGGATTGCCACGCGCTTTTACTGCGCCATGAAACACGTAAGAGATGTAAGAGAACCAGGGCTCATATACCAGGCATGATCTATTAAACCAACCTTATTTTATTGTCCTTTTTTTTTTTTTGTACGGCCGAGTATTTTCGTTTTCCCGTCTTCTCCAAACTGATCCACATTTAAAGGCCATATTTTTAACACTTTCCATCCATTACAGTCACTTTCAGCTCAATCTGTCAGGAAGCTAAGTTCACAAATGGCACCAAAACTGGAGAGCGAGAAGACTTGGGTTGTTGCATGATTGGGAAGAAAAACTGCCTGGTCAAACAAGAAGAGTTAGGAACTCTTCTACAGTCATTAACTCCAAGTTAAAGATTGTAGCTCAGTAGTTACACAACATTTAATGTGCCGCAGTAAAAAGAAAAGCATAATTTCAACAGAAGCCCAAACTATTGTGTTTAGATCTGTGGAGAGCCTTATGAAGAGTTCAAAGCCATTTATTTTGTATATATATACTGTACATGTAGTGATTAAGAGGAAGGATGAGATTTCCTGGCTCCAGGTCCGGCGTTTTGCTGCAGCCTTTGTTGTCGGGAATCAAATCATTTGGCAGAGGATGAGCAGATACTATTGAAAAGACATGAGTCAGAGTTGTGAGGGATATTGTTTCTCATGAGTGTGTTGACGAGACTGTGTAGTACGAGCCAGTGATGCTACGAAGGGTCGGTTATTTTTAATAGCCACAGACTCATGAAGAAATCAGCATTATAGAAACAGTATTTTTGGCATCTCTGAGTGATTGTGGTAATGACTTTTTCTCAGCTCTTAGTTTGTTGATAACAAACAATAGTCCCTGATAAGAGAGCTACAGATGTGCCACTTCTTATTTGCATGTAACTACTTTCTGTTTGAATATTGCATTTTTAAATTGTTGTGGAAGATAATAAATGCCTGAAAACATCAGAAGAACGCAACTGACAAAGACAAATCTTTATCAAGGTGTGTGAGCAGCTCATCTTTGATACCAAAAGCCTCCTCCAGCTTACAAGAGGCTGAGCAGAAATGAGATTGACTTGTTAAGGTCTGAAGAAGGAATTCACCGGTCAAACAGATTTACAAGGTTTATCGACGACCCTCTCTGCCTGCCTCTTAGATCCGCCTGGTTTTCTGCTGCATCGGTTACCGTAAAACACGAACAAAGACAGCGAATGCATCACTTGAAAACTGCATTAGACATAATGAGCTGGTCAGAAAGAGCGACGGTGTGTGGCGTGGTATTCAGAGACCCCTACATATGAAAGTAGCAACACATGGATGAGTGAAAGAGTTGAGGCGTCATTTAATTTGACAGGCCTGTTAAATGTTTCCAAGTTACGTTCACTCCTTGCAGTCAGTCTTCTGTTGTCCTTGTTTACTTTTTATGTTGCATCTCTACTCAGTCTTAAAAAGTACATCCCATATTTACTCAAATCTGAGGTCAATGTCTGTTTATATGTGTGTTAAAAAGTCCTACTCTGTGATATGTACCCTGTCCTTATCTGTGTAAAGATGTTACATGTATGTTGATGTATGTATGTGTGTGTATGTGAGTGTTGTTAAAGCTCATTCTAATGCCATAGAGTGCTGTTGTGTTGCTGCTCTTCTCCTGCTGCCATAGAAACTCTGTAGTGGCTAAACTACCGCTGCTGCTCTGTGACCACATTTCCTGCTCTCTTCCTCTTCCTCAGTGACTCAAAACTAGTTCCTACTCACACAACAGCTCTTCCCCCTGCAGGCTGTGAAGAAATTCATCTCAGTAGATAGGCACTTAAATAGGAAAATCCTCCATTCTGCTTGTGTATGTAATAGTGGGAATCAGTTTCAAAGATGGAGCTTCACAAAGGTTTTAAGAAAAAGTGTAGATCGATACAGCAGTGTGGTATTTGAGAAGCATCGTACGTGAAAACACAATTGTTTAAATTAAAGAGGGACAAAATGATGCTTTTCCAAGACCAACCCAGCCGACATGATTAGGTCGTCCTTCTTCCTGACACAAAGAGTATGGATCTATCAGATGCATTAACCTCCTCCAGTATTCTGCACAAGCTACCAGAGTTTGTCCTGTGTTTCACGGTTCGGATACATTTCACTGTAAACATTATGGAAAAAAAATGCAAATTGGTGCATCAGATGGATCTGTACCCTGCCGTGAGCATGCTGCATGTACTGTTGTACACAGTCGGAACATTTAGCTTGGAGAGAGGCCAGCCTTGGTTTGGACAGACTGCCTGTACTTTGTTAGCCAACTCCTTTTCTAACTCTTATTTGCAGTATTTGGCCGAATCAGACAGGCTTATCTAACAAACCACAGGCTCAGAGCCTCGTTTTTTTTTTTTGGTGTTTCAACATGCAGGATTGTCTTGTCAGGCAGTTACATATCAACACGTTTTGGACGTGACTAATTTGTGAGATTAGCAATAATCTTTGTCTTCATGCATTTTGAAATACCCTTAATTCTTATAGAGCAAGACAGCGATATGCCGTCTTTTAATCCTGTGTAATGACATTTGCAATGTGTCAAATTAGTAATGCACTCTGGGGAAAAAGGATGAAGAACAATCCTGCTGGTGTCACTGTTTCGACAGAGAATTTGGTAACCCTTTCTTTAACGGCACACTTATTACCAGGTAATTAACAGGTAATTACCTAGTAACAACATGAAACTATCTGGTAATTACATGATAACTACTAAGTCAATACTGTCTAGTTTTTCTTTTTTCTTTTTTCTGTGCAGCTCCATTTTCAAAAGCTATTTGGGGTTCTTATTTTCTAAGATTGACACTTGATACAGCCTATGGGCGTGCGAAGATTGCGTAGCGATACGCTGTTTGAGCCGAGCGTTATCACAATGCTACTGCGCAAGTGGTGGTTCCAGGAAGCGGGTGAAAATCCTGGAAATACCAGAGCAATTCGGCTTCAAATTTGTATGATGATGGAAGGTTACCTACCTGGTAGCTAGACAGTATTGACTTAGTAGTTATCATGTAATTACCAGATAATTTCATGTTGTTACTGGGTAATTACCTGTTAATTACCTGGTAATAAGTGTACCGTAAAAGAAAGCGTTGCAGAGAATTTATTGCCTTAATCCCAAATTTCTCAAAGTCTTAAAATATCTTAAAAAAACTTCAACTTTGCAGAATCAGTTGATTAATGTTTACAACATTATTATCCTCGCAAACAAAAATTTAGGATGTGATCTGAGCACCAGAATTGTGTCATGTTTTTGCCCAGGTGTTGTACCTCTCAGTGTTGTGGTTTTCACTGTTGTTTATTTGGTGGCTAATCTCTGATGCTAATGGGCAGGCCAAGGAGCTGCCCACGTACAAGGACAATGACTTCATCAATGATGGGCAGAAGATCTACATCGACGAGGAGAACAAGAAAATGTTCCTGGAGAAGCTCAGGAAAGATGTGGAGGTTGGTGTTCACAATTAAATTTATCTTGAAATGTTGCCCCAAACGCCTCCCTCAGCCCCCCTCTGTGAAAACGCTCCTCTTATCTTCTCATCGCTTTTTTATTTTTTCCATCTTCTCCCTTCTTCCACCCCCTCTCAGTTCCTGGCCCAGCTGAAGCTCATGGACTACAGCCTGCTGGTGGGAATCCATGACGTGGAGCGGGCCGAGCAGGAAGAGGTGGAGAGCGAGGACAACGAGGCCGAGGAGGAGGGAGAGAGCGACGGAGGGGGCATCGGGACGCCCCCTGACAGTCCCAGTAACACCCTGGACAGCACCAAGCCTCTGTCACCTGGAGAGTTTGACCCCAGCATTGACGTCTACGCCATCAAATGCAAAGAGAGTCAGTAGACACATGCATGTTTTCAGTCTCTTATGATCTACAACACATCAGTGTGAGGGCTCTATGTAACTACAGTAGTTAGAGCTCCCTCTGCTGGTTACTGAAGTTGTCATTTCAGCCTCTCATCTGATAAGCTTTGCTCCCTCTTTTCGATTTTGTTGCATTTTAAGGATGTAGTTTCACCATCTCACTCATTGGGGTTACTTTTTCCACGTACATAAACATGCCCTCCTCACCCCCTCAGAGCTGATCACGCTTCATATAATTCTCATATTATGCGCCTTATCCCTAAATCATTTTGGGTGTGTGTTTTTGAAACTGCAGGTGCTCCTAGGAAGGAGGTTTACTTCATGGCTGTCATCGACATCCTGCAGCATTACGATGCCAAGAAGAAAGCTGCGCACGCCGCCAAGACTGTCAAACACGGGGTTTGTCGCTCCATACGAGACCGATTTAACCGCGTGAATATCGTAAACATTCGATTACAAGCAGTGATCATTTGTGTTCTCCTTCGCAGGCCGGAGCAGAGATCTCCACGGTGAACCCCGAGCAGTACTCCAAGAGGTTTTACGATTTCATCACCACTATCTTGTCATAGCCTCCAGGAGCGACAGGAGGCACAGGGGCACATGGGAAAAGGGAGGGCAAGCAGGGAGCGATCTGAGGAGAGAATTGACGGAGAGAGAAACCATTGAGGGGGCTGTATTACGAAGGTGACGGCTTCGTGTCGCTCTCCTCTTCCTCACTCCTTGTTTGTTTCTCCCTCTTCCAGCGGGGTGCCGCGCTCTGCAGCTAAACAAAAACCCATCATTCGTTTACATTTAACCTCTCCTCTGTTGAGTTCATGTGTTACTTTGGATGATAAGGGTGTTAAAAGCAAGTGTCCAAGTCATTACCTTTTTTTTTTTTTTTTTACATCATTTGTGTTTGTTTGTTTTGTTGTAAATGTGGGAATACGGCTTTTTAACTGCCTCTAACACAGCATCCAACATCCTGCATTTTTTTTTTTTTAACTTTTTAAATTTTTCGTTTGTACTTGTGAGGGTTTGGATGTTTGGGGAGGTAGGTGGACGGAGAACAGGTAGAGGGGAGCGCAGAGGTGAGAGTACGGCACAAAAAAAACGAAGGCTCGAGTGGGGCCTTATGAGCCTCCTCTAATGCAAACGCTTCATTTCAGGAAGGAGGAAGCTGTCTTCCAATAGGCCAACTGCCTGACCCCCCACCTGAATGCTCCACGAATACTAAGCCAAACAAAACTTCACATTTGAGCCCCCATTCCATCACTCGAACCTTCAGACATCTTCCAGACCCCTCCTGGTCCTTCGTGTAGTTACTGAATCAAGCTTCTGGGTTATCCTCTGTGATGAGTTCACCGATTCTGACGCTTGTTTTCCAGCTTTTGTTGCACCTCAGTGGTTGTCAGTGTACTTGTATTGACTCTGAATACATCGGGCATTGTTATAGTTGGTTTTTTGTTCCTGTGGCGGAGAATTACCCAGAAGTCCTGTGCGGTTGCAGTGATTTAAGGTGAAGTCACTTCTCGTTATATCTTCGTGGAAGGGTGTCACGTTGAAACATCAGCAGCCCTTAACTTTCTGTTGCCATCAGCACCTTATGAGTGAAATCAAAACGTTGCACTTTTATTTGTTAGTAAAGGTTAGGAGTTCTTGTTCTGTTACTCGCCCTGCAGCGAAGAGAAAGAACTGAATCTGTCGAGGCCTGATCTCAAACCCTCTGTGTCCATTATTTCTCGCTGGTGGGCGCTTCTCAATGCGGGGATTGTTCGGGAAGAATTTACAGCAATATTTAAGGGGGAGAGCGGATGAGTTCTGATCACAGGGCTTTTTGTAAACTAACCTTTCCGGTCCTTTCTGAGAAGCGCTCCGCCGTGTCGCTAGTAGTGGCGGGGTTTGGGGAGCTAGGCAGCAGTGCGACTCGCGCATTCAGGGCGGACAGAAGACTGTTTACCTCCAGCATCGTACCAGCACACACCCAACGATGGCGAGTGACGTGTGTGTCAGTGTTCATAAAGAGGGGGGGAGAAAGAAAAGAGGAGAGGAGGGAGGTTGGGAAGAAAAGCGACATGTTGTTAAATCATTAACACCATCGAGCGTGGTCCTCTTCTTTAACCTCCGCCGTGAGTCTGTTATTCATCGTTCGTGTCGTTTATTGTTGACTTTTTTAAAGGTGGTGTATCTGTGTTTGAATTTGGCGGTTTTATGCATCGATGTGGTAACTTTTTTTTTCTTTTGTTTTTTTCTTTTGTATATTTTGCACAAGAGGAAAGGAACCAAATGTTACGAAATATGATCCCAATTAGTAGATATGGTCTTAACAAGGGAAATGCAATATACTTGTATGTAAGTGAGAAACGTTGTTGTGCGTGTGATGTTGTGTATCACTTTCTGAATAACCAACTAAAACAAGTAAAGTCGTCCTCGTTGGCTATTCTAACCCATGCAAAAAGCTTCCACCACGATGTGTTTGTTTCAAATCATAGATTATATTCACATTTATATTTTTACATTGGATTTTACTCGTGAAATATAGTCGTATTTAAAAAAAGGAGCCACCCTTTGGAATGACTGATGGTGCTGTGGTAAATGAAGAATGATACTGCTTGAATTTATAAAATGCTTACTATAGATGTACCTAAAAGAAAAAGGCTTAAAAAAAAAAATTTGCATGTCACAGGACTAAGTTTCCTTTCCCTTCTCTTGTCTGTGTTGTCAGGTCCTCTCCGTGTCCCCTCACTTTAACCAGGTCTGTTAGCTGTTCAGCGTAAACTAGTCTCTACCATGCTTTAAATAACTGTTTTTCATTGTATACACTGTGCAAGATGTGTGCCTTTATACTCCAAAATTATTTAATTTTATATTTTGTAATCTTTTTTTAAAACAAAAGTAAAAGGTTATTTTAATAATAGGGTGTTTACTTTGACATGCGTTGTTTTTCCACCGTTGTGTTCACCCCCTCCCTGCTGCTTTCCACCGTGTTTAAATTGTTCAGGCAGTATAAAATAAAAACCCTTCTGATGATTGTGTTTCAACAGACAGAAAGATTCAACAGCTGTCTCGGGTTTAAATACAGTGGACGAGCTTCAATTCTGTAAATGCAAATCCATAAATCTGACTATACAGTGTGTGCAGGCGTCTGTTCCTCCTCCCTTTTCCTCCGAGTGAGGTTTGTCTGCTGATATTAACCCTGTGTCCCTTTTACGCTGGTCCTGCCTTTATAAAGAACGTGTGTGTGTGCGTGTAAGTGGATTGTGGAGTGTGTGTGTGTGTTGTGATTGTGTTTCGATATGCTCCCCCCCCACACACCTCAGGAGTCTGTCAGCATCTTCATCCTGTTATCCCACCTCCCAAAAGGCGCAGTCATATTCAGGAATGTGATTTTATTTTGTTTTGGTTTTTTGTCCAAAATTTCACCCCGAGTTTATGTACAGCTTTAACGTTCATGTTTATTTTTTGTTTGCCTGCGTGTTATCAGGGAGGCTCTCAGCTGATAGATCATCCTGAGTCAGTGGTTATTTGATATCTCTGTGTTCTTCGCTATTAATCAGATGTTTTGTTTCTGTTGTAGCTCAAACTGTACATAGATGGTGTCATACAGAAAACATCTCCCAGTCTGATTTGCTCTGTTTGGCCCTGGAGGCTCACAAACAAACAAGTAGAGAACAGAGCAGTGCATGCTGGGAGAGGGAGTTTTCCTTTGTTTTGTTTTGGGAAATTGAACTCTGGCTCTCATAACGATGCCAGACTTTTACAGATGCAAATGAATGACGATAAATCACACACACCCCCTGCAGCTAAACCTTCAAATGAATTAGTCCTCGCTTTAGGGACTCCTCTCATGAACGCAGCCACCGTTATCTTGCCAAGAGCATTTTTGATCAGTCACAATTACCCCACACGAGCTTGAAGAACATTGTGTAACATGTAAATGTGTCTGTTCGTCAAAAAAAAAAAAATACAATTTTTTTTGTTTGTTTCATATTTTTGGGAGATAGAGCAAAAGTATGCATCACTGAGAAGTGAACTTGTGAGTTTTTTTTTTTTAAGTGTTTAAGGGAAAGTTTGATCACAAATGCAAAAATAACCAGAGGCCACGCAAAATTTGCAAAGATGGAAAAAAATTTCTTCGGCTTAAAAAAAATTGCAACTCTACAAATTTCTGTCGCAAAGAACAACAACAACAAAAAAAGATAAAGCACTTCAGTCCTTTGCATGTAAAGTTGAGTCTAAACGCACCAGGCCAAGAAAAAAAATCCCTCTTGCAATGAAGCTTCGGCCTCAACACAGTCCAGAGTCCATTAAGACCACTTCTAAAAATAAAAAAAAAGACACAATGGCTACATTACTCTGTGTGTGAGTGTGAGTGTGTGTGAGAAAGAGAGTGTGTGTGTGTGTGTTCATTGCTGTTTGACAATGGTTTATGAGAGTTCCCTTTCAGTTGCAGAGGGGCCAAAATGTTGATGTCTGTGTATTGGTCTTCACATTTAATGATAATAATAATAATACACTCCATTCCATAAGCGTTCACTCAAAACAATTAAAGCACTTGTTCTGCTTAACTCCAAGTCTATCTCTGATGCTTTTCTTTTCATCATTTCATGAATGTTTTTCCCGTTTTTTTCGCTTACACTTTCTCTCTAAATTTATGTGTAGATGCAAACCTCCGTCTACATGCGCAGTTAAATAGTCCGCAGCATGGTCAATTATAATACATTTTTATCAGTATTTGGACTCAGATTTTATTTAAATTTTATAGCTGTTTAAAAAACTTTTTGATCCTTAACTGTTGTCTATCTTTCTGTCATTAGTGCTGTATTTCGGATTATGGTAATAATCTTCAATCACGATCAAACCGACGTCTGGTGTAGAGTCTCGGTTATGAGCCTTGGAAACAACACCATGAGGAAATCTCTGATATAGATTTTTTTTTATTTTTTATTTTTTATGCTATACTGTGATAAAAACAGATAAGATAAAGCCTCACTACAGCGAAGTAAAACGATGTCTGTGAATTTTGTTGTAATAGTCAGGTTGAAATTAGGCTATTACTCCTTAAATGAACATTTTTTTTTAAAACGTGCACCTTGATACAAAATGGAAGACAATGGTTGGTGGATTGATTTGCACTTCAAAATGTCACCTCTACTTTGCAGCAAAGCGTTCAAATCCGAGTTGAAGAAGTTCGTAAGTAATATGTTTGGTTTGTTCATGTCCACAACGAGCCTAAAATCAGATTAGATTAGATTAGATTAAGGGAGACCGGGGTTGGTCGTCACACCTTTACTCTCATTAAGTGGTCAGCTAAAGTTATGAGTATATTTTTCATTGGGATAAATTAATTTCACTGCAACTTTTTAACCCTGTCATGGGTTGGTTGTCTTCAAAGTAATGGGTTGGTCTTTATCTTAAAAAGTTGTTCACTCTTTTTAAGCATGAGAGAAATTGTTTAGAAATGAATAAACCCTCTTTAATGCTAGTTATTATTTATATATATATATATATTTTGTGGGAGGGTGTGTGCTAAGGGTTAATGATTTGTACTTTGCTAGAAACGTTTGGCTGTAACAGACATGTTTGCTATGATGATGGGAAAAAAAAAAATTATAATGACAAAAATGAGAAAATAAATCTGACAACTTTAAAAGTAGCCCATAAAAATATGTCCAACAAGTTTGAAGTAGTTTGTGACAGCCAACCCAACTTGACTTCTTGCTTTTATTTTTAACCAAATATCTTATTTTCTCTTTAGTTACATTTTTTTTTTTTACTTTTCAAGTGTTTAGTGCTCACTGAACCATGTGGTGTAAAACTATTTTACATTATTTTCCATAATGTCCCAGTTTTTTACTTCACTGCTCACATTAAAATCAGTGACAAAAGCAACTCATCTGTTAGATATAATAGTGTTAACTTAGGGTGAAAGGCATCACCGGTTTACATGGAACAAAAAAGGTAAGAGTAAAGGGCATTTTTGATTTTTTCTAAGGGGGTTTATCGTTCATTCTTTAACAGAGAGGCTGTGGAAAATTACAGCTCGTTTCTGTGTGGCAGCGTCGTTATAAAGTAGCTCCGTGGGTGTTAGCTATTAACAAACAAAGGCCTATTTTAAACTGGATTTATACATACGGATAGTTATAAGGTGTTTAATTAGTGAAATATTCGTTTTAGTATTCGTAATTCCCGTCTCCGTTTCCTCGTCCCTGTCAACCAAAGGTCCTCCAGCAGCTTTCATTCCCTGGGCGGCAAGAAAAGCAGATCCGACCCGATCAAACTGTCTCATAAAGGGTCAAAATGAAGCATGCAGACCTGAAACATGAAGCTATGGTTGGCTATAGATCGCGTTATAACGTGAAATGAGGAGGGGGTGGTGTTAGTGGTGGTGGTGGCAGCTGCAGCCGGAGCATGTTGGATTCTCCGCCGCGCTGAGAGGCGGAGGCTCATTTGCACCGTCGGTACAATGTGGAGAACAAGCAGAGACAAACCAGCAGACAATAAACAAAGAGCGGCTCGCCATGTGCGCTGCAGCTGCTGCACACACACTTACACACACACTCACGCACACACACAGTTGGGCTGCAATGATGTGGCGCGGCCGCCAGGGGGCAACCTGGCCACAGCTGGGACTGAGAGAAAGGGTTTTAATATGTAAGATTAGTCGACATAGCTCCAGCACCTGATCTGATCATACATTCAAGTCAAGTTTGGGAAAGGTGAAATACAGAATTACAAGGAAAGCAATAGAACAAGTCTTGAAATCATGTGTCAGCTCTGACTTTTTAAGACTCATTAGGACCAGACTATTTAAAGTTTTGTGCAACACAAATTTTAAAATGTCACTTTGGCAGCTAACTCTTTCAGCCATCAAAAGGACCCTTGACCTCTCTGAAATGGGGACTCAGAGCCGGCCTAAGCCTCAATGGGGCTCTTAGCAAAACTTGATTTTGGGGCCCTCTATTTCAGCCAATAATATTGATTATTGATCATTCACACACCTTCACAAATCTCTTTGATTAACATTCCATCACATGCAAACATACCTTTATCTTGGTGTTTTTTCTCTTCTTCATCTTTCTTCCTCTTTCTTTTTTCTGCTCCTGAAGAAGATGCACGACACTGTTTTGCCCCAAAACTACCTGCTCTTTGGATGCTCAGTGCACATTGCACAGTAGAAGGTACATAACCATAGCAGAGCTTTGACATATCTACATATCAGAATCATAGGCCTACATCAGCAGCAGCACTAAAATGTTTTTACTTTATTTTATTTTTACAATAGTATATATTTGATCATACAGAAAGCATCACTCATACATGCAAAAAACATAAAAAATATTATTTTTTTGATTGCTCTGGGGGGCCCTAAGCAGGTGTTTAATTTGCTTATGCCTTGGGCCGGCTCTGTGGGGACTACAGATTGTTGACCTATCGCTCTAGTTGTTAAATTATTTTTACAGTTCAGACCAATTAGCACTGATAGGTTAAGAAGCGACCCATGAGTATTAATATAGAGGACATCACAGGGACGTTTCACTGTGTATTACTCCACCATAGATGTTTGGAATACTCTGTAGATGGTGCTGCTGTTGGTCTTTGTACCAACTGATCAATTTAATCACACATTTACCAACTTTGCACAACAAATGAATACATATACAGAAAAAATGCAATGCACATTTGGTCTGCTGAGACATGTAGACACAGAAAATAACTACATTTTGGGGAAATGTTGAAGTCAAAGAAGTAGCTGTAAAATGATTAAATTACAAAAAAATAGTATGAAATGTTTCAATTTAAACTAATAAATGCAATTTTTAAAACTTAAAAACAAATGTCACTCTTAAGTTTGTGCCATCATGCGGGCTATAAGCACAGCTTTTTTTTTTTTTTTACTTCACTACTCGTGAAACATTTGACAGACAGAGACAGGACAGAAACAGGCAAAGACTACTGATACATTTCAAAGCATTATTATCTTTTGATTTGTGCTGATATTTATTACAACAGCACTGTCACTGTTATTCAAATAAAAACTGCTTCTGACAGATTTCACTTTAAAGGTCAACACAGAATTTAGTGACAGTATTGGCATGTAAACGTACACATTCTTCCTACTACAAGCTACAGTGGCAGACACTTTCAGAAAGATTTTAATCATGGATGAAGCTGAGCATCAACCCAACAGATGAAAAGCTTATTTATGACCTCAGGCACACAAACAGTACATATTTGAGTTTAATAGAGATGTGTGATTTATGGCGATATCAGGCTGGTTGGTAGGTCTCTAACCGCTCCAGTAGGACCTCTGAGTATCCAGGGGAATAGTACCTGAAAACATAAAACACACATGATAAATATATAAATATCTTACCCTTTCTTGCCTTTTTTTAAACTAGTATCATGAATATGATTATAAAATGTCAAAGGATCATGTTGTTGTTAAGGTTCTTTTACACTTTAAAAAAGTGCCTTTTGAAGACAATGATGTTTTGGTTGTTATTGGAGAGGAACATAACAGCACCAGCACTCTGCCTCAGTCAACACAAAGCTCTGGAATTGCTGTTTTGCAGTCATGTGATCTGATCAGACGCGCCTGGATTACTGTTTACATCTCAGAGGCTGTTCAAAGCACACGGTTATGATGTCAACAAAGACGGTCTGTGTGTTGTGGTGTGTGTTGGGACTGGCAAGGTGAACACACCTGACTATCTCCTCGGGGAAACAGCTGTTGATGGCGTTTATGTGCTCCTGCAGAACAGAGCCAGGCTCGGCCTCGATCTCCTGAACCTTCTTCAGCCCGCCGCTGGTCACGAACAGGCGACGAGCTTTACTGTCATGAGGCAGCACCTCCAGGGCGGGGGGGGGGGAAGGAATACGATTTAAACACTGTAAAGATTATCAAAATGCAAATCAATGATCTGATGCCTCAGTCCCTCACCTTGCTAAACTGGAAGACAACGTGTTTGAGGATGTTGCTCGGAGCATCGTAGAGGAGCGGCTCCAGTCCTGGCAGGTAGGTGCACTTCTGCAGGATACTCTTCAGAGCCTTTTTACACTGAGGAGAACAAGAAGAGTGACACTTTACATATACAAAAATCATGTTTGCATTTAAGGTGCTCTTATTTGTATGCGTTTGACTAAATTGTCCTGAACATTACATGTAAGCTGATATATCTTCTTCAAGGTCATATCTAGGGATGCACGATATTTATCGGACCGATAAAATATCGGCCGATTTGGGGGGAAATTACGTCATTTTTTATCGGTCCGATAGGTGCATTTTTTCGATAGAAAGATCCGATATATTAATGAAATTACGAGTAACGTTTGCAGGCGGAGTAGCCGCCCGTCCGAGACGCGCTGGTCACGTCGTCTATCGCGCCTTACTCGCAGGTCCCAAGCCTGACCCCGTCACTACCTGACAGATAATAAAATGTCTTCACCAGCATGGTCGTTTCTCTCAGTGGCAGAAAATGACAACAGCATTGCTATATGCAAAACCTGTTCAGCGAGGATTCCGAGAGGAGGAAAGAAGACGTCAAGTTTTAACACAACGAATCTGATAGCTCATCTGAAAAGTCGCCATCGCAGCGGAGCAGTATTAAAGGACTATGAGACAGCCGCCGAAGCTGCTAGCGGTACTAAAGCTAAGACAACAACACTACGGAGGATTGATGTCCCCATTCAGCGGGCGTTTAAAAACTGCAAAAGCTTCTCAAGAGACAGCGAAAAGGCTTAAGCCATTAACGACAAAGTGATGGAGTTCATAGCGGTCGACGACCAGCCTTTTTCCGTCGTTGAGAACCCGGGTTTTCGCAAGTTAATAGCACACTTGGAGCCACGTTACACTCTCCCAAGCCGCCGCTTCTTCTCGGATGTGTCTCTTCCTGCACTCTATGATATTGTCGCCACATACATTCACAACCTGATCGACAAGAACGGACTACACGTGAGTTTTACCACAGACATATGGACGTCAGATGTTAGTCCGGTCAGCATGCTAAGCCTAACGGCTCATAATAGCTCCTTTACAGTTTACAGTTCTGTTGAACAGCTCAGGGGATCAAATGAAGTTCTGCTTTTTGCTCTGTTATTGTTATTTATAGCAAATGACCACATTTGAAGAGCCAAAAACTTTAGTTTGTTGTTCTAGATAGGCCAGAGCAACAAAAACATCAGTTTTCAATCGCTGCATCCTGCACAAACTGCAGATTATATGAAGATTATAATAAATGTAAAAATATGAATTTATCGGTTATCGGTATCGGCCATGAGAAGAAGAAAATTATCGGTTATCGGTATCGGTTGAAATTTTTCATATCGTGCATCACTAGTCATATCTAATTTTGATTTGAGTTGGTGACCTCACCTTGGCCTGAAGGTCCTCTGAGCTGCAAGCATCCATGTAGAGCTCCAGCAGTTTGGGCAGCAGATTAGCAGTGGCCACCACCTTGGCATGCTCAGGGGTGTGCTGACCAATTTGACCAATGGACCAGACTGTGGCTGCCTTGATGTGATGCTCAGTCTCCTCTGATAAGCACAGGGACAGCTGTGGCACCCCCTGCAGGACAGGATGACGTAACACAACAAGACAAGACTAATTCAGTTAAAGCGACCTAAACACAGGAACTACGAGACTGTCATTGGTTTGAGTGGCGGGTTTAATGGTCACATGACCTGATGAGGAGGATTAGAGGGCAGATTGACACATACCTTAGAGAGAATGACAGCCATGGCTAATTTCTCACTGTGAGCTGCAACATATCCCAGCATCATAATCCCAGGCAGACGCAGATTTCCCTGGCAGTTGCCCAGGTAGTCGACCACTGCTGCCATGCCGCCACAGTTCACAATCACCTGTGACAGCTGGAGGCGGAAAAAAGACACACAAATGACTCTGTGTCCAGCTAAGCACTCAAGTGTACTTCAGTGTGTGTGTGTGTGTGTGTGGCAGTACCTCAGGTGTGTGTTTGACCACCTCCCTCATCAGGGTGCAGACGTTCTTCCTCACAAACTCATCCTGATCTCTGAGGCAGACCACAGCAGCAGGGAAGATCTCCGCCTCAATCACCATCTCTGCCAGACTGATTGAGTGTTTACTGATCTGACTGAGCGCAGAGAACACCTGCCTCTGCACAGATATACACACACATGCATGCGTGCACACACACATACACACAGCAGAGTGTTTTATTTCAGACTTCATCTACTGCACTGCGTTTTTTGAATGATAGATTAACAGCTGATATTATTATATCTAAAAAGGTTTGGTTATCCTTCATTTTTATTTTTTATTAGATTATTTGTAATATTCCTAAAATCCCTCTTGCGTTATACTCTTTACAGTTAAAAAAAAAAAACAAACACTTTCTCAATCATTCTGTTGCTTGAAGAATGATCAAAAAATTAGTTTAATTGTTTATAAATGAAAACAATTTGATGAGTTTTTCATGTCCCATTTTATCTGAAATTAAAATCAAAAGTGTAGTTTTTCTTTTTTGCAACACCACTTACAGACAAATATTAAAAATGTTTGATAAATAATTATTAGATGAAATAAGAACTGAATTAGCAGTTGAAGTTAATAAAAAGATGTTAAAAAAAGAAATGTATTTGTGGTGTTTTTTAAGAAGTATCCATTTGATTGAATTAAAATTGGAATGATTAAAGTGCTGGATTAATTAAAAAAATTCTAAATTATAAAATGCAAATAAAGGATAAGATATCAAATGGATAGAGAAAAACATAAACATGATGTAGAACCCCTGAGAAATAAGAATATAGTACAGTCAATAGCAATTTTCAACTGGTCCCCAAAGCTCCCTCTATAATCCAAGTTTAAACGCTTATTTATATCATTTTATTACTTACAAAACATCTAATTTGAGATGTTTGAGATAGTTTTATAACCATCTAAAATCTCTTCACAACAGCTTTAAATCAAAACCAGGAATTACTCTTTACTTGTAGTCTTATACATGAACAATAGCTAGAGTTAAACTAGTAGCTGTTCGAGGAAGGACTAGTCTACCTTGAGTTTGGCGTCCGGGTTGAGGATCATCTGTGCCAGGTGTGCGATGGCTCCACTTTCTACCACAGTCTGAGCCAGCTCTGGTGTGTGTTTGCAGATATCACTTAGAGTGGAGGCTGCAATGCGTTTGACAGTTACCTTAGGCTCCAGGAGACACATCACCAGCTGGGGGATGGCACCGGCATCCACAACTGACTGAGACAGTGCTGCACAGGAAAGGGGAAAGAGGAACAGAAAAATTAGACTTTTTTTTTTAAAGCTTATTGCTACAAAACGCTTCTTCAAAACAAAGAAAAATTAGCCTGCCAGTATGTCTTTCTTACATGCATTGTGTCGTGCAATGAAGCCAAGGGCCCAGGCAGCTGCCTCCTTCACCCCAGGGTCAAAGTCTGACAGGCAGACCACCAGGGCATCCACTCCTCCACATGCTACTACAGCCTGGGAAAGCTCAGGAGAGTGTTTGGCAACTGCACGCAGCACAAAGGCTGCTGCCTTCTTATAGGAATTCTGAATACAAACACAATCAGCCATAAATCTCAGAAACCAATTAAAGATGAATATGTCTTGTCTGTTTAATTGCAAACTTTTCTTTCCATTCAATCATTTTTTTGAAAGGAGTAAATTATCTATGTGAAGTTACACTTTGCTGTTGATGTGCCAACTTACGATTCAAAGTTAACTTTAATTGTTTAGAGTCAACAGATGCTGGTATTGCTAATAAATTTTCTAAAATAGTATTATAAAAATGTCCTAATAGTATGAAAAAAAACTATAATATAGTATGTTTAAAAGCTACAGTTAAGTATGATATAATTATCATAGTATAGTACCATAAAATGTAATTGTATATTATGATAAAATTTTGTATGATAAAAAATGTCAAAGTATAGTTTGATACAGATGTCATTGAATAGTTAAAAAAAAATTATTATAGTATGATGAAAAATCGTAGTTAAGTATGATTAAAATAAATTGATGGTAAAGTATGTTAAAACACACGATCAGTAAGGAACTTATGGTTTGGGTAAAGATTTTAAATTAAGTATGTAAAAAAAGTCAGACTGTGGTATTATAAAAATATCATAGTATAGTATGATAACAATTTAAAGTTTTCGTATGAAAGAAATCAAAGTGTAGAATAATAATACTCATTGTATAGTATGATGAAAAATGTCATAGCAAAATTGAGCAGAACAAATTTTTCATATTTTAGTATGAAGGAAAATGTCATAGTATAGTATGATCAAAAAGTCATCGTATAGTGTGATAAAAATGTTATAGTATAGTACGATAAAAATGTCATAGTATAGTATGATTAAAATTTCAGAATTAAGTAGGAAAATACATTTATATTGTAGTATGAAAAATGTCATAGTATAGAATGATCAAAATGTCATAGTAAAGCATGTTTAAATTTTCAAAATTGAGTAGGAAAAAAAATATTTTTTAGTATAAAAAATGTCATAGTATAGTATGATCAAAATGTCATAGTATAGTATGCTTAAAATTTCAAAATTGAGTAGGAAAAAAAATATTTTTTAGTATGAAAAGATTTCATTGTATAGTATGTTAAAAATATAATAAGGTTTGATAAAAATGTCTTATTAGTATGTGAAAAAATGCAAAACTTAGAAGGAAAAAGCTTAAAAATGAGCAAGAAAAAACAAACGTTTGGTAAAAAAAATGTTATGGGACAAAAATGATAAAAATGTCATGGGATAAAAATGATAAAAATGTCATAGTATAGTATGATCAAAATGTCATAGTATAGCATGTTTAAAATTTCAAAATCGAGTAGGAAAAAAACATTTATATTTTAGTACGATAAAAATGTCATAGTATAGTATGATAAAAATGTCATAGTATAGCATGATTAAATTTTCAAAATCGAGTAGGAAAAAATATTTTTTAGTATAAAAAAATGTCATAGTATAGTATGATAAAAATGTCATAATAGAGTTTGATAAAAATGTCATATTAGTATGTGGAAAAGTGCAACATTTAGTAGGAAAAAGCTTAAAAATGAGCAAGAAAAAAAAGTTTTGGTATAAAAAATGTCATTGGATAAAAATGATAAAAATGTCATAGTATAGTATGATAAAAATGTCATAGTATAGTATGCTTAAAATTCAAAAAATTAAGTAGGAAAAAAACATTTATATTTTAGTATGATAAAAATGTCATAGTATAGTATGATAAAAAATGTCATAGTATAGCATGTTTAAAATTTCAAAATTGAGTAGGAAAAAAATATTTTTTAGTATGGTAAAAATGTCATAGTATAGTATGATAAAAATGTCATAATAAAGTTTGATAAAAATGTCATATTAGTATGTGGAAAAGCCCAAAATTTAGTAGGAAAAAGCTTAAAAATGAGCAAGAAAAAAAAGTTTTGGTATAAAAAATGTCATGGGATAAAAATGATAAAAATGTGATGGGATAAAAATGATAAAAATGTCATAGTATAGTATGATAAAAATGTCATAGTATAGTATGCTTAAAATTTAAAAATTAAGTAGGGAAAAAACATTTATATTTTAGTATGATAAAAATGTCATAGTATAGCATGTTTAAAATTTAAAAATTAAGTAGGAAAAAAACATTTATATTTTAGTATGATAAAAATGTCATAGTATAGTATGATCAAAATGTCATGGTATAGCATGTTTAAAATTTCAAAATTGAGTAGGAAAAAAAATATTTTTTAGTATGAAAAATGTCATTGTATAGTATGATCAAAATGTCATAGTAAAGTATGATCAAAATGTCATATTAGTATGTGAAAAAAATGAAAAATTGAGTAGGAAAAAGCTTAAAAATGAGCAAGAAAAAAAATACTTTAAATATTAAAAACTGTCATGGGATAAAAATGTCATGGGATAAAAATGATAAAGATGTCATCGTATAGTATGATCAAAAATGTCATAGTATAGTATGCTTAAAATTCAAACATTTAGTAGGAAAAAAACATTTATATTTTAGTATGATAAAAATGTCATAGTATAGTATGATCAAAATGTCATGGTATAGCATGATTAAAATTTTAAAATTGAGTAGGAAAAAAATGTTTTGTAGTATGAAAAATGTCATAGTATAGTATGATTAAAATGTCATAATAAAGTTTGATAAAAATGTCATATTAGTATGTGGAAAAGTGCAAAATTTAGTAGGAAAAAGCTTAAAAATGAGCAAGAAAAAAAGTTTTGGTATAAAAATGTCATGGGATAAAAATGATAAAAATGTGATGGGATAAAAATGATAAAAATCTCATAGTATAGTATGATCAAAATGTCAGTATAGTATGCTTAAAATTTATAAATTAAGAAGGAAAAAACATTTATATTTTAGTATGATAAAAATGTCATAGTATAGTATGATAAAAATGTCATAGTATAACATGTTTAAAATTTCAAAATTGAGTAGGAAATAAAACATTTACATTTTAGTATGATAAAAATGTCATAGTATAGTATGATCAAAATGTCATGGTATAGCATGTTTAAAATGGTAAAATTGAGTAGGAAAAAAATGTTTTTTAGGATGAAAATGTCATAGTATAGTATGATAAAAATGTCATAGTATAGTATGATAAAAATATTATCGTATAGTATGCTTAAAATTTCAAAATTGAGTAGGAAAATACATTCATATTTTAGAATGAAAAATGTCATAGTATAGTTTGATCAAAATGTCATAGTATAGTATGATCAAAATGTCATATTAGTATGTGAAAAAAATGAAAAATTTAGTAGGAAAAAGCTTAAAAATGAGCAAGAAAAAAAATACTTTAAGTATTAAAAACTGTCATGGGATAAAAATGTCGTGGGATAAAAATGATAAAAATGTCATAGTATAGTATGATAAAAATGTCATAGTATAGTATGCTTAAAATTTAAAAATTAAGTAGGAAAAAAACATTTATATTTTAGTATGATAAAAATGTCATAGTATAGTATGATAAAAATGTCATAGTATAACATGTTTAAAATTTCAAAATTGAGTAGGAAAAAAACATTTATATTTTAGTATGATAAAAATGTCATAGTATAGTTTGATCAAAATGTCATGGTATAGCATGTTTAAAATTTTAAAATTGAGTAGGAAAAAAATGTTTTTTAGTATGAAAAATGTCATAGTATAGTATGATAAAAATGTCATAATAAAGTTTGATCAAAATGTCATATTCGTATGTGGAAAAGCCCAAAATTTAGTAGGAAAAGCTTAAAAATGAGCAAGAAAAAAAAATTTTGGTAAAAAAAATGTCATGGGATAAAAATGATAAAAATGTCATAGTATAGTTTGATAAAAATGTCATAGTATAGTATGCTTAAAATTTAAAAATTAAGTAGGGAAAAAACATTTATATTTTAGTATGATAAAAATGTCATAGTATAGTATGATAAAAATGTCATAGTATAGCATGTTTAAAATTTCAAAATCGAGTAGGAAAAAAATATTTTTTAGTACGAAAAAATGTCATAGTACGGTATGATAAAAATGTCATAATAAAGTTTGATAAAAATGTCATATTAGTATGTGGAAAAGTGCAAAATTTAGTAGGAAAGAGCTTAAAAATGAGCAAGAAAAAAAAATTTTGGTATAAAAAATGTCATGGGATAAAAATGATAGAAATGTCATAGTATAGTTTGATAAAAATGTCATAGTATAGTATGCTTAAAATTTAAAAATTAAGTAGGGAAAAAACATTTATATTTTAGTATGATAAAAATGTCATAGTATAGTATGATAAAAATGTCATAGTATAGCATGTTTAAAATTTCAAAATCGAGTAGGAAAAAAATATTTTTTAGTATGAAAAAATGTCATAGTACGGTATGATAAAAATGTCATAATAAAGTTTGATAAAAATGTCATATTAGTATGTGGAAAAGTGCAAAATTTAGTAGGAAAAAGCTTAAAAATGAGCAAGAAAAAAAAGTTTTGGTATAAAAAATGTCATGGGATAAAAATGATAAAAATGTGATGGGATAAAAATGATAAAAATGTCATCGTATAGTATGATCAAAATGTCATGGTATAGAATGCTTAAAATTTTAAAATTGAGTAGGAAAATACATTTATATTTTAGTATGAAAAATGTCATAGTATAGTATGATAAAAATGTCATGGTATAGAATGCTTAAAATTTCAAAATTGAGTTGGAAAATACATTTATATTTTAGTATGATAAAAATGTCATAGTATAGTATGATCAAAATGTCATGGTATAGCATGTTTAAAATTTTAAAATTGAGTAGGAAAAAAATGTTTTTTAGTATGAAAAATGTCATAGTATAGTATGATAAAAATGTCAGTATAGTATGATAAAAATGTCATCGTATAGTATGCTTAAAATTTCAAAATTGAGTAGGAAAATACATTCATATTTTAGAATGAAAAATGTCATAGTATAGTATGATCAAAATGTCGTAGTATAGCATGTTTAAAATTTCAAAATTGAGTAGGAAAAAAAATATTTTTTAGTATGAAAAATGTCATAGTATAGTATGATAAAAATGTCATAATAAAGTTTGATAAAAATGTCATATTAGTATATGGAAAAGCCCAAAATTTAGTAAGAAAAAGCTTAAAAATGAGCAAGAAAAAAAATACTTTAAGTATTAAAAACTGTCATGGGATAAAAATGTCATGGGATAAAAATGATAAAAATGTCATAGTATAGTATGATAAAAATGTCATAGTATAGTATGCTTAAAATTTAAAAATTAAGTAGGAAAAAAACAATTATATTTTAGTATGATAAAAATGTCATAGTATAGTATGATAAAAATGTCATAGTATAACATGTTTAAAATTTCAAAATTGAGTAGGAAAAAAACATTTATATTTTAGTATGATAAAAATGTCATAGTATAGTATGATCAAAATGTCATGGTATAGCATGTTTAAAATGTTAAAATTGAGTAGGAAAAAATGTTTTTTAGTATTAAAATGTCATAGTATAGTATGATAAAAATGTCATAGTATAGTATGATAAAAATATTGTATAGTATGCTTAAAATTTCAAAATTGAGTAGGAAAATACATTCATATTTTAGAATGAAAAATGTCATAGTATAGTTTGATCAAAATGTCATAGTATAGCATGTTTAAAATTTCAAAATTGAGTAGGAAAAAAAATATTTTTTAGTATGATAAATGTCATAGTATAGTATGATCAAAATGTCATAGTATAGTATGATCAAAATGTCATATTAGTATGTGAAAAAAATGAAAAATTTAGTAGGAAAAAGCTTAAAAATGAGCAAGAAAAAAAATACTTTTAGTATTAAAAATGTGATGGGATAAAAATGATAAAAATGTAATGGGATAAAAATGATAAAAATGTCATAGTATAGTATGATAAAAATGTCATAGTATAACATGTTTAAAATTTTAAAATTGAGTAGGAAAAAAACATTTATATTTTAGTATGATAAAAATGTCATAGTATAGTTTGATCAAAATGTCATGGTATAGCATGTTTAAAATTTTAAAATTGAGTAGGAAAAAAATGTTTTTTAGTATGAAAAATGTCATAGTATAGTATGATAAAAATGTCATAATAAAATTTGATCAAAATGTCATATTCGTATGTGGAAAAGCCCAAAATTTAGTAGGAAAAGCTTAAAAATGAGCAAGAAAAAAAATTTTGGTAAAAAAAATGTCATGGGATAAAAATGATAAAAATGTGATGGGATAAAAATGATAAAAATCTCATAGTATAGTATGATTAAAATGTCATAGTATAGTATGCTTAAAATTTAAAAATTAAGTAGGAAAAAAACATTTATATTTTTGATATGATAAAAATGTCATAGTATAGTATGATAAAAAATGTCATAGTATAGCATGTTTAAAATTTCAAAATTGAGTAGGAAAAAAACATTTATATTTTAGTATGATAAAAATGTCATAGTATAGTATGATCAAAATGTCATGGTATAGCATGTTTAAAATTTCAAAATTGAGTAGGAAAAAAATATTTTTTAGTATGAAAAAATGTCATAGTATAGTATGATAAAAATGTCATAATAAAGTTTGATAAAAATGTCATATTAGTATGTGGAAAAGCCCAAAATTTAGTAGGAAAAAGCTTAAAAATGAGCAAGAAAAAAAAGTTTTGGTATAAAAAATGTCATGGGATAAAAATGATAAAAATGTGATGGGATAAAAATGATAAAAATGTCATACTATAGTATGATAAAAATGTCATAGTATAGTATGCTTAAAATTTAAAAATTAAGTAGGGAAAAAACATTTATATTTTAGTATGATAAAAATGTCATAGTATAGCATGTTTAAAATTTAAAAATTAAGTAGGAAAAAAACATTTATATTTTAGTATGATAAAAATGTCATAGTATAGTATGATCAAAATGTCATAGTATAGCATGTTTAAAATTTAAAAATTAAGTAGGAAAAAAACATTTATATTTTAGTATGATAAAAATGTCATAGTATAGTATGATCAAAATGTCATGGTATAGCATGTTTAAAATTTTAAAATTTAATAGGAAAAAAATGTTTTTTGGTATGAAAAATGTCATAGTATAGTATGATAAAAATGTCAGTATAGTATGATAAAAATGTTATTGTATAGTATGCTTAAAATTTCAAAATTAAGTAGGAAAAAACATTCATATTTTAGAATGAAAAATGTCATAATATAGTATGATCAAAATGTCATAGTATAGCATGTTTAAAATTTCAAAATTGAGTAGGAAAAAAAATATTTTTTAGTATGAAAAATGTCATAGTATAGTATGATCAAAATGTCATAGTAAAGTATGATAAAAATGTCATATTAGTATGTGAAAAGAATGCAAAATTTAGTAGGAAAAAGCTTAAAAATGAGCAAGAAAAAAAATACTTTAAATATTAAAAACTGTCATGGGATAAAAATGTCATGGGATAAAAAAGGTTAAAGATGTCATCGTATAGTATGATAAAAATGTCATAGTATAGTATGCTTAAAATTTAAAAATTGAGTAGGAAAAAAACATTTATATTTTAGTATGATAAAAATATCATAGTATAGTATGATCAAAATGTCATAGTATAGCATGTTTAAAATTTCAAAATTGAGTAGGAAAAAAATGTTTTGTAGTATGAAAAATGTCATAGTATAGTATGATTAAAATGTCATAATAAAGTTTGATAAAAATGTCATATTAGTATGTGAAAAAATGAAAAATTTAGTAGGAAAAAGCTTAAAAATGAGCAAGAAAAAAAATACTTTTAGTATTAAAAACTGTCATGGGATAAAAATGTCATGGGATAAAAATGATAAAAATGTCATAGTATAGTATGATAAAAATGTCATAGTATAGCATGTTTAAGATTTCAAAATTGAGTAGGAAAAAAACATTTATATTTTAGTATGATAAAAATGTCATAGTATAGTATGATCAAAATATCATGGTATAGCATGATTAAAATTTTAAAATTGAGTAGGAAAAAAATGTTTTGTAGTATGAAAAATGTCATAGTATAGTATGATTAAAATGTCATAATAAAGTTTGATAAAAATGTCATATTAGTATGTGGAAAAGTGCAAAATTTAGTAGGAAAAAGCTTAAAAATGAGCAAGAAAAAAAGTTTTGGTATAAAAAATGTCATGGGATAAAAATGATAAAAATGTGATGGGATAAAAATGATAAAAATCTCATAGTATAGTATGATCAAAATGTCAGTATAGTATGCTTAAAATTTATAAATTAAGAAGGAAAAAACATTTATATTTTAGTATGATTAAAAATGTCATAGTATAGTATGATCAAAATGTCATGGTATAGCATATTTAAAATTTTAAAATTGAGTAGGAAAAAAAATGTTTTTTAGTATGAAAAATGTCATAGTATAGTATGATAAAAATGTCATAGTATAGCATGTTTAAGATTTCAAAATTGAGTAGGAAAAAAACATTTATATTTTAGTATGATAAAAATGTCATAGTATAGTATGATCAAAATGTCATGGTATAGCATGTTTAAAATTTTAAAATTGAGTAGGAAAAAAATGTTTTTTAGTATGAAAAATGTCATAGTATAGTATGATAAAAATGTCATAATAAAGTTTGATAAAAATGTCATATTAGTATATGGAAAAGCCCAAAATTTAGTAGGAAAAAGCTTAAAAATGAGCAAGAAAAAAAAGTTTTCGTATAAAAAATGTGATGGGATAAAAATGAAAAAAATGTGATGGGATAAAAATGATAAAAATGTCATAGTATAGTATGATGAAAATGTCATAGTATAGTATGCTTAAAATTTAAAAATTAAGTAGGGAAAAAACATTTATATTTTAGTATGATAAAAATGTCATAGTATAGTATGATAAAAATGTCATAGTATAACATGTTTAAAAATTCAAAATTGAGTAGGAAAAAACATTTATATTTTAGTATGATAAAAATGTCATACTATAGTATGATCAAAATGTCATGGTATAGCATGTTTAAAATGTTAAAATTGAGTAGGAAAAAAATGTTTTTTAGTATGAAAAATGTCATAGTATAGTATGATAAAAATGTCACAGTATAGTATGATAAAAATGTTATCGTATAGTATGCTTAAAATTTCAAAATTGAGTAGGAAAATACATTCATATTTTAGAATAAAAATGTCATTGTATAGTATGATCAAAATATCATAGTATAGCATGTTTAAAATTTCAAAATTGAGTAGGAAAAAAACATTTATATTTTAGTATGATAAAAATGTCATAGTATAGTATGATCAAAATGTCATGGTATAGCATGTTTAAAATTTTAAAATTGAGTAGGAAAAAAATGTTTTTTAGTATGAAAAATGTCATAGTATAGTATGATAAAAATGTCATAATAAAGTTTGATCAAAATGTCATATTCGTATGTGGAAAAGCCCAAAATTTAGTAGGAAAAGCTTAAAAATGAGCAAGAAAAAAAAGTTTTGGTATAAAAAATGTCATGGGATAAAAATGATAAAAATGTGATGGGATAAAAATGATAAAAATCTCATAGTATAGTATGATAAAAATGTTATTGTATAGTATGCTTAAAATTTCAAAATTGAGTAGGAAAATACATTCATATTTTAGAATTAAAAATGTCATAGAATAGTATGATCAAAATGTCATCGTATAGCATGCTTAAAATTTCAAAATTGAGTAGGAAAAAAAATATTTTTTAGTATGAAAAATGTCATAGTATAGTATGATCAAAATGTCATATTAGTATGTGAAAAAATGAAAAATTTAGTAGGAAAAAGCTTAAAAATGAGCAAGAAAAAAATACTTTTAGTATTAAAAATGTGATTGGATAAAAATGATAAAAATGTAATGGGATAAAAATGATAAAAATGTCATACTATAGTATGATAAAAATGTCATAGTATAGTATGCTTAAAATTTAAAAATTGAGTGAGAAAAAACATTTATATTTTAGTATGATAAAAATGTCATAGTATAGTATGATAAAAAATGTCATAGTATAGCATGTTTAAAATTTCAAAATTGAGTAGGAAAAAAACATTTATATTTTAGTATGATAAAAATGTCATAGTATAGTATGATCAAAATGTCATGGTATAGCATGTTTAAAATTTTAAAATTGAGTAGGAAAAAAATGTTTTTTAGTATGAAAAATGTCATAGTATAGTATGATAAAAATGTCATAATAAAGTTTGATCAAAATGTCATAGTATAGTATGCTTAAAATTTCAAAATAATGTAGGAAAAAAAATATTTTTTAGTATAAAAAATGTCATTGGAAAGTATGATCAAAATGTCATAGTATAGTATGTTTACAATTTTAAAATTGAGTAGGAAAAAAATATTTTTTAGTATGAAAATTGTCATAGTGTAGTATGATAAAAATGTCAGTATAGTATGATAAAAATGTCATAGTATAGTATGCTTAAAATTTCAAAATTGAGTAGGAAAAAAACATTTATATTTTAGTATGATAAAAATGTCAGTATAGTATGATCAAAATGTCATAGTATAGCATGTTTAAAATTTCAAAATTGAGTAGGAAATCAAATATTTTTTAGTATGCAAAAATATCATGGTATAGTATGACCAAAATGTCATAGTATAGCATGTTTAAAATTTCAAAATTGAGTAGGAAAAAAAAAATTTTTTTAGTGTGAAAAAGTGTCATAGTATAGTATGATCAAAATGTCATAGTAAAGTATGATAAAAATGTCATTAGTTTGTGAAAAAAATGCAGAATTTAGTAGGAAAAAGCTTAAAAATGAGCAAGAAAAAAATACTTTTGGTATAAAAAATGTCATGGGATAAATATGATAAAAAATTTCATGGGATAAAAATGATAAAAATGTCATACTATAGTATGCTTAAAATTTCAAAATTGAGTAGGAAAAAAACATTTATATTTTAGTTTGATAAAAATGTCATCGTATAGTATGATCAAAATGTCATAGTATAGCATGTTTAAAATTTCAAAATTGAGTAGGAAAAAACATTTATATTTTAGAATGAAAAATGTCATAGTATAGTATGATAAAAATGTCATAGTATAGTATGTTTAAAAATTTAAAAATTGAGTAGGAAAAAAAATATTTTTTAGTATGAGAAATGTCATAGTATAGTATGATAAAAATGTCATGGTATAGAGTGCTTAAAATTTCATAATTGAGTAGGAAAATACATTTATATTTTAGTATGAAAAATGTCATAGTATGGTATGATCAAAACGTCATAGTATAGCATGTTTAAAATTTCAAAATTGAGCAGGAAAAAAAATATTTTTTAGTATAAAAAAATGTATTAGGGTATAGTATGATAAAGATATCATAGTAAAGTATGTGAAAAAATGCAAAATTTAGTAGGAAAAAGCTTAAAAATGAGCAGGAAAAAACATACTTTTGGTATAAATAATGTCATGGGATGAAAATGATAAAAATGTAATGGGATAAAAATGATAAAAATGTCATAGTATAGTATGCTTAAAATTAAAAAATTCAGTAGGAAAAAAACATTTATATTTTAGTATGAAAAATATCATAGTATAGTACGATCAAAATGTCATAGTAAAGTATGCTTAAAATTTCAGAATTGAGAAGAAAAAACATTTATATTTTAGTATGAAAAATGTCATAGTATAGTATGATAAAAATGTCATGGTATAGTATGTTTAAAAATTTAAAAATTGAGTAGGAAAAAAAATATTTTTTAGTATGAAAAATGCCATAGTATAGTATGATAAAAATGTCATAGTATAGTATGATGAAAATGTCATAGTATAGAGTGCTTAAAATTTCAAAATTGAGTAGGAAAATACATTTATATTTTAGTATGAAAAATGTCATAGTATAGTATTATCAAAATGTCATAGTATAGCATGTTTAAAATTTCAGGATTGAGTAGGAAAAAACATATTTTTTAGTATGAAAAAATGTCATAGTATAGTAAAATAAAAATGTCATAGTATAGTATGATCAAAATGTCATATTAGTATGTGAATAAATTCAAAGTTTAGTAGGAAAAAGCTTAAAATTGAGCAAGAAAAAACATACTTTTGGTATAAAAAATGTCATGGGATAAAAATGATAAAAATGTCATGGGATTAAAATGATAAAAATGTCATTGTATAGTATGATAAAAATGTCATAGTATTGTATGATAAAAATGTCATGGTATAGAATGCTTAAAATTTCAAAATTGAGTAGGAAAATACATTTATATTTTAGTATGATCAAAATGTCATAGTATAGTATGATCAAAATGTCATAGTATAGCATGTTTAAAATTTCAAAATTGAGTAGGAAAAAACATGTATTTTTAGTATGAAAAAATGTCATAGTATAGTATGATAGAAATGTCATAGTATAGTATGATAAAAATGTCATAGTAAAGTATGATAAAAATGTCATATTAGTATGTGAATAAATTCAAAGTTTAGTAGGAAAAAGCTTAAAATTGAGCAAGAAAAAACAAACTTTTGGTATAAATAATGTCATGGGATAAAAATGATAAAAATGTCATGGGATAAAAATGATAAAAATGTCATTGTATAGTATGATAAAAATGTCATAGTATAGTATGCTTAAAATTTCAAAATTGAGTAGGAAAAAAACATTTATATTTTAGTATGATAAAAATGTCATAGTATACTATGATCACAATGTCATAGTATAGCATGTTTAAAATTTCAAAATTGAGTAGGAAAAAAAATATGTTTTAGTATAAAAAATGTCATTGGATAGTATGATCAAAATGTCATAGTATAGTATGTTTACAATTTTAAAATTGAGTAGGAAAAAAATATTTTTTAGAATGAAAAATGTCATAGTATAGTACAATCAAAATGTCATAGTATAGCATGCTTAAAATTTCAAAATTGAGTAGGAAAAAGCTTAAAAATTAGCAAGAAAAAAAATACTTTTGGTATAAAAAATGTAATGGGATAAAAATGATAAAAATGTAATGGGATAAAAATGATAAAAATGTCATAGTATAGTACGATAAAAATGTCATAGTATAGTATGCTTAAAATTTCAAAATTGAGTAGGAAAAAAACATTTATATTTTAGTATGATAAAAATGTCATAGTATAGTATGATCAAATTGTCATAGTATAGTATGTTTAAAATTTTAAAATTGAGTCGGAAAAAAAAATATTTTTTAGTATGAAAAATGTCATAGTATAGTATGATAAAAATGTTATATTATAGTATGATAAAAATGTCATATTTGAGTAGGTATTTAGGTAGGTATTGAGTAGGTATTTTTTTATATATATTTTAGTATAAAGCAAAGTGTCATAGTATAGTATGATAAAAAATGGTCAAAGCATAGTATGTTAAAATCTTTAAAATTGGGAAGGAAAAAAATTATATTTTCGTCATATGAAAATTATTCTTTGTCATATTGTTAAAATTTCATATTTAAGTATGAACAAAATTATTTTTTTAGCATGAAAATAAATGTCAGTATTGTACGTTAAAAATATCATTTTTTAGAATGAAAAAATATAGGAGCACAGCAAAATACGTTAATTTAAACCAGGCCTAACCCGTCTGCCAAATTTCATGAGGCTTTTAGCCCGTCTAGGGTGATTTTAAGTTGAAAAACTTTAACCAATAATAATAAATAATTCCTGCAATTTCAGTGGGGCTCTCTCCTGCTGCTTTCAGCATCAGCTCGGGCCCTAAAAATGTTTTTATACCTCTACACTGAGCCTCAAGATTTAAATACCAATAAGCAAATAAAAAAAGGACTCCAAAGTTCCCTTCAAAACTCTGTGAATAAAGAACTGATTTTCTTTCCCAAGCTATGTAAAGCTATTTTAACATAAATAAGGAGTGGTTACAAAAATAATCAATTATGGGATTTTAAACTGATTAAATAATGTCAAAGATTGTGTAGACTAAAAATTTGCTAACACTAATTTTGAAATGTGTTTGATATTGAATGTTTAAAAATCTATATGCTAAATACAGTCTTTTCTGATGAGATCTCCCATTAGTAGTTCGATTTAAACCCTAATCTCCCCCTCTGTGAGACTGTGAGTGGACTGAGAGGGAAAAAAGCAGAGAAAACAAAGGCCTAGTTGCTCTAATGGTAAGGGGCTCTTAGGTTTTCAAGTAGCCCCCAGGCGAACTGCCAAGTTAGCCCAAAATACAATCTCACATACGGTGTGTGTGTGTGTGTGTGTGTGTGTGTGTGTGTGTGTGTGTGTGTGTGTGTGTGTGTGTGTGTGTGTGTGGAGGGGGGGACCCTGAAGTCTATTAGGTTGACAGCAGCACACAACTCTGAAAACTAGAGTCTGTAAAACCTGTGTGTGGTGAACAAGCATTTATATGGTCAAGGGATAAAATACTGACATTCTGTGAGGCCAGAGAGGAGATCAGATGAGGCAGGATGTCCTCCTTCACCACAGCCTCAGCCAGGTCATCACTGTGGTCAGCCAGGTGGCCCAGAGCCAGAGCTGCAGTCTGCTGGATGCTGGGGACAACATCCAGCATGAGGGGGCGCAGCAGGGACATCACACCTGCAACACAGGAGGAGGAGATAAAGCAACAAACCACCCCCTGTTGCTTGGAAATGGTAAAAGAAATGGATCATGTGGCCAAATATTTAGGAGATGGGCATCAATTCATGGAGTCTGTGAAGGTTAGAAGCACATGGGTGAAGGGGTTAGACATTTATTTCCAAAAAAACATTTTTCACTCTTGAAAGCGAATTTAGTCTGTCATAAGTTTTATTAGAATTGTGTTCAGACCAAAAAAAAATGTAATTTTAAATTTGTTTTGTATGTCAATTGTGGTATTTATGAGCTACAACATGAGGTCAAAAACTTAGAATAAAAGTCCACCATTTAAAAAAAGTCCACAATCTCAGTTAAGTCAGTGGCTCGACTGAGAAAGTAAAGGAGTCTGATGAGAGGATCAGAGTTTCAGAGAGAAGGTGAGGGAGGGCTGGGGTAGAGGGTGGGGGGTTAGTAGGCATACGGCTCAACTTGCCCCCTCCTATGGTCAACTTACCCCATACACAGGGTTTGTTTATGTGTGTTTATTCATTTGCACATGACAAATAGAGAACAATTTCATGATAGATTTAAAACAGCATTGTGCAGTTGAGGTTAGAAGCCAAAAAAAGCTTGTCAAAGTACCCCCCCATGATATATCCTGATTAATCTAGGCAGCAGTGCAAGTTATCAAAAAACAAACAAACAAACAAACAAAACAGATCAATAAATATGCAGAAACAACAATAAAATTTAACAGTAACAAGGAAATACAAATTACATGACAGTTAACAAATCCAATCAAATCAAATGGATCCAAGATCAGTTACTCAAAACTATCACTGCAATGACCTCTTTAATTGCCTTTTAAATGATGATAAAGAAGATGTTGACTGTACAGTGTTTGGTAGTTGGTTCCACAAAGATTGACCTCTGTATTTCAGTGGGTAAGTTGAACATAGGAGACCACTTTTTGGCATGCTATATTATCAAGACAGTTATGTTTACACTTATTCTGGTTTGCAGGGATGCACAACAACCTGAAATACATGCAGATATTCTAGTTAGAGTCAAAACTATGATTACCTTGATGTAGTGTAAAAATATTAAAAATGTCTCATCCTACCCCACTCTCCCCTACACCACTATAGCGGTGGTTCTTACCCGCATTTTGAAGCATTTCGATGTTCTGGGGTCTGGATGCCAAATCGGAAACAGTTTGCACAAATTGCAGTCTGGACTTCTGATACTGCTCAAAAGCTGCAAAACACAAACAAACAGAAAACTTATTTTTTTCGCTCATTTTTCCTTGTTCTGTATCTTGGTATAGCCTGGCGAACGAATCTCACCTTGAATGATCTGTCGTTGACTCATTGTTACCCTGATGGAAACGTGACTCCTTTAGGATTTATTTTCGAGTGCTTTTCTGCTCAGAAATCGCTCCGAATTGATGCCTGGATTCAGTGTAGCGTTTCTCTTTAGGTTCGGGTCAGGTAGTGTTTTTGTTGTTAACTGTTGCTGTGACAACAGACGGGAAGCGGAACGTTCGGGTGCTCCTGCCGAAGATCGTCAACTATACAGATGACTCACTCGGGTACTCGAGTGTTTTCGTCTGCGGAAATATATGTGGCGTGAAAGCTCTGTGCTCTTCTCTCATCTTTGTTCGCACTGTCTTCGATTCCCGCTAAAAGACAACCGCGAATGTCGCCCATTTTGACGACAATGTTGCTCTAACCCCCCTTAAAGAATTATAGAAGAGAGACCACGAGGCGACCAGCTCTGACACTAAAAAACACGAGAAAAATATGTAGGGATGAACACACCATAGCATCGATTTTTGAATCCATTTTTGATCACTTCATTTTCATTACTCGAAAATGGAGTGATCGTCCTTTTTAAAAGAAAATTATAAATCGATTTAAACAAATCCATATGGAGGAAAAAGGAGTGATTAAAATAGAACAGCCTTATGGACAGTTACCTTTTTACTGTGAGGGTTCGTTCTCTTTTTTTGGTAATTATTGATAACAGATAATATCTGATTCTTCCACGACAAAAACATGATTTTATCTATTGTTAAAAAGGCAATATCAATGATGTTGACAGATCACAATGTAGGATTATTAGGGCTCTATAAAGCAGATCGGTTTAGTTCTTCTGCTGGAAAGCTGGGAGAGGTTTTTTTTTTCTATTTGATCAGTTTAGATTGTAGAGTTTTATTTTATTTATTTGATTTATCAGATCCAGTAACACCAGAAATGCCGATGTTGTCCGTTTGTTTAATTATTGATTTATGAATATTATCTGACAGTCTAGCCTGTCTATATTGTGAGTCGATTCAAGAGTTAAATATCTTTAAATAAACAGCATCTAAACGATTGGGCCAACTTTATATCCGAGACAGGATTTTATTTTATTTTATTTTATTTTTAATTAAATGCATTTTTAAATTCATATTCGCGAATTTGTTGCACGATTATTTGTTTTAAATTAATGATTTAAAAATAGATAATTATTTAATTCAACGTGATGAAGCCATGATCACCAAGCAAAGCGAAAATACGGAGAGTTCACTGTGTGCTGCAAAATCAGCTTTGTGTTATCCATTTATTTCGCCTTTCTCATGACTGCATTTGATGATGTTATAAAGCTGCTCTGGAGATGAATGGTTAAAAATAAACGCAGATATTTATTTCGGGACGAATTTTAATCTCTTCAGTGTTCTATCTAAGCAGACCGATATCTTTGAAATAAAAGAGTTTTAACCGGGTTGAATTAAAAAGTCAAATTTGATAGAGAAATATTAAGGAGCATTGATAAACATGGTGACGATCTGTGTTTGTGGGTAAATAAAAAAAAACTAAAATAAATGAAACGAAATATTAAATCGTCAGAAGAACTAGATTTGTTTTCTTTTTGGAAATATACTGAAAAATTAGTTTAGCCCACATTGATGCACCCAAGATGAGCGTATAGCTATTGTTAAAAGTGTACTATATTAATCGTAAATCGGGGAAATTGCAGTAATAAGTCAACTAATATATGAATATTCCAAAAAAAATTAATCTAGGGTTAACACATTTCCTCTAGATACCGCCATATTTTACGCAGACACATTTACTAACTCGTCGAATTACAAAAATTTTAAGGCCTTGATCGTTATCGTGTTTATTAAAAACCTCATTTAAACCAATGCAGATCTCCTGATCTTTTAACAAATAAAGCTGTGAATGTTCTGAATCACTTAAAGGCATTCAAATGTTAAAATGGCTTTTTACAAAACAGCTTTTTAGTAGTTATATGCAATAATAATAAAAAGAATTAGTTGAATAGAGTATAATAGATTAAAAAAAATACACATGAACATAAGTGACTGTTATTTAGGGAGAGAAAAGGTGGGGGGGGGCTGGGTTGGAGAGGGTGTATAGATTGTCCCCTATACACAAGGAGACCAATGTTTTTCTGGCATGCTATATTATCAAGACAGTTATGTTTTCACTCATTCTGTTGGTTTGCAGGGATGCACAGCATTTTGAAATATATGCAGATACACTAGTTAGAGACAAAACTATGATTGCCTTGATGTAGTGATCCAAAATACGAACAAATGTCTCATCTTACCCCACTCATTTCTATATGTTTTGGGGTCTTGATGCCAGATCGGAAAGTCTGGACTTGTGATACTGCTCAAAAGCTAACTAATTTGAACCAATGCAGATCTCCACGTTATCCCCATCACAGCTGATTCTGCTCATCTATTCTCCCTTTATTTCTATTTGTTAAAACACTGAAAAAACTGACAAGCTTACAAAAAAAATAATAATGATCACCTGACTTCTTCCATAAGTGTAAAATGTTTTATTTAGATGTTTTATACTGTGCAACAGTAACAATACAATAAGTTGTCCATACAATCGAGCGATACAAATACGGAAAACACGTGAGACATCAAAACATCTGTCATTGAGCATGAGATGGAGCCGAACAGGAGCCCAAGTCATTCCCTTGCAACAAAGGGGATTAAGAGAATAACATCATCGCTGATTAAATATGCATTTTGTTCCTATTTACACGTGGATCATCTAAAACTGCTTACAACGTTGAGCATAAGCAATCTGATTCCACTGCAGCTACAAGAAACTTTGATTTTTCATTCTCCAGTAAAATGGAATTTGAAGTGGATTTCTCCACGGAGCCAGCAGCGCTACACACACGTATTTTCCTGTCATTTTGGAAAGAAACAAAACCCTGTGGGTGGAGCGGGGCGAGGAGGGGAGGGGGGGGAGACACGCAGAATCCTCTGTCATCAAAGAAAACCAAAGTGTTATCATGAGCATGCATGTTTGAACTGACAACTTCAAAAATATCCCAACACACATGAGAGAATCATGGTAAACACGTTTCATTTGCAAAAAAAAAAAAAAGAGTCAAAGAAAATATAAAAGTCTATCTTCAGTCATTTCTGTAAAATAAAGACGTAGCTTTTTTAAAAAGGCGATAAATGCTTGTCCTTCCTATCAACTTTCTTTTTCTTCAACACGTCAAAAATCTGCTTTCTTTCAAGGTGAAAAAACTTCCCGCGTCCGACTTCCGGTTTCCTTTTATTTTGAAATGTCTCTGAGCGTCCACTACGTTTAGACTTACATATGACGTCATAATATTCAGAACAACAAATGGAGAGAGAGAGAGAGACAGAGAGAGAGAGAGAGAGAGAGAGAACGTCGTCTACACAATGGAACTACGTTGGCATGGAAACAGTATTAGCTGCAGGGGTCTGGCGTTGGCTGGTCCGGTTCGCTCCGGAGCCCCGCGTCATCCGGAAGAGGTCGCTGAGCCGTTCAGAGCGACCTTCCGTGGCTTGTTGACGCCGCCGCTGCCGCTGCCGCCGCCGCCGCTGCTGCTGAACTGAGTGAAAGAAGACCGGTTGGGAGTCGGAGGGGCGGCAGCTTGGGTCCCGTTGACGTTGTTAGGGCCGTGGGGGAGCTGCGGGTGAGGGGACTGCGCAGGCGTACTGGGGCTCGGCAGCGACGAGGACGTGGACGGAGCCCCCGCTGGACTCCCGGCTTTCTCGCTGGCGGAGTCGCTCTCGGGACCGGATCTGCTCGCGCTGTTCTGGCCTTCCTGCTGCGCGTGGCTGACTTTCATCTTTTTGCAGTTGGGTCTGACTCTGTACTTGAGCGGCAGAGGGCCGTTCTGTAAGCAGGGTGGAAAAGAGAAAATACGATGTTACAGCAGTTTCATTTAACCAAACCTCATTCATAAAATCACACATTTCAAATAGCATGATTTTTGAAAGACATGAAGGTTTAAAAAAACAACACTCTTTTCAAAAAGGACGTGCTTGTGCATCTGAAGTAATAGTTAAAAATAGACTTGCACCGTGTTAAACAGGCTTGATTTAACACTTCAGATAAAGAGGACACATATTTTATCTTGGCTTTTTTGCGTCATAAAGCAGTTTCAGTTACAAAAAAGCGTATACCTCTAACACTTATTTCATCTTGGCTTTTTTGCGTCATAAAGCAGCTTCAGTTACAAAAAAGTGTATACCTCTAACACTTATTTCATCTTGGCTTTTTTGCGTCATAAAGCAGCCTCAGTTACAAAAAAAGTGTATACCTCTAACACTTCAGATAAAGAGGACACATATATTATCTTGGCTTTTAAAATACCCTTTCTATTGTGTCATAAAGCAGCTTCAGCAGCACCCAAAAAGTGTTTACCTTTAACTCTTCAGCAGCCACACAGTTTATTTTGTGCAACATAAAACCAAACCACATTTATTCCAAATTATAAGACTGTTTCTTGAATCAATGTCAAGATAAAATTGGTATTATTTTGTAATATTTAACACACTTAAAACATCTAAAAATAGGGTGTTCAAATGTTGACCACAAGGATTATTACAATGCCCAAAATTGATCACTCATGTTTGACAACACTTTTATGTACTGCATTCATTAATGATTAAAAAAATAACACAATAGATTTAATATCCCAACAAATATATTTATCAACCAAGAGTAGTTCATCCAAAAAATATGCTTACTCTTCTCCAGGTGTAGATATATGCTATATCCATTAACGTGTAGTAATCTTTCAGAGGCTCATCTTCATACATCACCTCAACCTGGAGAGAGAAAAGGACAATTTTTGGTTAAAACACATCTGTATCAGAGCAACAATTCCAAACAAACAATATTCTCAAAAGGCTGACAAATATGTGTTAAAGCAGTTTGGATAAACAGTTTCATAAAGTTAAATCAATCAGACCTGGTAGGTGCTTGGGATGTCCATTTTGCTGCGCAAAAACTTCCTCAGATGCATGACTGTCATGGCTGCTGGACACTGAAGGTACCTCTTGTTAGCCACCTGGAAAATTCCAATAATACTTATTATATTGTTTGTGGAGGAGTGTACAGTAACAAAGTGACTGAAAATCTAAGGTCAGTCCACCTTAAAAGCAGACAAAGGATCTTTTTCATGCATTGCTATTTGTAAATAGAAAACTGTTTAATGTGTCAACAGAGAAGCTGAATTAAATATTAATTTAGAGCCTCCTTAAAAAAATCAACAGTTAGTTTCTTTCTCTAATTACTACTATTTTTCTATAGGTATTTTATTTATTTTGCAAAGGACTTAAACAAGAGAAAAAAATAAAATAAAATGACAATACCTGATCTTTAGACTGCTTGTCTTCCACTCCACCTCCGAGTCTGCACAGAATAAAGAAAGAGGGAAACCCCAATGTTAGCTGTAATATATCAGTGCTGCCATAATTGGATTTCTGACTCCAAATATGCAATAATTATTAAATAGTATAACTGTTAAAGAAAGTTGTTATTTGAACAAAATGACCAGGATTCCCTCAAGATATTTTTGAGGCATTTTTGATTCAAAATTATAACTACCTGAATAAACGGCACACTTATTATTTGATGTTTCCTCCAATAGAAATGACATATCTTAACAATATATTATCCTTAAACTTAAAAAGGTACAAATTTATCACATTATCAGCACTTGCATGGTCTTTATAGTACTGCTTGACAGTTTTAAAAGCTGTCACCACTAGCAAGAAGGGGATCTCTTGTAAACATATATGAAAAGTAATTCAATTTATAGACATTTTTAATAAAGGCTGAAACAATCTGCATAAATGCATCACATATAAAAAAGAATTATGTATGAAAAACATCCAGGAATGATAAATGGAAATAAGCCAATTTTATAATCTGATAAGGAAATGAGTTGAGGGACAAGCTTTGTCAGATTTTTGAGACTTGGCGCTGGTGGAAAACAGTAAGGAACTCTTAATACTTTCTGAACATGACTTTAAAAAAAAAGTTTTTTAAGTCTTAAAAACGGTAAGACATGTGACAGCTGTTGTGTTAGATGTTCATTTTGCATTTTATCAATAAAAGAAATTACTCCACATGATAGTGTACCTGCTCTGATCAAAGAACTCAATGGAGAGGCTGATGATCTCGTCATCTGTGATTATTCTCTTGTCCTCGTCTGCTACCTCTCCACGGTCTTCATTAGATCCATTAGAGGCTAGAAAACAGACACAAAATTAAATAAATACAGGGTAGTATTTCATCCATTGAAGTGCAAAGATACTATAATCTAAATTTCAGTCTTTTATTTGAACCAAAACTCAAGAAAAGAAGTTTTTCTTGACCTAACACATGATTTCTGACTCACCATCGACTGGATGATCTGCGTAAAAGTCTCTCCTCCTCTTCATTTCATCTGAGGACAAATAGGAAGAAGAAGTGATTAAAAGTTTGTCCTCTTTTAGCCTCCACAAGATTCAGCTAGTTTGTTTAAATAATGATCCCACCGCTGCCTGATTCTCACATGCAAAATCACAAAATCACAACAGGACCTTTTTTAAGTACAGAAGTATTTGAAAAGTGATCACAAGACAATGACTGCTTTCCTTAAAAAATAGGTAAATAGAAATAAATAATCATGTGGATTGAAGTCTTTAAATCGCCATACACTGCTCTTCATTTTACATACAAAAAAAACACATCCTGCAGTTTGGACTATGTTAAGGAAACAGTCAGTGAAACAAGAGCGGCTTTGCCTCAATAACAGCATGTATGACAGAACAAAGCAGAACTTCATGAATAACACAATCAACTACATGATAATAAAGAGATGATCTCAGCTCTGCTGCAACAGCACCATCATAAAAAAAAATTATAATAATAGACGGTGATTAAATAACACACTAGAACTAACACTTTCCAATACAGATATTTTTTCCTATTTGAACGTGGGAGAATCAGTTTCTTTTGATCAAGCAGCAGAAAAATATATTTCATCCATTCAAAAGAAAACTAGAAAATGAAACTGTAGAGTCATGATGAAAGTAAGACGTTTGTTCCACTTTCACACACTCACTTTTGAAGAGGCCGGGGACCAGCTTGTACACAATGTCCTGGAGAGTTTTGTCAGACCTGCAGAGAGAGAGAGAGAGAAAGAGAAACTTGAGTCAGAGATCACGGAGTCCTCCACATTTGTGCTGCAAACCAGCGAGCTCACACACTCCTATTCAGGTGAATTTATGCAGGGGGAACACAGTTCACTTTATTTCCTTGCTTGTTTTCATTGTGGTATGTGTGCAAGATGTTGGCATTCAAAAGCAGAATGAAGAGCAGGGTTAATTTTCACAAAGATGGTGTGAGTGATCTGTGAGTTTCCTTGTATCTAAAAATTTAATCCAGCCGCTCAAAGGGGAAACAAACTGGTAACCACAAAGGACGAGAAACAGGAAACAAAGAGATTTTCAAGCAACTGCTTCACAGCTGTGGCTGACTTATTTTTTCCTATTAAAATCTAAATGATCAACTCAAACACAAGCTTGGTGTTCTCTGCCAAACTTATTATCCTAGTAATAAACAGTTTAGGCATAAATAGATTTAAATGAAACAGGAGTCAAAGGTCAGAGTGTGTGAGAAATTTCAGTGCACATAGTTCTCACCTGATGTTGAGCAGGGGTTTGGTTTTATGCACTTGTACATCACAGATGGGACAGTATTTGCTGGTTTCCAGGTAGCGCACAATGCACATCTTACAAACTGCAAAACAAAGAGAAAAAAAGACAAAAGACTGTGAATATCAGATGTGATCAAAGGGAAATAGGAGCTTTAAGAAAGCTTGGTCTGGTTGTAGGATGAAACTCAAATACAGTTCTGTGAGTGTGCTGAAAAAATGGTTTGGTTTTTGCTCACATGAGTGCAGACATTCGATGATGGTGGTCGCGTCTATGAAGTATCCTCCACACAGGACGCACATGAGATGAGGGTTGAGCTCCGTGATCTTTATCCTGGTCGTCCGGTGCATTTTGACGGAGAGAGGAACAACAATCCTGCGAGGAAGAAACACAAAGAGGGAGTTTTAGAAGCGCAAGAGGAGAGGGTACTGTCAGACCATTTGGGGTAGGAAACTGCTGTTTGTTTGACTGTGTTAAAGCAACATCATCGTTTATGCTAATCACATAATAACTTAAGGAGGAGAGCTCAGAAGCAGATTGAGAGGCAGCAGCAGCAGCAGCAGCGCGGTGAATAATCATAAATCAATCACTTCCACTGGGAGATCGATGGAATCCGGGCTCTTCTTCTGTGTTTCATCTCCCAGAGACATGGTTTAACACATGGCGAGATCAGAGGAGAAAGGAAGCGCAGGTAAAGCAAAGAGGTTCAGAGCTCAAAAAAGGCACAAGAGGACGTTTCCACAAATCAACAGAAATGTTGCGCAAAATCAAACAGGCTGGATAATTCGGGACACGCATGCGTAATTCCAAACTTGCCTGCATGTCTAGCGGTTTTTTGTTGTTGTTTTTTTTTTTGGATGAATGACCACATTTCAAAACTAAACTGGTGGAAATTTTGTTGTTCCGTGGACGGGCAAAACTGTGTGAAAGCAACATGAAGTATCCAGCCGTGAACCACTGCTCAGTTTACGCCTCACTCAAAATGAAACTCGACTGATTGAATTCGTGGCGACGCACACCTCTTTTCTAACCGAACCCTTTCGATAGTTCGTGATATTTTTAGGTGCGGGGTCTAAAGCGCCCTGAGTGGGTGTGGGTGAGCGAGGGGCGACAGGAGACACCCATTCACTGCGTCAGGTGTGCCACATAAGCTATAGGGGAAACCTGAGCGTTTCTATGGCAACTCCTTTTGCTTTTTTAGCCCACATGGCTGGTCGCCAGTCACCAGAACAAGGCAGCCTCTCCAACCAAAACAACAACACGGCGAGCTGCCGGTGTGAGAGCGGGAATGAGGAGGGACCGGAGGCTCACAGTCAGAGCCGCTGGACTGCCAGGCTGCCGACAGCACGGCTGCCATTTTGTGGAGGAGAAAAAAAAAGCCCGTGTCGGTTCAACGGGCTGCGGGGGTTTCCTTCGAAAAAAGGGGGTAAACACAACCAGTATGATGCGGGTTTACACGAGCTCTGAGCGGTCAGGGATCACAGCAAAGAGTATGTCCACTCACCCTTTTATTCCGCTTCGCTTTGCGCCGTGTTTTTTATGGCGCGTGAACGATAATCAGCTCCGAGCAGCAGCAACATGGCCAGACAGCAGCAGCGACTGGAGCTGAAGTTCCAGCCAACACTGGAACACACTTATTTATTCTGCGTCATTATCAGCCACAGAAACACCTCCCTTTTTCATTAAACGTTAGCGTGGGGAACACTTGGAGCCAATTTCGCTGCTCAAACCCGCTTCACGCAAACCACAAAAGCCCAAACGGTGAGATAAATTCGCTTCTCGTGGACCAAAGTGTCAGAAAATCCTCATTTATCTCATAATAGTGAGCCAGAAGACAGACCGGCTGGATCTTTAGTGGTGGGGAAAATAATAAGTGACAGTGCGCAGCTTTTAATAACACTGTAATGGCGCATGAAAACGCCACCTTCTCATCAAATGTAACCTGTCAACTAAACTGTAAAGTTGACCCCTCTTCAACAGCAGACATGGCCTCTTTGTCCAGTTCTGGTCCAGATCTTTTACTCCAGGGAGTCACAGCCGGCACCGTGCCAGAGTCCAAGCCGGCTTGAATGCCTCAGTGAAACTCTCATGACCGATTCTGAACACATTTTGTCGGACCAGTTTGGACAGCGAGCCTACTTAAAGGGCAGTTTACAATGGATAAAGTCTAAATATACGCATTAGAGCCTCTGGCGTCAGGAAAGGACGCGTGGAGCTTAGCCCACTGTTCTCCCTCTGTCCAGAAGAAACTCTTTTTCAACTTGATAAAACTTGAAGTCAATCCGTCCATAATTTCAAAGAAGTCATGTATCCAAGCCCTCTAAATGCCACCGACAGAGCAACAAACGCTTCAGTAGTCTAAATTCCAAAGTCTACTCCCATAGTACAATCAATTATGACTCCAGAAAACACTCTGTACGCAAGATCCAACCTGTGGGACACATCTTATATTCTCTACAGGAGCAGTCAGATTTAATTATGCTGGCTCTCTTCATATACACTAATACCAATCAGTATTTTATCCACAAATCCAGATTTTCCATCCGTTCTTGCTCTGACCCGAGTCGTGCTGAACTCATTTATTCCCAGACAAGAGCAGCCCCTCTTATAGAGGTTCCCCTTACACATAAATGAGCAGCAGCTGGAAAATAACCCAATTAAACTCAGTGTATGGGGACATTTTAACTCGAATACAACATCTGTGTGTCAATTCATAAAACCCTGAAATAAATGCGTACAAATTCAAAATTCAGCCAAAGAGTGCGACTTCTTCCAAGTCAACCAGGTTCGAATTTTGTGTGTTAAATTGTGAGCACCACACGCTGAAAACCACCCACTCTGTTAGGATATGATACCATGACTATCCCAAGACATGTGAGCTGTCATCCCGCAAACCCGAGCGGGAGAAAACACGTTCATTTTAACCCATTACACGCACGCAGAGTCCCTTAACAGCATTCATGAGTGGAATGATATTTTTTGTCCCCCCCCCATGCAGGAGGCAGAAAGCCTGGCTCGTATCTGTGTGAGTGTGTGTGTTTGTGTGTGTCCTGTATCGCCAGATTCAAAGCTGCGTAGTGTGGAAGAGTTGAGCCAAATGAAGGTGAAAATATAGAAATGTCAGTGTTAGGTGGTAAATGTCAACAGATAAACAGCCTGAAATCCTGTAAAATCGCCGATGCTCTGGCTGCTTTTAGGCACAAGCAGCCTGTTTGTATCCTGGCCGAAGTGTCGCCAACATTTTCTAAATTTCCCCCAAAACACAATCATCCATATTCAAGATAATCACGCAGAGATATAAACAGCTATGGTACGTGATCACCAATGAGCCAGTGTTTACCAAGCAGCCGTCATCAAACATTTATGCACAGTTGAAATGGTTCCCCTCCTTGTCACGATCATGGGATCAATCCAAGTTAAGTTAATAAATCCAACATTTGGTTAATCACACCCAAAATCACAACTACACCAAATCCACAACACCCCAAACGCCCCAAATCTATAAAATAAACACGCTGAATGAAAATATGTGCACAGGAGGAGCGTTTGGAGCACTTGCTGCTGTTAACATCTCAGCCAACCCAGCCTGGTTCGCCCGAGATCTCCCACTTTACATAAATCCAAACCACACAAGGAGAAACCAAACCGAGATCAACTTATAAAGGCAGATTCCTAGACACTAGACAATACAGCAGAGGGTAAAGTTCAGTCTTAATTATCGTTTATGCTCGAGCTGGGAACATCTTTTGCGAAAAAAGTGGTGCGCAGACACACACAGAGCTCCACGTCGGTGATCGCTGCAGCCACCGTTGAAAGCTCCTCATCCACCGCTGGATCGGTGCGAAGAAAAACACAAAAGCACTGACCCCAAACCTCTCCCTCTGCCCCCGTTAGTTAGGGACGATATCGAACGAGACTTACCCGAAGGCTCGGTTGGGAATCGGTGGGTCTTGCGGCGGTAAGACAATGAAAGTTGGGAGGCGATCAGCAGAAAATGAATAGGAGCCGAGCCGCCATCTTGAAGCAGGCTGCAGACGCTGTCAGTGGCGGAGAGCGCACGGCGGACCGGAGCGCATTTCAGATGTGCGAATAAAACTCCGCGTTTCCTCGCTGCGTATGCGCTCTTTACGTATCCTATCCGCGGCGTGAACGCAGCCGATTCCTCCGGCGTTTGCTCAGGGAATCTCCCGCTTCAGCATCGATAACTTTGCCTCCAAAATATCCGCTTCGCCACCAGTAAAATGCAGCAGTGTGTGTGTGCTCCGTGGAAACTGACACCGTCCCCAAAATGGCTTGTAGTTCGACCGCCCCGCTTTGGTCACGTGATCTCGTTGCTTAAGGGTGCCTTGGAATTACTGTCGGTGTACACTGTTTGTCTTAATCTACAACGCATGATGTAAAATTACACATGAAACACACACATATACTTCTGTGCGGACTAATAAGCACCAAATCTCATTAAGATTTCGGTGTTTTTAGCTTTTATTGCTCGTAAATGACACCAGGCAGCTGCTTAAGGGCGCACAAAAATTACTGTCGGTACATTCTGCTCCGTCCAATGTATGACGCATGATTTAGAATAACACAGGACAGAATTTCTCACAGTTTGATGCACTTTTTTACCACCAACACGCACAATACACGCACTCGTTTATCTTCCTCTTGTTCAAATGGTACAGGATGATAAGTGGCGCCGGGAAAGTAGGCTACTGATGGTGTGCCCTCGTCTCTCTGCTGTTAAAAATAACTGCAGCACACGCACTCTCACACGTTTCATGCCGTCAAAAAAGCTTCAATCCACTCACTAGAACACGCAGTCTTTGGGAGCACCAGGCGTTTACCTTATTAATCTTTGTTCCGCGCTGCTCTCAGCAGACCCACGCACTTGGTTAAAACCCGTCCGTGTGACAAATGGGCTCTTGTGTCAAACCTTTGTCACAGGCTGTCCTGACATCTGCAAGAAATGCGCCGCAACTTCCACTTGATGAATTGGAGCCTTTATCCTTCGTGCAAGCCAGCGCGGCAGAAAATGAAGGCACCTCGGATGTTTGTGGAATCTGAGCTGCTTGTGTAGCTTCTGCTCAGGAGCTTTGAACTCAGCTGAGATGCGGGAAAAGTACAGAAGGGACCACGGGTCTAACAGAGTCTGCACGGTTAAAGATCTGTGTCTGTATTTATCTGTGAGTAGATCTGATCAGCATACATAAAAACGCAGGGCTGTATTTATTGTTGCAACAAACGCTGCAGGAAAACAGACGACTTCGCTGTTATGCAACTGTGGCAAAAATCCGACTTAGACAGCCTAAAAAACACATGGCTATTTCACTGGTCCATATTTCAAACAGAGTCTTCACTAACACAGGAACACCGAAAATACCTCTACTGCGTATTTCTTTGGAGAAAAAAGAGCATGCAGTGGTTTTACTCAAAGAGAATCCTGGATTTTGTTTTCTTTTTTTATTGAAACACAACCTGGAATGATCAGTCTCATATATTCAAATATGGCACGTCAATGTGAGGTATATAAAAGAACATATAAAGAGATGAGAAGCGGAGCTGGAAGCTGCAGAAGTTGGTGCAGAAAAGGCGAGGAAACGGGACACCGGCATCACATCTGACTGGCTTTCTCCACACTCTTGGCAGCGTCTTTGAGCTTTCCCACCAGATCCTGCAAAACAATTGATCAAAGTCAAAGAGGAGGATGACAACGCAGCAACATGTTCTGCAGAAAAAAAAAATCCACAATAAAATATCTGCGATTAATTCGGCTCCACTTGCCAAAAAAATGAACAAGACAAACAGTGCGTAAAAAGTTTTATTGAGCAGAATTAACAGGGGTTTGGGTGGCCTCATTTCATGTTATTCAAGCTCTCGTGAATGCACCCTTTTAAAGAATCCATCCCTTTCTGCGAATTCTGTTTATTCCATGATTTGTGTTTATTTGCAGCAACGAAAAGTCTTGTATTTTAATACGCGGAACGCGCAGATAACACAGACAATTATTCAAGTTTTCAGTGGAATTCCCCCTGTGTAAGGAGGACAAAACTTCCCCACAGAGATCACCACAAGTTCATGAATCAACTTCTTTCATTTTTGTTTATAGCTGGTGAGGCGTAGTACGGCTGTTATGATGAGAGATAATGGAGACAGAGGAATGTAAAATGATTTAAAGTCGACATAAAGTGCATCTTCTACCTGTAGCTGCTCGGTCGTGCAGGTGAAGTTGATATTTTCCGTGGATCCTCCATTCTAAAAAATAAAAATAATCACGATGAAAAAAACTCCAACATGCGAAGAAGATGCATGAAAGCGCAGAGACATGACATGTGTGTGAGTCTCACCTCAGTGTTGAGTGAAATGGAGTAGAAAGGCTCGTTGACCTTATCGACCTGAGCGCTCTGCAGCGGAGAGAAACCAACGTTTGAGTTAAGACAAGAAGTGGTGGCACGAAAATACGAAGCAAGAATTCGTCTCAGGTACCTTCGTGTGATACTGCAGACGCCATGACACGTCGGTGATGTGAGGTGGGCACCTTCCTATGCTGGAGGAAGGAGACAGAAAAGACTTAATCCGCTCAGATTAGACGGAAATAAACAGGGAGGATCAGTTATACAAGGAGTTCATGATATCTCTGCTGCAGGCACACTCGATCAAAGTGATGTCTTCTGATAAAAAACCGAGTGTGATCCTTTTAAACTATTCCTGCAAACTTAAAAACACAACATTTTGAGGTAGATGGCACACATTTTACGCATCACTCCATAGACTGTCTTTTGCAGGAGTTACAAATGTTTTTTGCACAAATTATTAATTCATGAGCAGCATACACTGATCACACTTTTTCATCTCTGATTTTAAAAAATGGAAGACCCTCTAACTTGGTCAACATTCAAAACAACACCATGCTGCTTTTTGCACAATTTTGGTCATTTCGCTCAATTTACGCTCTTGGGCATTCTCCTCCTAAAAGTGCGCGTTTTTCCACATTTGATGTGGTTAAAAGTAGAAATATTAAATGAAAAACGCTCACATTCAGAGAGTATGAGTTTCTAATAAGTCAATCCTCCCTGCTAAAAATAATCCTGTCAGAAGTTCATAAATCTCTTCCTCTTACCTCGCCAAAAGACGCTCCAGCTCCTTTTTATGCTTCTGTAAAACACAACGAGCATCCGTGAGTTTTTACACGCAAATGTCATAAACAGATTTAGTAAATGTAACACTGTCACTCATCAGTCACCTGATATGCGCTGTAGAATATCTCTATTCTTTCTGGACTTAGTGTGAGCTCTTCAAGGCAGGAGCTGGAAGACCAAAACCACAATTAAATCAGCAGTGTGTTTACATTCACCATGTTTCCCGTTATTCTTAAATCTGTCACAGTCTTGGGCGCACAAACACTAGCTTTCAGATGCACATCACTTGTTTTTTGTACTCTTCAGGGTAGCAAAAGGTCAGTCCTACAGTAAAATATCAGAGTTTAGATGTTCAAGATTACTGTCCAAGGATGAACAAAACAACAAAGTGACCCTAAAAGCAGGATTATTGCTAAGAGAGGGAGAAAAATAAACAGCATGAACAACTTTTACAGGCTACTTTTTTGTGGTTAGTAATACAGATGCATGCCTGCACGTTTGCCTCAATAAAATCTTAACAGTTATCTGAGACTGTGTTAAATTTGCACATTGTCCTTTCAGTGTTTTAAAATTATTCTAGACGAATAAGGCTCATATCTAACATGATTCTAATGTTTTGCATCAACTTCAGACTACATTATTGATCCTCAAGCAGCTTTAAAAATCCACAAAAGTGAAGTGCAGGCTTCATCTCAAACTCTCTGTGACCAAAACGACTTTATTCATTTTTCAATCCACCTGATCCAACCCACTGCTTGCAGCCTTTTCAGGTTATAACCCGTGCATTTTTTTTTCTTGTTGTTTTACCTCTTTATAAATGAGATTAGACAACATTTCGAGTGTGTAGGAATTGGATTTGCAGCTGTGATCTCAGTGGATTATAAAGTCATGTTTAGTGTTTTTTGTATTAAAAGAAAGAGTGCAAACAAAGCGCTCATAAAACAACCTGCCACAGTGTGTGATATGATCCGTTTTTGCAAGACCACTTCCCATATTCTTAGAAATCCACCACCAGCCTGTGTAGCAAACAGGAAGCCTTCATGAACCAGCTGATGTCTCCTACCTTATCGTGGACTTGTCAGAGTTGTGTTTGACCGCCTCCAGAATGAAGGTGGTCGCCGCAGTGTGAGTCTGTTTGAGCAGGATCTGGTCGATGTGCTTCAGCTCGGGTTGATCTGAAACCACAGAAACAAACGGAGTGATGAGGATGCGCTTCTGCAGTTTGAACATTCAGCTTTGGAGAAAGAGAGAGAGAAGCAGCAGACTGATGGAGACCTGCGATCCATACTGTGGCTCTCCAGATTGACGTGCAGAATGGAAATCAATCATGATTTGCATGTGAATGGACCCCCTCAGCTGCATCAGCCGGGGGTCCTTTGTTTGTTTGCATAGTGGACATTTCTCTTTCTAAATAATTCCACCATTAAAAAAAGCCGGGCTGCTGCAGAAGTTGGACAACACATGCTCTTTAAGACAAACTGAGCAGCCTCAACAGGGGGAGAACTTTTTATTATCATTGCATGAAGTCTTCTGCCATGCTGGATTATTTGTTTTTATTCCAAAATAAACAAAAACCACAAGATTTAGACGCACGCAGCACGATGATGCGTTCAAAGACCTCCGATCAGGGCAGCAATCCACATCAGATTTGACTAATAGTGATCGAAATGCTCTGATAAAGTCTTTCTAATGTGCGAAGCAGACCTGATGGCAGTTTAAATAACAAAAGGCACCCGTGTGATTGTGACTGCTGCTGAATGTAAAGCAGGCAGCAGCAGCAGCAGCAGCAGAGGAAGCTAAGCTCGCTTTAGCCCTGCAGACGCTCGGCTCTACCACTCCGCCTCATTGGAGATCTTAATATAAACACGGGGGAACCGGTTTAGAGCGTCTCATAGCACGCATCGGCGCCGTGAAAAAGCCTCAAAACATCCAGACAGCTCTTAAACATATCCACACACAGAGAGAGAGCGAGGAACAGGAAGCTGCAGCGGAGACAAAAGCAGCACGCAGCGGTAGCGGCGGCGGGGAGGAGGAGACGGAGAGGCGGCAGCTCACCCAGGACTCCCGGGTCCGAGTGAGACGAGAGCAGGCTTCGGAAAGACACCTCGACCAGAGCCTGGAAGCTGCTCTGGTCGAAGGAGGAAGGGTCGGCGAGGGATTGCAGCCCCCTCTGCACGGACTCAGACAACTCCATTTTGCTAACAGGGCTGACCCACGACACCAGACCACGTGACGGATCAGCTGATGCAGCGTGTGGAGTGGAGCAGCAGAGGCGATCTGTGGCTCAGAGAGAGAGAGCTGGGAGTGAAAATGTGGCGAAGTCACAGTCACAGGGGGGTGTATTGAAGGTGTTTGAGGAGATTCGCTCGTGATGAAGTTATTTTCAATAAATCAGAAAGAATAAACATGATAACATAAATGAAGAGGAAAACATGTGGGGGAGAGTGGAGTAAGATTAGACATTTTTCAGGTTTAAGATCACTACATCAAGACAATCATAGTTTTGTCTCTAACTCGTGTATCTGCACATATTTCACGATGTTGTGCATCCCCGCAAACCAACAGAATGAGTGTGAACATAACTGTCTTTATAATATAGCATGCCAAAAAAGTGGTCTCCTATGTTCACCTTACCCTATCTATGGGGTAAGTTGACACCATTCAACTGGTACAATATATTTTTACATAATTATTATTGCATGTACCTACTTAAAGGCTGTTTTGTAAAAAGTCATTTTAACATGAGAATGTCTTTAAGTGATTCAGAACATTCACAGCTGTATTTCTGAAAAGAAAAAGTAACACATTCAACAATCTGAACTGAGACTCTGATCCTCTCATCAGACTTCTTTACTTTCTCAGTTCAACTTACCCCAGAACTACTACTATGACTTTCTTAGTCCTCTAAGCTCAAATGGTGGACTTTTATGCTAGGTTCTTGACCTCATGTTGCAGCTCATAGATACCACAATTGATTTATAAAACAAATAAATGATCTTTTTGGTCTGAACACAATTCTAATAAAACTTATGACTGACTAAATTCACTTTCAAGAGTGAAATTTTTTTTGGGAAATAAATGTCTAACCCCTTCACCAATATGCTTCTAACCTTCACAGACTCCATGAATTGATGCCCATTTTCTAAATATTTGGTCACATGATCAATTTCTTTCACCATTTCCAAGCAACAGGGAGTGGCTCAACTTACCCCACTCTCCCCTATCTTAAGTCAGAGCTGCATATACTAGGATAAACGACCACATAGAGACCCAAATGAAGACTGCATTTCCGATTTGACTGTTTTGTTTTAGGAGTGTTTGACGGGACTGCATAGACAGATTGACACACACGAATAAAGCTCACAGTACATTGTCTTATATCTGTATCTTCGAGTTATAGGCGGGCAAGAACAACGTCTATCTCTCATGAAACACTGAGCACGTTTGAGGGTAAAATGTCAAAAATCTTGAAAAGCATTTCTCCATGTCCAGTCTGCACCACTGGGCCTTTTGGACGATTTCCTCTTCAATAACTTCAATAACTAAAAGATAAACTGGACATTTTCAGTGAAATTGAATTATGCAGTTCAACCAACACGACAAATGAGAAAACACAATTTCAAAAGCATCTTTTAAGAACTTCCAATCAAATCAGAAATGACATGTAGGTCAACTACGTAAAACGAATCAACGAACGAGGCATTCGGCCCATGGCAAAGCATGAAAGACTTTTACTACACTACATTTAAAGGCAGAAAATTACCAATATCTACTTCTGTTGAAGATAATGAGTGTTGTAAATGAGTTTGACTTTAAAGGCAGGCCTTCTTATGGTCAGTGAAGGCAGCATCGACCTTTTTTGTCTTTTAGTTCTGGTGTAGTCTGGTTTTTAGTCAGACCAGTCCATTTCTAAATCATCATATTAACTTTTTTAACAATTAAACTTTACATGCTTCTTGAGTATGCATCCTAAACACAAACACCAGCCTAGTGTCCGCTTTGAATTTTAAAGCAGATGATGGTGTTGCAGTTTTCAGACAACACAAAGGCCTACACATATATATATTTAGCAGTCTTTATTAATTGCATAAATGAAGCACAACTTTATAGTTATAAAAGAATTCTCCAAATATTACAGTGACCACGTATTTCTTTTCTTGGATAGTGTTTTCTGCGCATGTTGTGTGGTTTTTTTACGTGGGGAACTTCCCCTTTAAAGGGTCTTGAAGCAGTCATCAGGTAGCCTGTTAGTGAGCCAACTAGGTCACATTTAGATTTCCACTATGTCAGCTGAACGTGTAATCAATGCATGATGTCATCTCAACCCTGAAGCTTATTACAACTACTTTAATGAAGATGTACATTTTTTAATGAAGTTTTAATTATGCGTAATTAACAGCAGTGTTAGGCTGTGTTAAATTCTTCATCAGTGGTGCAGACTGCTTTTGAGGGCTGTGCGTAAAATAACCAAATCTGTAGGAAATGTGTGTTTGAAGAGGAAGAGGTGGATGTATTGCAACTTGAGTTTCCTGTGGTGTAAAAAATATTAATAAACGTTTTCTTTTCATTCATGTTTAACTTGATTTCTTTATTTTCACCTCCATCCTCTCCTCTCCAGACTGAGCAGACCTCTGTTCAGTTCTTGGTTATTTCAGTTAATGAGTTACACTCTTGGAGGAAGAAAACTGTTTATTGCACCACGAACACGCACCGCTTTAATAAATAACGATACCAAATTTAGACACGCACCGGCTCCCCCCTCGTGCAGCCTGGCGTTCATTATCCTGACATGAGGAGGGCTGCAGTCTCGCGCGCGGCCACACACGCTGCTGCAGATATCACGGTGACCTCTGACTCCGAGCTTTGTCCAAAGTCCAAACTGGCCCCAGGTCGGCTTGTTGAACCGATTAGCTCCCTCTCTCTCTCTCTCTCTCTCTCTCTCTCTCTCTCTCTCTCTCCTTGCATTTTTTAGATATGTCGTTACATCGGTTTGTTGAGTGCATTTCACCGCAGCTTTCTTTTCGGACGTCTCCCACGTCACGTTACAGCTGCCTCCGTGACATTTCCTCATAAACGTGCGTCACGAGCTGAAGGTCAAAATTGATTCGCGCCAGGCGTGTCTCCTCCTCTTCACATACTGCACCAATAACCATCGATGCTGTGGGATTTATTCACACATGGATCCTAGACGTCCACTTTTGGATTCCTTCAAAATAAAAGTCCACGCATTAGAGTGAAGCAAATCAATAAACTATATCCAGGCATCCTATTCTTGTCACTTTATCATAACAAAGGCGTGTCAGTCTTGTCTATAAATTAAGATATCCAAGCTTGTTCTAACACCACATATTACTGGTAAATATCTGGACAAAAAAACATTCTGTTGGAGGCAGTGTGGACAGGGAGACGCCATTCATACTCATATTTTCTGTTCATGCGCACAGATACAACCTTTCTGGGACGAAGTGAACGAGACTCTGCACTATTTTATTCAAAGAGATCCCAAATTCATGCATTTGGGAGCCGTACCTGAGAAAGTAATAGAACAAGGAGATGTTTATCGATTTAAGGAAAACTGATCGCTCGTTACAGGGACAGTGGATGGACATTATGGGCGAAATTTATACCATTGAAAGTCTAACTTGCCATTTGAGGCTGGACATGTCTACCTTTCATCACGAAATGGAGGAAATGGACAGCTTAATAAATAGACTATGTGGACTTAAGCACTTGCAAAATAAAGAGTAAGAACTGCCCACTCTGTTCCTTTGTTCCCCTTTTCTTTTTTCCCTCAATCTTTATTTTTAAGAAAAAGGAAAAAATGGTTGTAAAGAAATAATTGTCTCGAACCATGCTATACTGAAAAATAAAGTTTAAAAAAAATATATATGGATCCAAGCTTACTGGTTTACCCTTGGCCATCATTTTTTTAATTTAGGCCACCTCTAAGCATATTTAGCTATGAATGAGGTGCAGCAGAAACACTTTCTCCACGTTTGTATAATATTAGGTGTTTGAATCTATTAGCCAGGCCTACTTCTTTTTTACTTAAGATATAAACCAGTTTTATATTAAAGCTGTAGGTCTTTAAAAATGTAAAAGAAGCATCATGTTGCCAAAGAATGGGTCTTAAGTCTTTTATTCGCAGATGTAACAGTTGATTGCAACTTCGAGTACAAGGCAAGGCATCTTCATTTATAAAACGTATTCCATACCAAGGCAACTCAATGTGCTTTACATAGAAACAACACTTTTTTTTAAAGAATAGCATAAAAACACACACAGTTAAAAGCAGGAGCAATGGATAAAGTTTAAAATGATCAAAAAGAGCTCAGCCAAAAGCACATGAAAAGAGAAATGTTTTTAACCTGGATTTAAAAGTGCTTAGCGTTTGGGCTGATTCCAGTTCTGCTGGTAGTTTGTTCCAGTTGTGTGAAGCAGTAGAACAGCTAAATGCTGCTTCACCATGTCTGACCTGAATCAGTAGATCTCAGAGCTCTACTGGGTTTATACTCTACTAACATATCGTTCATGTATTCTGGACCTTTAGAACTTTAAAATCTATTCTGTAGCTGACTGGGAGCCAGTGTAAGGTCTTTAAGTTGTGATGTGATCTGATCTCAATGTAAAACTAATGTCAAGACAATCACTCTAATATGCTTAGTCAAAAATAGCACGTGTTAGCCTGCCTAATAAAATTAAAGAACCTGGAAGATATTCAGCCTAACTTTGTTTTTTAACTTTAAGAGTTTTGTAAAAGTTTCAAATATTGAAGTTGTTGAGAAATAAAGTTGAACTCGACTGAGTAATAGGCGAGTATTCTGATCGTTGTCAAATGAATTGAACGATGATGTGAACTACAGTCTCTCTCCACTCTGTGTGATCTTATTTGAATAAATTTGCAGTGAAGACTTTTCTCTTTTTTCATCTTTATATCTCCGCAGATGCATTTTATTCAGCTCGAAAATAATCCTTTGGTCTTTGGTTGTTTATTCCCTCCTTTTAATCCATTGAAATAATGAAAATCTGGGAACATCCCCTTTAAGAAGACGCTGTGGTAACATAACCCAGGGAAATACAAGCATCGTGAACAAAAAGAGAATCATCTTCAAGAACAACTTTATGTTGCAGTTTTCATTTACCTTATACTACCCTGTTCTGGGACAGGGGTGAATGCATGTTAAAGGTTTTGCAATGAGGGTTGCAGATCTGAGATTTACACTATTTTAAATAAACTGTTTACAATGTTTTTTTTTCTGCATTTTTTTTAAAACATTGATTTTCTCAAAAAATGTGGATCTCTGACTAGATTGGTTGTTAGAAAAATACAACAAGTCCAGGCCTGCTTTTGTGATCTCTGACTGGTTTGATAGTTTGTTGTAGTTTTTCATAAAATGGTTTCATAATTTCAGATTTATCTTTAAATCAGGATTAAAAGTATTTACTGATGACTCTAAGTGGTCATTTTTAGAGCACTTCCCCCTCCACATGCATGCTTTAGATCTTTCACTGAGTGTCTGCACTGCTGCACTTCATCGTTATCTGTCATGTTACATTTCTCCACCTGTAAGAACAAGACATGACAATTATTTAAAAGGTTTTATGATCACACAGCTAAACATGCATTAAACTTTTGTGCCATGAACGCTGCTTAACTGGTGGGATTATAGACTCTGCTCATGGTTCAGATGTCTGTGAACTATACAGACACTTTTAACTTTTTTTTATTCTATTTGATATTCAAGTTCAGTTTCTTTCTCATGAAGGTTTGATCGTTATGGACAGCTATTAAAGGTCTGTATATGATCTTTTAGTTAAGCTTTAGGCTGTATCTGAATGGTGGCAGGTGGGCCTCTTTGTTTTACAGTTCATTAAAAATCACTAACAATAGTAACTGGACTGTCTATCAAAGTTCCTGCTCATCATAAAACAAAAGAAAATGAGGTTTATTGGGAAGCACTTTCACAACTCTAATCTAAGAATAAATCCTTGTTGCCTTTAGACCCCTATAATTAAAAAATATATTACATCAGCCTGTGAAACCAGAAGAGGGTTCATGCGTCTTTGGAGATAACGTGAGGTAGATTCAGTTTCACGAGAAGGGTAAAAAGTGCCATACCCCTTCCTTTCTCGACGGCTGTGAGCACGTTTACAAAATTAAATGAACTTTCAGTGCTTATAAAAGTTCGTGTTTCTGCAGATTTGTTCAGGACAGCCCTCAAAAATCACGTCTGTAATGCAGTGACCGATCGTGTCCTAATTCAGCAGTGCTACTGGAGAATAAAAACTTCCCATTTCACAAAAGATCCAAGTGGAAGGAGTGCTAAAACATCCTTCAAGATAATCTACCACAGCATAAGTAAAACTACCAGTCTGCTTGAGTATTTGGGTAAAAGTACACTCTTTAAATATACTCAGTGCTGAGTGTTTACTTTAACCCATGGCGGTGAGAGTGAGGCGAACAGGCCCAAATTATGTAAAAGCGTAATTTTAATAACTCACAGTTGCGAACAGCATTAATCTATGAGGTGATTTTGACTCTGCACCTGCAGGGTCAGGATATTGAGTATTTCTGATCGTCCTTTGTGATTATTGCGTTTCATATGTGGTCTCTGCACACTCCAGGCTGTACCGAGAGGCTTGTTAGGATTATGCAAAACCAAGGACTTGTTTTGCTGTTGTGGATTTTTATTCTAAGGAACTTGTCAGGAAAAAAATTTGCCTGACAGAGAATTTATATTTGCATCTGTCTCTAGATGAAGTGTTATGAAACGAACCCAGTCAGCTGGCTGTCATGAGGTTGATGTCATGAGATATATTTTACTCAGTCACTGTTAGCATGTAAAATAAAGTGAAGCAGCCTACAGTGAAGAAAATAAATCCTGCTTATAAAGTGAACAATTCTCTATGAGTTTAAAAACCAGCTCTTACAGCTCATTTTCTTCATTGAACACTATAAAAGATTAAAAATGAATTTATCTAGTTTTATGTTTGTATTCAAGATTGCATAATGAAGCACAACTGAGCCTAAAACCAGGACTCCGACCTTCCACGAGGCCCAAAGAAGAAATAATAAACTTTAATTACCAAGATGTATATCCAGTTGTTATTGTAACACTTGATGTAACAGCAACCACCAGCCTTACAAGAGAAGGTAATTTCAGCTCCCAGGAGGAACCAAAACTGGCTTTTGCACTTTGTCAAACATCACGTCTGTTTAACCATTTCAGAGGGCTTTCAGCTTCATTTGCTAAAATGGATGAGAAGCCTTGGGACCAATCTGCGCCTCCCTGATGTGGCTGAAAAGTTTATTTGTTAAACAAACAAACAGGACACACGCAGGGTTCAGACTTTTACGGGGCTACACGTCGAGGTCATTTTGGAGGCAGCTTGACGAAAAGAAGAGAAAAAAAAACATATCCTATAGCGTATGTGTGCAGAATAAAGATGCATGTGTGAAAAAAGAGAAAGAAAAGAGAGAAGAGAGGAAGATCGAGGGGAGAGAAGGGGATTTTTGCAGAGTGATTCTGCCCCCTGTTGGAAAAAAAACCTATCCACTCCTCCCCGTCTCTCTTCTCTGATCTTCTGTTTAATCATTTATTGTTTTAACTTTTGAGCAGATCACCGTTTAACAGCAAACTCCCTCCATAGCCTATATCTCTAAGATTAATCACCCTGCACAATTCACAATTAAAGAAAAATCCATGCAATTTATGAATGGATCTGTCATGGCAGATTGGCGATGATGAATAAAAGGTGCAACAGCATGATTGATTAATCCCACTTACACGCGTGAGGAGAGTGGAGGAGATGCCCTGCAGACAAAAACAGGGCCATATAGGATCTGTAATTAACGTCTCCCTGTTAAGCACCTCATTAACGCGCTTATATAGAGAGCTAATTAAATTGTTGTCCTGCAGATCCTCCGCTATGTCGAGTCATTTTCCACGAGTGGCAGATATAATCGTGAAAAGACCAAAAATAAATGTAATAATAAGCGAGTCCATCCCTCAAATCTTAATATGATTATGTCAGAGGAGAGGGGGCTAGACCCTCCCCCAACCCCACGAGAGGTCAGCACGGGGTCAGTGTCTTGCTCAAGGACACTCAGGCAAAGCAGTGCGCGTGAGTGAAAGCGTGTGGGTGCAGTGCAGACCATCTGAATCCAAAATGGCGATAAACATGTTGTTAAAATGTGGCGGATTTTTTTTTCTTTCAATGACCCACTGACGAGATTTCATCCATGTTCAGGGTAACGACGAGCTCACGCGCACGGTCACGCACGGTCACGCACGCCCCCTCGGCCGCTGGGTGGCAGTGGTGTGATTTCTCTCTCTCTCTCTCTCTCTCTCTCTCTCTCATCGGAGGGGAACAAAGAAAGGAGGGAGGGGGTGCTGTGTGATCGTGTGTGTGAGGAAAAGACGAAGAGGACGAGGAGGAGGAGGAGAGGGGGGTCTCTCCCTTGTGACAGGAGGACATATATGGAAATCTGAATAGCTCACATTCACCTCTAGCAGAGCGCGCATGCCTGCTCTAATTCACCATCTCTATAGTCATCACCATCACCTCTCATTATGGGTTGGAGCGCGCGCCGTGGCAGCATCACCGGCTCCAAACAGAGGCCCTGAATGTGACAGATGTTACGGTGATAAAGGCTCCGTGGTTAATTTCTGCCTGAGATGTATAGAAGTAGCCTATACATCTGTAGCCCCCCCACCCCAAATAAGCTTGGTTATCCCACTGGAGCCCCGAGTGTGCGTGGATGTGTGTGCGTGCTTAGACTACTCTGACAATAAAAGGTTTTGTGGGTCAATGTGATTGCAATTACAGTCCCTTAAGCCTGCCTGTCACTGTTACAATGTGGCAGGCCAGTGTGTGGAGAAGGGATATTAAATGCAAATATCATCTCATTGAAAGGGCTCAGTCTTTAACCTGTTATCCACCTTTTTCATGTGTGTGGTTCTGCAGATTTTTTATTAAAGATATCCGGAAAAACAGCTACGACCTGAAAAATATATCATGATAGCTAATAAAGGATTAAAAATATAGCACTATGTTTGGAGTTCGTATTGAGATTGATGGATATACAAAAGGAAATCCTGATAAAATTATCTTTGTGTCTAAAAATATATTTTTTAACCAGCTCCATTTTATTTCACTCATAACAGAAATGGTTCATCTGCTGTTTTTGTAAATGTAAAAAAAAAAATTATAATAAAAACATTTAATCTTTCGCTCTTAATTTTTCACCAAAATAAAACACGCCTGTAAATTTTATTGCATATTTTTAATTTATTTTGCAGTAATTATATTTTATTTTGTCGGCGGTGTCAATACCAGGAAAGCCGGTGTTTCCCAGCGCGCACAGGGGCAGCTGTTCCTCCAGCCTGCCGGTGAAAAGCAGCTTCCTGCCGGCTGCTGCTGCAGCTTTAAGCCGCTGGTCGGAGCTCGATTTCCCCTTCCTATTCTGCTCGACTCGAAGGCACGACGGCTTCTCGCTGAGCAGGCAAGTGCTAAAAACTGTAAAGGTCACACTGTCACGACGAAAAAACAAATAAGAAGTTTAACAGAAGAAGTAAACAAGACGAGGTTCGTTAATATTTTAGTCCACATGGAGCACATAACACCAAGAAGGACCCGCCATGTTTATCCTTCCTCTTACCGAGGACAGCAGGCTGTTTGGGTCTCTTTTAGGTTAACTTGTCAGACTCTGTTACACTACTTTTTATCTCTATTTCTCAAATTACGTTGTACAAACACGTCTTGAGCCAAAATAAACATACCCTGACTTACAGCTCTTTTTAAACACCATAAAAAGTAAATACGTGCCAGTTTTCCTCCGTAATTTGTTGGTGCTCGTTTTAATTCCCAATTTCCTTGTAAGGATCCCATCATACACGGATTTAACAATGCGTCAGCTGTGTGTTGTTGTTAAATGGTTCATTCAGGGCTGAGTCTTATTTTAGTCTGTCCACATGTTAAAGCCTCAATCAGAGGCAGGGATCTGGATCAAAGTGAGTTAAGTGAGTAATTGAACTTTGTGGTTGCAAAGGTTACAGTCTGGTTGACATGTTGCCAGAAAAGTCTACGGGCTCCCCTATGCATGCTCCACAGCTCTCACAGGTTGACTACTACTGTGTGTGTGTGTGTGTGTGTGTGTGTGTGTGTGTGTGTGTGTGTGTGTGTGTGTGTGTGTGTGTGTGTGTGTGTGTGTGTGTGTGGTTCTCAGTCAGTGCAAATACCAGGAGAATATGTAGATGCTGTCTGTAAAGAAATTATATCAGCATAGCCTGACCATGACAGTCCTGAATAGTCCTGTTTTCACCATCATTGTCCGTTTTCTAAAAGTAACATTGAACTCTTCTGGTAGTGTTTGGCCCGGCATGAATGAAAGCAGCCAGGTTTTGAATCCAGAAGTGTGGTTATTACTCTATATAACAAATATAACCTCTAATAGCAGAGGCATTTTTAATACACATCTTTCAACTCAAGGCCATGCCAGAAAAGAGTCTCAATGATAACGAGTGAGTATGAAAGGACTGATGTGGTTGTGAGCGTAAAAAGAGGCTGTAGAGGTGTTTTGTGATGCTGTGAAATAGTGCTTACAAAACACATTTTCAATTTCAGATATTGACTTTAAGTCAATATCTGAAATCAGTGTCATTCTTTGTATTCCTGAAGGCCATTTGCTCATTCATGAATGTCCAGAAATATCTTTATTATTTGCTATGTTTAATCTTACATACACCTGAGCCACTTAGATAACTGGAAAGAAGAAATACCAAAATAGTAGTCCTTCATTACAAGGTCTTTTACATTGTGTTTTTGCAGCATGCTATGGTCAATTTATTGTTATAAATTGTGAATAATTCAAACTTATGTAACTCAAGAAATACACTGCATAAGGGAATTAGATTGTAAATAACATGATACACACACAGATAGGTAGAGAAGTAAGCAATAAGGCAGGCAGGCAGGCGGGTGCCACCACAACCCAAATTAAAGCGCTTTACATTCAGGCAGGGCGAAGGACGGCCCTGAGGCGTCTCAGTTTCCTTGTACTGGGGGTCTTAAGCGAGGATCAACTTTCATGCAAGCACTCTCAAAGAAGGATGTTTCTTTGTTCTACCGGCACCAGTCCACACAGCTTCTGTCTCCCTCCCTCTCTGAGGAGTGTAAAAGAAAAGGTAATGTAATTATAAATGATACAACGCTGCCTCACAAGAGACCCAAAGAGGACCATTTGTAAAGCGTCACACAGCGCAGAGACATTCACGGCCCATCATTCTGCGAGACAGGACAGAGGACGGAGCATAATTCATCACTAATTTTTTTCAGGAACGCTCTAGATCGACTGTCAGTGTAGGAGGAGTCCCACAGGCTAAAGTGATTATGCACAACAGATGTAAAATATTTACAGTCCTGCGTCTTTGTCATCAACTGCAGGGTTAATTGAAGATGCTAATGCCGAGTGTAAGCACACATCCATTGTTTGGTGATGCAAAATGTAGCTGATGTGCTCAGAAATGCGCTCTCTCTCTCTCTCTCCCTCTCTCTCTTTCCAAGCGAGAGGCCGCCGTGGGTTTGTGTGGAATGAATACAATGTTGGACACAAAGGGTGCACAGCAGAAAGAAAAGTGTCAATCTCCACCTGACTCAGAGCCCATTATAGGGTGAGAGAAGAGGCAGTGATGTGCGTGTGCATGTGTGTGTGTGTGTGTGTGTGGCAGAGGTAAAAGAGAAAGACATCCGAAGGTGAATAAAGCGCACACATCACCATCAGCAGCCATTATTAGCAGCCTGTGCTGGTTGCCAATCAGACTGAATTATCCTGCAGTGAATCGACTAGCAGGCAGTTGACCAATGACTGTTTCCTTTAGGCAGGAACAAACACTAACTCTGCTCGGTCTGATTTCATTTCCTATCCTTTCTGTCACTCCGCTCATTGATTGGCTCTTGTGCTCCCAACTAGAACCCCTCTATCATCTAACCCGCACTCCTTTATTTCTATCATTGTCTTTTTCATTCTGCTTTTCTTTGTCCTCAACATCCCTGCTCATCCGGGATGAAATCTGCAACAGGCACTTTTGCTGCATGTATGTATGAGTGTGCATGTATGTAGTTCTTTGGGGCAGGGTAGTGCAAGCAGCAGTCTGATCCATACTAATGTTCATTGATAGGAAAATCAATGGTGCATTGATCCAAGACTTGGCTCTGAGGTAGAGAGGAGGGGGTTGCGAGTGTGAAGACTGGAAGAAGGGCAGCAGAAAGTGGAAGAGGAGGAGAAAGAACAGTAGAGGAAGGAAAGGATTAGTTAGATGTGAGTAGAAAAAAAGAGGGATAAAAAGAACCTGCAGGCCTCTGTGTGTCTGCACATGACAGAGATGAGACCCCAGCAACGCTCCCCGCCACTGGGGGGTGGGTAAGTATATGTGTGAACAACCTGTCGTGGCCTAACTATTCTCTTTTCTCTCTATCTCTCTCAGAGCTGCTCTTGAGAGTGCATGAACAAGCCTCAAATGGAACCCGAGAAGCAGGAAAAAAGAAGAGAAACAGGAGAGGAGAGGAGGAGGGGAGGGAGAAAATCAATTTTCCCAGAAAGAGGCAGGCTGGTCTAATGGAGGTCTAAAAGAAGAGGAGGAGGAGAGGACATATTTTCCTCTGATTACCTCCTCTAGCTTCCCCGGCAAACCTTGAAAGCTAGCATGGCTAACGTTGCCTCCCTCACCCGACCTTTTCGCAGATGGTATGGAGTCTAGATGTTTCTCTGAAAGGGCAGCGATCAGACAGAGAGGGCGGCGCACATAGGAAAACCCAACATGTAGAATTACTTGTGTGGTGACCTGATGAAGTGTAGACCTAAATGAAACCATATCTTCATACGCAGAAACAGTTTTGTAAAACATTACGAGGCTAATTAATTTTTCTTTGTAGACGCTCTAAAACCTGCTGTTACATCTTTGAGGAAGCAAACGAGCTCGACAAACTGAATACAGGTTTCCATCTGGTTAAGAGGAATCGTTTATGAAGTATAAAGACGGGGAAATTTGTCATTAGTTTATCTGCTCAATGAAGTACCTCTTTGCTCGGGACTCTTAGTTAAGACGGCCTGTTTGATGTCATGTGACCAGGTCGCTTTGTCCAATTCCTAGCCACAGTTTGGGTTATAATAAATTGCTTGTTGAAGTGGTCTTTTAGAGCACGAAACGCAGGCAGTTTCGGCTTTTCTAGCAGAGTAAATTTTTCAAAAAGGAAGCAATTTTCTTCCTGAAGGTGAATACATGTGTAAGAGCAGAGAACTGATGCTGGAAAGAGGGGCAGTAGTGTTTCTCATAGACTTCCCATAGCTCTACCTGTGGCGGTTGGCGGAGTGGTTGAAAAACCTTACGTAATATATGTATAACTCCTTTTTTCTTTAACTTATTTAAGTTTAAGGTATCATCTGTGCGTGGGAAACCCTGAACAATCTGTAAAGTTCTTATGATATTGCGCTCTTAAAGGAAATTATAGTCTCCAAACTTTTCAGGGCTTCAGGTGTAGCTAATAGAAGACTTCTGGTCGGGACTTCTTTTTCCATAGCCAGCTTTTGTGTTTTGAAGCAAAGACTTGTCTACAGTCAATGATTTGAGCGAAATCAGGGTTAGATAACTGCTGATTGGTTCATAGGTTGCATTACAATGGATGAGTCCAACCAAAGTCTGCTGAAAATCAGAGCACAATCCTGCTAGGTCTACAAATAGAGACCAGAACACTCCTGATACAAAGTACATGCATGAGAGCTTTAAGTATTAAACAAGTGATGGATTATCCTGTTGTTTTTCCTGCAAATGGTGACTTAAATTTACAAAGTTAAAGTCTTGAAAGGAAAAAAAAAGACCCAAAGAAGGATAGGTAAGACTCCCAACTGCAAAACTTTTAGCCTCTGTAGCTTCAGGATGCTCTTGTTAAACTAGTAAAGGCTAACCCAACCAAGAAACAGCATTTGAATGAACTCTGCTTTTCTTCGGTAGTGCTCACTGTACAAATATAGTGTTGCTCTCCCAGGGATGGAAGCCAGTGATAAGCTGCTAAGCTCTTAAATGTAGCCGATGAGGAGCTTGTATCACACTGTCTGTCTGTCTTTCTGTCTATCTGTGACTCCGTTTCTGTCGCTCCCTCCCTGTCTCGTTGGCTCTTTGTGTGTTCCTCCGTCTCTCTCGGCCTGTTTCTCTCGGCCCTGTGAGGTGAAAGTGGCTTCCATGGTAACGGCACACTCTGTTTATGCCACGACGTCTCACTTCATCACAAGCTGTTGATGGCTTTGATTTGCATGCGTGCCTCTGCGTGTGTGTTTGTCCTTCCCCCATTTCTAGGAAATACTCCCTAAACGCATACACATCATACAGGTGTTTGTGAGAAAGGAAGGGCAGGTGAAAACGATAATCTTCAGACTTTTGATGCATCAGATTCCTCAGTAAGAGAATGAGAAACAGCTCTGATGTTTTAAAGGAACTTTTCTCTTTGTTTATAGCACCAAACAAGCGTCTAATGAGTGAGAAACGTTTGTTTTGCCACCTTTAACGCTGGTTCGAGTCTTTACAACCTTAATTAGCAAAACTAGGATGCATCAAAAGGCAATAACTCTCTTGAGATGTTGTAAAAATTCCATATGTAGATTATCTTTACAAAAATTTCAACAACCATAAAAAAGGAAATTGGCACTTTAGCTGTTAAGACAAAAAAATGTAAATTTAATCATCCTCATTTCCTCATTCTGAGAGCCGATCCCGTACACTTAACCACTTAAATTAGCAGCAGAAACAATGATTATGACTTCTTTTCACCAAAACCAGTCGCCCCCAATTAGTGGAGTAGGGGGGGATGAGGGGATGGAGGGAGGTGGGGTGAGAGCGGAGGAAGGGGGAGGGCCTGGATAGCCAGACCCCATGCCGGGCAGAAAAGGGGGAAAAATGGATTCCATACCAGGAAATCCATTAGGGCCAGGGAGCGGCGTGGAGCACAGAGTGGCCGCCGTGTTTTTTAAAAATTCCTCATTAGGTGTAATTTCTAAATTACAATCAGCATGGGCAGAATGAGACAGCGAGGATCTGACCAGCTCATCAGGATAATCAGGGTAATAGCATGATTCGGCAGACAGGGATGAAAACCAAAGAGAGCAGGAGAGGATGGAGGGAGAATTTTAATTCTGCCACCTCTGCCGCTGCTGCTGCTGGACACTGACCTCTGGATGGTTTTCTGCGATGTTTAATACATTTCACAAGTAAATTTTCGAGATAATTGCTGCATCGAGTGGGGGGTTGGGTGGTTAAAGCAACAAGCTAATGAAAAGCAGGAGTCTCTGCCTCCAGCGGTAACTCTCCTCTTCTTGTTCTGCCCTCCCAGGAACAAGACAGAGGTGGGAAAATTGGTGGAAGTGAAGAGAGAGAGAGAGAGAGAGAGTGGAAAAGGAGGAAGAAGAGGGACAGAAGAAGTGGGTGGGGATCCGAGAGGAGAGGGAGCGAGGGGCCAACGCAAGGGAGAGAGGAGGGGAAACGACAGGAGGGGAGGAGGGAGGGGAGGAGAAGAGGTTAATTTGCACATATTAGAGAGGGCAGGATTTTTCATTAAAAAGAGATTGAAGTTGATATATGCCTGTGCGCTCCTGACACACTGTACACTCTGATTGTGTTAAGTCCTTGACAGAACAAAGGATTTCCCCTCTCTCTCCCTCTCTCTCTCTACTTCTTTCTCTTTCTCTCTTTCTCAGTCTATCTCTAACAGGTCGGCTTCAGCTCTGGCAGCATTTTGCAGCTTTATGGAGCTGTTTCATGGTGAATGGAGGCGCACACAGAGCATCATATCACCTCAGCAGCCCCCCCTCGATGCATATGCATAAACATACTTTCCTCCCTATGCAAATGAACACACATGCAGGGTAGAAAATGGCCTTCATGCATGTGCACTACCTTTCCATTTCTTCTTATGTGTTTGTGCATTTAGCCAGGAGGCGATAGGCCTGAGCATAACATTTGATTTCCCTTCATTTTGGCTAATAAAGTGGAGAGGAAGCTCAGTTATTTGGATGCTGAAGAAAAAATTAAATAAGGAGCTTCTATGAGGGGCGAGAACTGCCACTGCTGCAAATAAAAAAGAATGCAAAAAAAATAGCGATGCAAGTTACCGATGCAAAAAAAAAGAACTGAAGCCCGCTGTAAACAAAAATAGATATGGTGCAGATTTTAAGAGCAAAAAGCCACAACAGAAGTTAACGACGCATTAAAAAGTGGCAATAGGGAAAAAAAAAGTTACTTACTGCAAAAACAAAAAGATGCAATTAAAAATAAGCCACAACGGAAGTGAGCTGCCGGGGACCAATATTAATGATGCATCGTTGTTTTACGATCTAGGCACAGAAGACGAGCAATATAATAAGTGGAAAGGTAATTTTTTAATAAGCTAACACTACACTGGAATCCTCCAGTTCAACTTCATATCGACTCAGGCAATACATGGCCTGACCAAATGACACATTTGACGTACTCAAATCGGTCAAGATTTTAAGTATGCGACTATGAACACTCGCCTGCACTCATTTTCTCGTTAAGAATGGCTGCAGACGGCTGTGGTGCCTGTGGGTCGGCGAAAGTCAACCTGGAAGCTTTGTACAGATGTAAGTTATACGTTTTTTTAAATATTTCATATTATATTTAATATTGGTATTTTATATATTATATAAAATATATTTTTAAAGTATTTTTTTGTAAATGGTTTCTTTCTAGTCTTAAATGCTTAATTTGTAAATATTTTAGTTACTGAGTTCCAAATGTTTACTATGTAAATAGGGTATCTTTAGTTTTCTTTTTCTAAATTTTTTAAAATATGTAAATAGTTTGTTATTTTTCTTGTTATTATGCACAATAAATGTTCAGACATGATGCCGTTGTCATTTCTGGTGAGTGCACCGTGTGGCATTATGCAATTTGGGACAGCACTGCACCCTCAAAACTCACGCACTGCGTGATTGAGTACATAGTACGAAGTATTTAGTATGGAAGTATGCGGTTTGGGACACACAAACAAAGCTTTCTGCTTCTTTGCTTGTCTTCTCGTCGTTGACTTCGGTGCCAAGATCGTAAAACACTGTTGCATCATTAATATTGGTCCCCGGCAACTCACTTACATTGTGGCTTTTTTAATTATCTTTTTATTTTCCCAGTAAGTACGTTTTTTTTTTTTTTTCTTTTAAATCTGAGGCTTCGGTCTCTTTTCTTTCTTTTTGCATTGGTAACTTCCGTTGTTGGTTCCTCTTTTTGCATTCTTTTTTGTTTGCAGCAGTGGCGGTTTTCAGCCACCATAAGCTACAGTCATGTTAGCTTATGTGCGGCCTGAGGTGAAGCCATACCTGCCACAAAAACAACATGAGCAACCATAATGAAACTTCGATGATCTTTTGTTTTGGACACGCTCATATGTTTACATCGTTCTCTCCTTTCTGTCTTTATTTCCTTCTTTCTTTCTTTCTTTCTTTCTTTCCCCCCTCCCTTACTTTTATCTTGTTTTCCTCCGGCCACATCTGTCATTCCACGGTGGAGGTTTATACCTGATCTTTGACCTTACTTAGCGCAGCCCTTGAGACCTGTTTCAGACAAACACTCACATACAGAAGAAACCAGCGCACACAGAAAAGAAGATATTGATTGGTGATAGATAGATAGAGCAGAGCCAGTCTGATAAGGAGGCCATATTTGATGTTTGTTCTGGCAGCAGGGAGAGATTAAATCACAATGAGGAGCCTGCTCCGTCCTTGGCTTCGTCCCCACTCGAGGCTTTGCAGGAGTTTAGGGGTCGAGCTTAAAGGATGACGGGTGAGGGATTGTGGACAAGGGGCGCCCGGCCTGCTTAAATCCACTGTGCTAAGAGCCATTGATTAACACGGCTGGTAATGTTATTCAAGGGTGTGTTTTTGTGCATTCCAGGGTTTTCAACATTTCAGGCTCTTAGATGCACGACAACTGCTTCTTTTCTTAAAACCGAGTTGTTTTTTTCTCCCGGGTCCTCTTGGTACAATGTTGTCAGCTGATTGACAGGCATCAGTATGAATCTGGGGGTTCACAATGAGTGCCAGTCAAGGTCTTGTTCACTTAAAAATTCACACAAACACACACACCAGGATCTTGTTCAGTGATTACCACTCTGCTTAAACTTTTGTTTAAGAACTTAAACTTCATCTCTCTCTGTGTGGAAACACCTTTAACAAAATTTTAATCTTTTCTTTCTGCGCAAGAGAACTAAAAAAAAAATAGCTGACAGAAACAGAAAGAAAACATAAAGATGCCAAGGGGCAACATGGTGATAAATGAATACTACCATGTTATATGAGGTGGGGTTGGTTGTGGCTATGGTGATGAAACTGCCTTAAAACTCACCAAAATATGAACTATGGCAGATTAATTCATAAAAAAAACACAAATACCTGAGAACTTCCTTGTTAGTGTCCCTGTTCTGTTCGTAAGCAGAAACACTTTAGATCAGAATGAAACGTAAAACCTGCCAAACACATGAAAGCACTTGTGTCCGAGGAGAACATGTGCTCTAAATTCACTTGTGGGTTTAACATGTGACACCGCTCTCCCCTGAGGACATGAACACTCTCTTTTTCTTCCTCCTGATTCCTCTTAATCTGCCCTAGACTGCAATTTTCTCCACCATGCTGACTTGTTGTGATAAACCCATGTCATCACTACATGCAAAGTTAAAGGTTTTGCTCCTGTCGATTATTACGTAAGCGTAGTCACATCTAAATAAACCAGACTCTGTTCTTCCAGCGCAGTGACCTGAGCGTCCTCTTTTACATATGAGCAGAGCCAACCCAGGACCCAAATCCCCTCGGTGGAAAAAATCAGCATGTGTACGTAGGAGAGGCTGTATATGTTGGCCGGTGTGCACGCGGTCTCAAGGGTTGGGAGATTATGTCGACAAAAGGTGCACCTGGTGCTTTAGATTGAGTTTCTCTCCTCCCCTTCCTCCATTTGTCCCTCTTCCATCCCCCTCTCCTCCTCTCCTGTGGCCATTTCCAACATTACCCTGGGACTTTTAAAAGATTAGACCACAGATTTATAATTGTGCCACTAATGCTTATTTACAGCTCGGAGGATAGAACTTTTTAACATTAGATATGTCTGTCAGTTACATGAGTACACCTTTTAATTTTTTTTATGATCTTATATAATCATGTAAAGTGTGCCAGGGCAGATTACTGAGACACGGTCCTGTGTGATTCAGATCTGCCACCGTTGATAAGCAGATATGAGTGCTTCACTACAAAAACAAGTTTTGAGGCGCTGTGAGGATTCGCTTCTCACTGATTCTAAAAGAGTGTCATAAATAGTGGTGAATAAATCAGAATTTGCAAAGTTTTGTCGTTCTCATGCAGTTAATATTTTACGCAGCTACAAGTTCAAACATTATCTCATCACTGCATCCTGCAAAAAAAAAAAAGTCTTGAACTAAGAGCCACATTCAGTATTTATACCAGTTGTTTATGGTGCTCATGGGAAAGTTTTCTTCCCTAGGATAACACTTCAGACTTTGTCCAAAAGGGTCACTAGTATCAAAACACCGTGAAAAGTCCTCATAGAGACTTTAATACTCAGTGGGTTTTGCTCTATGAATTTTATCTATTTTTTCCTGATTATAATCTTGACAGCTATTTAAATTATTTAGTCAAATACCCACAAAAATGTTGAAAATAATGTTGAAAATACAAGTCCTGCATTATGATTATACATAAATCATAGTGTTCATTTTTCTTCAAGATATCAGCTGAAATAAAATAAAAATATTATGACTGTAATAATGAAACAACATTGCATATATCATCGCCTGTCAAATTAAAGTGACTTTCATGTGGCTTTCCTCAGTTTATAATCCCACTAGATAATGTGGTCCAGTTTTTAGACACCTCCGGTTAGTCATGATATAAATCTTGAGGGTCCAATGTAAATTAATGAGTAAGAAAAACTATTCAAATCAGAATTTTATCTATTTTTCATGTAAAAAAACCAAAAAACATCTGACAGTCTTAAACTGTGGGAAAGTTTACATAGAAGTTTGCTTTGTAGAGCAACTGCAATAAGTCATCAATATAAAAAGACATACAAATCACAAAGTTTGTTTTGGTCCATCAGATTTGTTTTTAAAGCTTATATTATGAATTCCAGGTTTAATATTAATGTTGAAACCATAGCTGTCTAATCTAAGTTTTTTTAAACATTACAACATATTAAAAAGAATTGCAATAAAAGAGCACGGTGGCATGAAATGTGTGTTTTACTAAAACACAGTGCATACATATTGAAGCTACTACAATAGTTCACAGTACTCTGTTTTCTGTTATCGGCTGCTTAACCTGTGTGATAAAGTATCCTACTTGTGAGGCTGTTCTGGTAGCGTTACAGTCAAAGCCTTCAGCTGCTCTGTCAATAATGGATCCTGTTTGTACACCTGTTGCATCTTAAATATTTATTTCTCTGCTGAAAAGATCCCAGATGTAAGTTTTTCCTTTTTACATCTGCCTATTAGAGGTCGTAAGTGTTTTGAATTTGTAATTTTTGTGACAAATTAATTCAACATCTATTTGTTCAACATTTTCCAGAGTGGATTGCATTCACGCTTAAGCAGTAGCTGCTCTTTGTGTTCTCTCTCTTTGCAGGGAAACGGCAGATACAAGTGAGCAGAGACAATCACTCATAGAAGCGTTATTGTGAGTCTGTTTTCAAGGTCTATGTGATCACAATCACACATATAAGGACACACACACACACATTTTTGCCTGCTATGAACCCCTTAAAATTAACAATGGTTGGAGTTCATTTAAGTTTGACTCATTATTTACTCTAAATCGTCTTCACTCTGTCTCTCACATCACATATTTAAGAGCAAAGAAACAAAATCAGCTGTGTGTGTGTGTGTGTGTGTGTGTGTGTGTGTGTGTGTGTGTGTGTGTGTGTGTGTGTGTGTGTGTGTGTGTGTGTGTGTGTGTGTGCTCCGGTGGGCATCACAGCAACTCCCCCCTTCCTATTTCCAAAACACACACACACACTAGCCCTCCCCTTCAGCCCAGGGGTCTCCAGCCTGCATAATAAATGAGGCCTGCTGATAGGTGGATGAACAGGGGAGGGGGAGGGCTCTCTCTCCCATGCACACACACACACAGCCTGGGTCTTTACCATTGAACAGCTGTTGCTGTTGGAGAAATCCCAGATCTCTTTACATGCTTGTTGTTCGCTCATTTATCGTGATTGCAGCAGCGGTTCAACTCTTCTTCAATCTCAGATGTTTTAACACCAAAAACTGAGAAATTGGCGGCAATCTCCACAGGGATATCTGCTTTTAAAAATCACCACAGTCCTTGAGCAAGGCACTGACTCTCTGCAGCTTTCCCCTGATGTTTATTAGCTCATCGTGAAAACACACACAAACAGAGCAGAGGGATTTGATGGTTGATAATTGGTATGCATGTGGAAAATTTGGAAGCTAAATCGCTGAAATTGCTTGATGAATACTGATACCAAATTTGTCATCTTGCAACTATTAATAATACCCCTCTTTCCTACCCCATCATTATTATATGGACACATATATATGGACGCACACATACCCACCCCCCCACCTGCCATCACTAACCAGCAGCAGACTTATTTAATAATATAGACCTCACCATTTGAAAGTAATTATCAGTAATGATCTGCCGCTGACTGATCTATTTTTACCTGATGATCAAACCAGATCTCATCTCAGATCTATATCCCGTCACATTCATTATAAGCCCACAAGACTGCATTCATCTCTGCCAGCACCACCTGTCCCTGTAATGGTGCTTCATTCTTCACCCACAGCCCATTCACATTGATGGTAAATACAGGAAATACAAGGGTGGGTTTGTCTTTTATGCAGGTGGATAAAGGGAATTTAAAGAAAAATGTATTATAATCTCAGTGTTTTTGTGTGTGTGTGGGAGTTTATGTTAATTCCTGGTGTTACTCTGGTTGCAATTAAGACCGAGTGGATCCCTGTGCATGGTTTACTAATACTGAAGTCTGTTAGTCTTGTCAAACAAATAAAAATAAGATTTTACAGTCATAGTTTTAAAGCAATCCAAAACAGAAGGGATTGTAGATGACTTAAACTAAATAATTAAGTACAATTCTGTAATTGGATGACCTTTGACAACAGCACAGATTAAAATGGCAATAGTAGACAAGAGGTAGCAACATGCATTTGACACAGCTCTACATTTGATTACATTCAGGTTTAAAACAATTTCAAGGTCCAAATATAAGTAGCTTATGTCATATCTCTCTGTAGACTAAGTGTGTGCATGTGCGTCTATTATACAAGGTTATTGTGTTAGGCCTGTGTTCACCTACATGTCCTCTTCAGTCGATGAAAATACCATAATGCACGTAATAGAAGGGTCTTATCGCTTTCCATTAGTAAACGATTTTATTTTTCAGTAATAATATTGTTATGCTGTGATTAATTCTTACATTTGTGGTGTTTTAAAATGAACAGGGCATATGTAAGTGTCGACGGGTGACTGACAGTGGAGGTAACATTAGGCAGACGGCGGGGCTGCTCGGATTAGCTCCTCTGCTGCTAAGCTGCATTTCCCTTTCAAAGGGGAAAAGCAGACGGCAGGAAAATTACATATTCGAGTCCACTCCAATCGCCGTTTAATTTAAGCACTGTGTACGTCGAATAAAGTAAGCCCTCCATTTTGTCCGACGTTTTTTAAACTCGTTTCCTCGCGGCGATAGTCGGAGCCGCAAGCAGCGGGACATGGAACGTCTCGCTGGCCGGGAAGCGCGTCACTCAGTACGGCAGGAGAGCGGAGCAGGAGCCGCTGAGTCCCGGGAAGACGCGGACGAACACCCGGGAGACCAACAGTCGAAACGAGCCACATTTCCTCGCGTGTAGCTTATCCCGCATACAAACAGAATAAACGCTGGTTATCTCATAGCACAATTGGATAATTTCTAAAATCGCTTTACATCCAATAGTTTCATAATTTTACGTTGTGTGGCGCCTGTTTTTATTTCCACGAGGTTCGCCAAACCTTCGAAAAAACGTTAAATAATCTAAAAAATAATTAAAAATATATAAAAATTACAGGTATATTATATTATATATTTTGGGGATCATTAGCTATTTTATTGTGATGGTTGCCGGGGCAATAGGTTGTATGAACTCATGATTAGGCTGGACAGACAGACAGAAAGGTGGCTAGATAGATAGACCTCCTTATAGGCTACCTCTGTTTCTCATACTCTCACACAAAGATACTCCCATTCACTCTCTCACGCACACAAACCCAGAGTGGGGACTATGTGATCCAAGAGAAAAAAAGAGGAAATCCTCTGTTGCTGCAGAGAAAGAGGTAGGTTTATTATTAGACTCTTTCTCTCATGCATGAACACATTCATCATCCTGAAAGACCAAATATTTATTCCAACTATGTCCATTAGTTCTTCTCAGCCCCTGACTGTCCTCATTAATACACATTTGTTTGTTTTCCCTGCTGCAAACTTGTTTTATTGCACAAAAACTTCAAACACTGCCATATAAATTAGTTAGACTTGTTTAACATTTTTCATAATTGCCTTTTAGTTTTACTCTTGAAAATGGGTGTTGTTGTGATTTTCAAAAAAACATGTGAATATATAAGTTAGTATGGTTTATTAAGAATTTCACTGTTAAACTGTATACAATGCTTGTTAAATGGTTGCATTTCAGTTCGTGATTTTTTTCCTTATCTGTGTTTCAGGGTCAAGGAGGAGGTTGTAAACTCCTCGAGGCCATGGTTTGGATATTGGAGGTAAATACTGTGCAGAACATCTCTGAAATGACACAGATAGTAAGAAGTGTAGTTTTACATTTACCCTTCAGTTACTCCGTGTTGTTGTTGTTGTTGCATTGAGAAGCTCTGAGGTGTTTTTGCCTGGACTGGAGGTTGTGCATATGCTTGTGTTTATGTGTCAGGGTCTGACAGAGCAGTGTCACTTAGCAGAAGAACATGAGCTATCTGAGGATGAAGAGGGATGAGGCTGGATCCTGCTGTTTCTCCTCGCCACCATTATCCTACAGGAGAGAGACCTGTGGGGGGTATATACACACACACACACACACACACACACACACACACACACACACACACACACACACACACACACGTATACGCGCACAAAACCCACTCACACTCACCCTGGGAATCGTCTCAGCTGTTCCCCCCACACTCTCCCTATAGTCTTCCTCCTTGGCCCTAAACACCTCAGTTTGCCGGCTCTGGTTCCTCCCGGCTCTGGATCGGGCCCCAGCAGCTGACTGCCGGTTTCTGTGGAGGGATTAAGGCTCTTAATGGCCACCACTCTGTAATGGTTTACACTGCATTACTGTACACACCTCCTCCTGATGGTTTAGAGCCTCTCTCAGCTTTATTGCCTTCTCTCTGAGAGGCTGGGGTGCAGTGAAATTATTTAACCAAATTACTCAGCCTGTGTCCAAATCTGTGCGGGACTTAGTCATGGGGATTGGAGAACTTTTTGATGCTTCACTTTTACTGTTTGCTTCCAGCGTGAGCTCAGTATGTTACAGGAAAAGCAGATTTTCAAACCGCCTGCTTTCAGGATTTGTATGAATTTTTTTTTTTGAAGTTTTTTTTTTTTACGTTGAATTAGACCAGGATTTTTAAAAACTACAATGAGTTACAACACATGTATGTAGTTTGGACAGTATCCGCTGATTTACTAAGTGATCCATTGTGATGCACTGAAATTTAATAAAGGGACCAGACTTGATACTTCATAGAAAATAGTGGGCCCATTAAGCATGTTTTAAAGTTTACTCATAAAATCAATGTAAATTTTATTTTTATGTGAGTGAGCTACAATCAGAAATTTTAATAAAAATAATAATTTGGTTTTAAAATAAAGGATCAAATTAAAGGATAATATTGACAAGAAAATAGTATTATATGGATACATTTTTTTTGGATCCATAATATTGAACTCTTTGTCATTTAATTGATCCACCAATCTTTATTGTTAAATTTTTACACTTTTTAACTTGATTAAATGCAAGCAGTTTATCCCCAAATACTGTATTCTGAAAGAAGCTGATTTTCCTTCTTTTTTAAATTTTCTGCAAGTCTTGTTACATCATGTTATGTACACAAAAACAGCTGATTAAAAGTGTTTTTAAAATAAGAGTTAAAATAGCGAGAATTTCTTTTAGAAGTCATTGTATTGAGCTGAAGAGAAACAGAAAATAGCAGTAGGTGCAGTGATACAGGTTGCAGCAGGGAATCATACAAACAAGAGGGACTGGAGCTTCACTACATGGAGCACGATGTGACCACTAAACTAAACCGATGTCTGGACCAACTATCTAAGCTCATCACAAAACTGTAAAATTAAATTAAACAGTAAATAGTTAAATGCAGTCTTTAGTGTGTGAGCTGTACAGCTGTAAAATGTTTAGAGAGAAATCATTTCAAGCTGCATCACTTTGTTTTCACTGACGCAATCACGACCAAACAAATAAAATCAGAATCAAAATCAGGCGCTCTCCTCTTTGGTTTCACTTTGCTTTTGCTGTCTTAATTGCAGATTTGTTCTCCAGCTTATTTGTCCCTAAAAAATGCTAAACAAAAAAACCCAGATTGGACCACAGGGACTGAAAAACCTCAGTCAGAGTAAGGCGCCCATGTTACTGCAGCTCTCACAGATATCTGCCCCACATTTGTCTAATCATCCAAGGCTTAACCCTCCTGCTGGCCTGCTGTCTGCTCTGTGTGAGTGTATGTGTGTGCATGTGTGTGTGTGTGTGTGAGTCATATAACACCAGGGCTTAGCAGTGTTTTGACTTTGTGATCAGGCACCTGGTCAGGCAGCACACAGGGGTCCTCCATCAGCTGGTAAGCCCTCCCACCCCCAGGGAGGCTTTGTGGGGGGAGTGTGATCGATGATGGACACAACAGCTCTACCTCATGTGTTTGTGTGCGTGTGTGGCTGCTATTACGTGGAGTGGAGGGCTTGGGTTGGGGGGGGGCTCTGATGGTGGAGGCTTATGAAAGAGATGGTCCTGGGTGGTGATGGGGGGGGGGGGGGGGGGATTGTACGCTGTTTAAACAGCCTGGATTTGATTGACAGGGCTGATAGTATGTGTGTGTGTAGGGGGGATGCACGGTGAGAGATATTTAGAAGTGGGAGGGGTGTGTGAGCAAGTGCTTGAGAAAAGAGAAGAGGAAGAGGAGAGTGTGGGGGGTGATTTTTGGGGAGTGTGTTTTTGGGGGGTGCAGGAGGAAAGTGAGCTTTTAATTACCGGGGCAGAAGCAGATGTAGCAGAATGGTGCCCCCACCTCAGAACAAACACACACACACACACACACACACACACACACACACTGGTTGTTTCTTGGCAGCTGGAAGTTATCAGCTTCAATGTGTGTGTGCATGTGTGTGTATGTGTGTGTGCATATTTGTAAGGACAGAAGCCTTGAAGCACATTGTTGAAATCTAAAGATGTTCAGCTTCTATTGGCACTTTAAGCCCCCTGATTATTCAACACGCCCCGACCTACAGACACACACACAAAAACACTGAATTAATCACATCTCACTCCTGCTGTCTACTCTAGAATTTTCTAAGTCATTAATGCCTTTAATATAAACGCAGGTACGATTTCTCCCTCTCTCTATTACAGAAAAATGTCAATTTGTGTCTTATCTCTCCTGTTAGTAAGTCCAAAATATATGTAAAAATTATATTTTTAACAGTAAAATATCTGAAAAATCAAGAATGGTGTTCTTTTGCCAGTTTGTTCAACTTACCTGCCCTCAAACCGAGGATGTAGGCCTACTTATGAGAAGAAGGAAAAAAGAAAAAAAACCTATCTGATCAGGACAGTCTTACGTCAAAGCACTGTGATTAGGTTAATGGATTGTACTCCTGAATTTTAATCTGTTAATTAAAGCTCCTGTCAGAAGTTTTTCACCAGTTATGAAACAAACTGAATTTAATACCACTACCTCTAAATTGCCAAATAAAAAAAGCACAAGAAAAAAAACCAAAGATGTAACTAATTATTCAAGGGAAAATCTTGCTGCATGTAAACATTGCTGCCAGACAGGGTCACTAACAGCACACTATCTAAACAGACTGCTTCATGTCAAAAAGTCCTGATGGGTGGTGAGGTTAACATTTTACAGACAGCAAGATGACAATTTTCTTCGTCCTTACATCAAACAGAATCAGCAAAGAGATGGGTACTGTTATTGTCCACAGGGGCACAAGAGCAACAGCAACAAACAAAAGTCACTTAAAGGAGCTTTAATGGTGTTTTAAAGCTCTTGTGAGGAGTATGAGATGGTTATGAAAATGGTAAAAATTAAAACTTAAGGTCCTTACACACGGGGAGCGTTCTTTTTCCATCTGTGCTAAGTAACTTTAGCTCGTAAGCTAACCTGTTCAGATACAACATACCATATGTATTTTCACTGTCTCAAACTCAATCGTGTTGCTGTCACAGCACCATTAGGTCTCGGTTGTTACCTTACGTTTCTGGATTATAGTTTAATGTGCTTATCTGGTACTGGCCCCGACTCAGTATATGATATCATGACAGACAGCCATCTCAACACTAGTGTCTAATCAGAACTGAAAAACAGTCAGTCTGCTGTTGTGTCAGTGTTCTCGCTTCCCCCCGGAAAGTAAAATCGCAACGCGCTTGATGTGTATAGTCAGGTGCGTCAAAATTCGCCTCTGAATATTTCATAATTTCACGTCGTATATTTGCACATTCCCATTGTCTAAGGACCTTAATGCCTCTTAGTGACTTACAGAAGCCAACCAGATCATCAGTATTATATTGTATTATATATACATTATTATATGGTTATCGATAATGTCTTGTGGGGGGTAGGTGTCAGTCAAAGTAATAGCTTAAGTGCCACTGAAACAGTCTAATTTTATATATTTTCTATTGCTAAGATTTCTCCATTGGAAGACATGACTTTCATAAACAGATGATATGGTCAAGTAAGGGTGAAGGTGTGCTTTGTCCTACACAAACCGTCAGTTTGTTACAGGTGCTTTAACATCCACTCAGGTAAAATTGACCCTAAGCTTGTTCTACCTCATTATTAAGTATTTTTGTTTTTGATTGATCAGTGATGCTTTCCTTTTGAAATTGATTAATTAATAAAATTAAGGTATTGTTTCAACTGTAATAGTGTAAATTCAAAGAAAGCATGAAACTTGCATTAAATTGATTTAAAAAGAGTATTTTGTTCAGTTAAATTTTGCTGTGTAGGTGAATTTTGTGCAAATCAAATATTTTGAACTTCAGAAAAATCTTCACACTCCATGCAACAAAATCATTGTGTAACATTTTCAAACAAAATTTCCAGATGCTCCAGCTACTTTATCAATAGTGTTTCTTTATTTTGGTGTTTGTTTGAAATACAATGTCAAATTTCCTCCTCTCATTATTTTCTATTTGTACAAAATCGATCCAACCAAAAGTGTGCACGGATGAAAACACGCTGCCCCAAGTATAAAACGACTTCTCATCAAGAAAAGGGTGCAAAACTTAAAAAAAGAAACACAATGTCCCTGAACATATAAAAATAAATTAATACTTTGTGTGTCCAGTCACTGTTAACCTTTTTTTCGTCTGGTCCTCATGATTCACACACACACAAACTGAGGCTTCATTGGCTTTCCTTCACACCAGCTCGGCCAATCACAATCATTTATGTACACCAACGGCCAACGACAAAGGTTTATGTACACTTAACGAGGTAAAAACTGTGCCACTGACGCCCCTTTGACACACTTCCTCCCCCCTACAAATAGCTATGTACAGCCGCGCCCCCTCCCCCAATGTAGCAAGTAGCTTTCTAAACACAACACAGATCATTAAAAGGGTTTACAGCAAGATTTGACTGTGAGGAAAAAAAGACAAACAAAACTTTACACAGTAGTACAAAAGGATGTTAAATTGCAACACCAGCAGGCTTTTAAAATATATCATCTTATGCCTGTAACACAAAAACTCCCAATAAATAAAAAGCACAATACAAAGTTGGCTTTGATATTAGAGGATGCAGCAGAATTAGTTTTCCTGGTTCTGTTTAAAGAGACGGCGCGTCCAAAGTCTTTTAAGTGATGCAGCTTAATAATCAGTAGAGTTGTGAGTGACAGGGGCTCAAGTAAAGGGAAAACAAACCCCACCTTCCCCCTCCTTAGCCTCAGGCACTTGGGTTTTTGACCCTGATTGGCCAATCCTGGCTGTGATTTTTTTTTTTAATGAGTGTTTTATTGGCCGCTGCTGTCGGCCTTATAGGTCCTGATCGGCTGGTCCTGCTCGAGAGGTAGGTGCAGCAGGGGGCTCAATCAAGAGGATGCGATTTTACCTCTTCAACCAGCAGATAACCAGCTGTGTAATATCTCTCTGTGACCCATGGATAAATATGATCCATCTAAACATTCAACTAGCTGCTTTTCTACGTTTAAAATTCACATTTCTGTTCCTGAGTGAGCCCCCTGTTTCTGGCCCAGAGAAGAGGCAGTCAAAAGCAAGGCTTCTGCGGTGACCATGTGTTTGAGTCTTGGCTCATTGACATTAAAGGATCAACGCAAACAGAGTGAAAGAGACACACGAATAGAGGCGACAACATGTGGAATATTTTCACAAGCCTCTCACCCAACATTCCCCTCAGGACTATTGCAAGACAGATGTCAAACATACATCTGCTTCTGTTGAGCCCTGCGCGAGGGAATAGCAGTTTCTTGTTTTATATTCATGTATTTCTGCCATTTTTAAAGGTTTGTAGTTGTGTGTTCATGTGTGTGTGTGTGTTTATGTGTGTGTGTATGTGTGTGCTAGCTTGTGTGCTGAGGCCCCTGAGAGAGTGAGACAGCAGAGAGACCAGACCGAGAGGGATGCGAGTGCAGAGGGTTGGTGACGACTGACAAAAACAATGAAACACGAGACCAAGACAGACAAAAGTGAAGAAGATACAGAATGATGAAATTAGCGAAGAAAATATTGAAATAATTTTATGTGTGGAGACGAGAACGGACACAATATGTGCTTATTTACCGACACAAACACGCTAAGATGCTACCAGTGACATCAAACGAAAATCATGTTAACAGTGGAAAAATCAAAACCTGAAGCAGCTCTAAAGCTAAAAAAAAAAAAAATCTATAAATTGGATGGAAATAAATAGTAAAAATTAACACAAAATGCTGTGTTAAGACTGAAACCTGAAAAAAGTAGCAAAAATAAACCTAGCGAGGTCAACAAATGCAAATGACTCCGATCACTCGCTGTTTTGGGTGCTGGTGAAGAAGCACAGACTGAATATAGGACACAGATTTCTCTGCTGTCAGTGTTTTCTGAACTACAAAGCTGAGCAACAGTCTGATCTCCCCCAAAAAACTCTGCATATTTATTTTCAGGAAAATAATAAAAACAAAACAGAGCAACAAAAACAGCATCTGCCGTCATGTCTTCTCCTGCCCCGCTACGCCCACGGCCTTCTCGGCGAGCCGCGGCTTCTGTGCCCCCGAGGCGTGCGTGTCGGCGTGTGCGTGCTGCAGCGCCAGGAAAGGGTTGGCGGTGATGGCTCCTTGGCCCTGGCTCTGGGCGGCGGGCAGCAGGTTGTTGATGGGCAGCTGAGCGGAGGAGAGCGGGATGGAGGAGATTTGGGTCGAGGAGGAGAGGGACTGCAGCTGCTGGAGGTCCTGCTGCTGCTGCATGAGCTGGTAGAGCAACACCTGATGCTGCTCCTGCAGGATGGAGGGAGTCAGAGGGAAGAGAGAGAGAGAGGGAGGAAATAGAAGGAGAAGGGACAACAACATTGAGTAAATATTAGTCAGCTTGGTCCTGTCATGAAACCAAGGACTGAACTGACTCTGGAGTTATGCACATTTTTATCTCAGAGTTCAGCTGATTTTAAGAAACTCAAAAAATGGGTATGTAAGAATACTCTATAAGCCTGTTTGTTTCTGCACTACCTGAAGATGCAACACCACCTCTACCCCACACGTCTGCCTATGTAAGGGTGTTTGTGTGTTTGGGTTGTACCGCTGGCTGTGAGGCGAGCAGCTGCTGGAGCTGGTGCTGCTGCAGGAAAAGTCTTTGCTGCTCCGACAGCAGGCTGAGCCTGTAGAGACAGAAGAGGACAAACAGTCAGAGAAACCGTCCTCACTTATCTCAGGATGTCCTGTCTGCAGCTGAATCAGAGATGCATCCCCATAAACAATAATATGATTTTGCAAAACGGTGAAAAAAATCCCAACTTGAAGGTCTAACAGGAATAAATCTGGGGGTTGTTGTGACGCCAAACTTCGACTGTCTCACCTGCTTTTACTCGTAGTAGAGCTGTTAGAATCCAACACGCAAGCAAGAGAGAGCAGAGAGAAGAGCATGCAGTAAAGTTCACATTTAAAGGTCTAATAGGAACAGAGAGGTTTAGTGTGCGAACGTGTTTGAACTCTGAAGTAACAGAGGGGTAAATGCAAGGCTGACAGGACTTTCGAAAATCTGACAGAGCTGTCAGTCGTACCTGTTATTGACAGGTAATGTGACACCTGTCGCTGTAGTGTGTGTGTGAGGGCTGGCGGTCCCCCCTGGCGTCTGGATCACACCATTGAGCCCCCCTGCGATTCCTCCCATGCCCAGAGTGTTCCCACCGCCGAGGGCGCCCATGAGCCCCGTCACCCCGCCCAGCCCGGCCGCGGCAGCTCCCACAGCGGGGACGCCGTTCAGCTGCGGCTGGGGTGGGCTCTGTGACACTGAGGGAGGAGTGGAGAGAGAGGAGGTGGAGCCGCTGCTGCTGTGGCCGCCACATGATGTATTGTCCTGATAGAGAGAAACAAACAGAGAAGTCAGGTTTAGGACTTTTCGATGAAACAGGATATAAGTGACCATCATGTTGTTGACTTTTTGTTCTTACCTGAGCTGCAGCAGGTAAAGATGAGTCAGTCGCTCCAAGATGGACTCCTTTCACATCTACGACACAAAACACCAACATATAGATTTTCTCTGAGCGTTTGTGTAATAGCATTTTAACTGCAAATAATTAGTTTTAATGATTTAGTTTATTGACTTTTCTGGTGATTACTTTCTTGAAAAATATGATCATCTTTTATTAACATCCTGCTTTGACTAAATCGTCTCTCATCAGCTGTCTAAACGCATAAACATGTCAACTACAGCTTTAAGTGTATCTGCAGAGAATATGTGTTTTTTGTGTGTGCATGTGTGTACCAGAGGAGGCCGTGGATGGGGTGAAAGGCACTGATAACTGTGCGCTGAGAAGCTGCAGTCTCTCTTTCTTCATGGTCAGGGTTTTGATCTGCTCCTCCAGACGCCTGTTCTCCTCCTGCAGCTGGTGCAGCGACTTCAACATGCCGACGACTAACAGACACAAAGAGGGACAAAGTGATTGATCGATCGGTGCGTTTGAGTGATTATGATGGTAAAACGTACTGTTTCCAGGTTAGAAATGTTTCACTGAGTGTAGCAAATTTATGTCCAATCATATGTGAGATGAACTAAAACAATCAGCCTGGTTTACATTTATTATATCTGTCGTGTTTTATACCGCCGGTTTGAAGCTGTATGAGAGTGATCTTTTCATGAGAGAGAACACTGCGGCTTTGACAATAAGAAAGGCCACCTCTTCCTCGAGGCAAAACCATGAAACTCAGAGACTGATCAGACAGATATACACCACAGGGAGGTCAGGGGTCAAGATCAGCTACAGAAACACTGACCCGGCTGTCTATGCGGACTAAGCGTAGGGCTAGAGGACAGCTTAAGTAGGAGGGAGAGGAGGAGGATTTGTCAACGGTGAAATTTAGAGCCGACTCCTTCTGAATGAAGAATTATCTTTCTAACGGACTGGGCCACCTCCCCTTTTTTTCATTTTGACTTTATAGATCAATGAAGAGGCGTTCTGATTGGCGGATAACTGGAAGAGATTGACAGACGCTGAAATATCGGAGGAAGTGCGAAGAGAGGGGAGAAGGGGAAGCAACAGGGCGATGGATCGACTCGTAGGGAGTGGAGGATTGGAGAAACGGGGAAAAGTGCAAGTAATGATTGATGACGCTTAGTAGGGTGGTTGGATTCAATACTTTATTTGCACTGGTGGAAATGTGTGCGTGTGTGTGTGTGTGTGTGTCTTCTCACCGTCCCCGTGTGCTCCCTGCTGCATCAGGAAGCTCTGCCCTTCATTCCACTGCCTCTCCAAGAGCTGCTCTATGCTGGTGGCCACTGGGGGCAGCGTCTCCCCTCCGCCGCCTCCCCCCGCCCCTAGCAACCCTGGCCCCGGCAACGACCCCGAGGAGTCATAGCGGATCTGCAGGCCACCAATGGGAGAGCTGAATGACAGGCGAGAGAGAGAGAGAGAGGGAGAGAGAGAGAGAGAGATAGAGAGGTCAATGGGGAGATTAACGACCCAACATAAACGTCAGACAAACATAGACACTGCTGGCTATAAAACTACATCAATTTGTTGTTACAGTGGCCTCTAATGAAAAGGGGCCAGGCTTTCTGTGAGCTAGAGAGCGAGAGAGAGAGGACGTAGCAAGAGAGGGAGGCAGAAAAAGGGAAGTGGACTGGCTTGATGCGATAAATCTTGATGTGTGTGAGTGTGCTGAGACAATCTGTTGAGTGTGAAAGAGGAGGAACGACAGGAGAGAAGGAGTGGTGGTAGTGGTGAGGAATGTGGAGAAAGGGGGTAAAAGTGTAAAACTGACATTAAAAGCAACAAAAAATATAATCTTAAAGCACAAAAAGTCATTTTTTGTGTGTATAAATGTGTTAAATCTTTTCCAATCACTCATAAATATCTCGCCACGAACACATTCCTCTGTCGTCATCTTTTCTGTGTAAACAAAAGCCGCCCTTTCAAATACGAATCTAAAGATGTACCCGAAATAAAACAAAAAAATCAACGGAAATAATCAATTAACAACCAACCTCCTCCAGTGAAATCATCCGTCCCACCAACATGCAGACATAAACAAACATGGGTTCTCATCATCAATATTCCTATCCGGAAAGATCCTTGTAAATATTCCCAAATGATGATAAAGATGCAGGAAATCAGACGCTCCGTCCATGTGTGATTGAAGCGAGAGAGGGAAAAAAAAAAAAATCTAACTGGAGTTGAAGGATGGTTACCACCTTCAAAAACACAAGTTATCGTTGGCTGAGAGAGCGAGAATTGCCTGTAGGGGTGAGAGCGAAAGGGAGAGTGTGTGTGCGTGTGTGTGAGGAGTGAGGGGAAAGAGAGAGAGAGAGAGAGTAAGAGAGAGAGAGGGGAGATGAGGGGCCAGCAGGGGAAAAGCAGAGAGAGAGAGAGAGAGAAAGGGGGGGATGGGTGAAGGAGGGAGGAGGTGGGAGTTGAAGGGGGGTGAGGAATGTAAATGGGAAGAGATGGGTGAGGAAGGGGGGCATCTGTGTGTGTGTGAGTGTACTCACCGTGGGGTGGTCTTTGGAGAAGCTCTTATGGAGAAGCCTTGAGCTCCAATGCCGCTGCTGCCGTCACCCACCTCCTGATCTGCACACACACACACAAAAACACACACACACACAAAATTTAATTGTGCATCAATGACCTCTACTGAACCAAACCAACTGAAGTCCACAAGACTTTATCATGAAAACCGCGAGCATCCACATGTTTTTAAACACCAGTGTAAATGAGGGGAAGCTTAAACGCGAGTTAATGCCTGATGACGATGTCTGTGTAAATTGCCCATCCACGGGATTTACTGTAAGTCTGAGGTAATTGTTTTAAGACGTCACTGATTTCCATCTATGGGGCCTCATGGGTCATTTTGTAGACTTAATCTAAAGCAGTGTCCGAGGATGCAGCTCGTCACAGATGCAGGTTCTGAGTAGGGGAGCACCAATCACAATTTTCTTTGCTGATCACCGATCTTTAAAAAGCTTGACCTGCCGATACCGATTTTTGCACCAGTCATTCTGCACCTTTTTTTTTAAAATAACTGACAACATACACCTTCGATGCTCCTATCTTATTTTAATGAAAAACATGAAACAAAACTTGTGGAACAATACAAACCTTTTTGTGTTTGTTTTAACTGCACATGAGGTACTTCTCCCAAATATAAATAAAAAGTTTAGAAAATTGCTGTCCAAACTACGACATTATATCAGTTCCTTTAGTCTTTTATTTTCCACATTTAAAAAATTAACAATACTTGCACAACAGGTCACACTGCAGGCCTGTTTTGAGCCTCTTACCGAAATTAAGTGCACAGCAGTATTTTGCTTTTGCAAATAAAGGAAATCACAAGGTTTGAGAAAGTTAGTGATATAATAATCTACAGGACAAACTAAACTGGCCTGTCATTCTGGCAAAAGGAAAAAGCTACAATGGCTGACTTGCAGACCTTTGTAAGTATCAGCTGTTCTCCGATCCCCCAAATTTAGGAAATCTGCGCCGATCAATCGGCCGGCCGATTTATCTGTACATGTTTGGTTCTGAGGGTCCGAGCCCATTTAAGATGGACTGACAAATTAAAATTAAATCTAACGTTCTTCTTAGGAACCCTGGACGATGCGTCCATCGCTCTCAGGAGGGGAGAGACCACCCGGCTTGTTTGAAACCCAGCATCCCTTAGAGTACAAGAATGGGTACTTTACACGTGTGGGAAAGGAACAATATATATACAGATATGGAGTATATTTACATCAAGCAAACAAACTAAGAAAATGATATGTCATATTCATAACATTTAGAGATACTGTGTAATTAAAAATCTAATTGTGAATATGTAGAGTCATCTATATATAATTGTTAGATTTAAATGAGCTCTTTGAAGAGGGTAAAAATATTCTGTTCATGTTTGCTTTCACATCTGTGTTTAATGTTGTATACTCTTTACAGCTGATTTTATGTGACGGTATAAACATGACAGAAGCGACAGCTCGAGCTGTAAAACACAGTGAACTATGCGGGACTGTCATTCGCTCTTTGTGATTGATTCGTGTTGACAGTGTATTTACAGAGTGCTGCTGCTGCCAATACCACATATGTCCGTCTGAATGACATTTATTGGAGTTTCATTAATTGTGTCCATAAACTGTGCAGCTTATATATATGCTGGATTTGATTGCCTGTGATAACTTTTTGACAAACAGGGATATAGTGTCTGTTTACGTGTAGTATTCACATTAAAACACTGTCAACAAAACAAGTGTTGATTTTACTGACACTCGACAGCTGATAGAGCATCATTTCTCAAAATCTCTGGTTTCCTCATTCACAGGGAAACAGTCACTTAGTGGATTATTCTGGGGGAGTTTTTCGAGAGAAAATAAAGATCTGGGAACTACAAATAAAATAAAAATTTGAGTTATTTAGATTCTCCTGAATGTACAATCTACCAAACTTCATCTCTCTTCCTCTGTATCTCTTTCACGAGCCTCCATTCAAGCTTCGTCTCTCCCTCTCGCTCTACTTTCTGTGAGAGTCTCTGCGTCCTCCCTCTGGGCCCCTGGCCAGACGCTTCTTTTCATTTTCCTCAGTAAGAGTAATGAATCACACATGCACACACATGCAAACGCACACTTTAGCATTTACACACTTTCACAAACTCCCCTCTACTTAAGACAGTCAATCCCAGCTTTTACCCCCGCCGGTGTCACCACTCCAGTCCGTCGCTCACCTCCTTTTTCTCTCATAACCCTTTCCCTCCTGGCACCTCCCTCCCGACGCTCCAAAGCAAAGAGACCCGGTTGCCAAAGTAAACAGGCTACATGCATACAAACACTCGCACACCTTGCGCGTTTGTGCTCAAATGACCCTTAATAGTTCACAAACAGAACTTCACGCGAGTTAAACTGTGTGGGACGTACACAACTGTGTGCAGAAATTCAGGGCGAGAAAAAGTCTGAGTGTTAAATTCAGAAGGATGAAAATCAAAATCAGAGTTTTTTATTATTTGGCATGTATCTGACTTCTGAAGAGTGTTGATCAGGGAAGTTATGGATCTGACTGATTCTGATTGTATATCAATTGTAAGAAAACTTGACTTGTGGTTAAAAAAAAAACCTTTGTAAATCCTGGAGGTCAGATAGCGGCACATATTTTAAAAAAGTCCAGAAATGAGAAATTCCTGATAGTCAAAAATCCAAACAAAAAATATAGAAAAACATAAAACAAAAACAGAAAATATCCATGAGCTTTTGCAATTGTCTATTTTGAAAAGTGAGGTTTACTTATTTGGTGTCCAGACACTGTCTGCATCCTGAGTGTATATATACCAGGTGGGACTCAAAAAAGATGCTTTTTAAATTTCAATAAATGGGATTGTCCTAAACCTGAGGTTTTACTAAACAACCATCAATATTTGTCAAAGTAGACAGCGCTATTTAATTGCAAAGCAAGTGTACTTCCCACTGACTGCTACGATGTCAAACGACAGAAGAGTTCACTGGAGTCTTTACGACTGTTCCCTAAAAATGTTCTCAAGCATCCTCTAAACAGAGTCAAAATAAGACAAACAGCTTAGATAATACAACTGTTTGCATCAAACCATTAATTTGTCGGCTATTTTTCTGCTATTTTTATATACTGTTAAATTTCCCTTTAGGGATTAATAAAGTTCTTCTTATTTTAATTTTTATTTTCATGCCAACACACATCAACTTAACAAATTTCTTTACATTTTTTTGTAAAGTTAAAAAAAAAAAAGTTGCCACTCTGATGTAAAAATTGTTTTTAATTCCACAAATCTCTCCCTCTTTTTTTTCTTTCAAATATAACAAAGCTGAATTGTTGTCCACACACAGACCTACATAGTCTCTCACTATTCGAAACACACACTCTCTCTCACACACACACACACACACAGAGCCCTGTGGCCTGCTGTCATTCAGCCTGATTAGTGAGTTGACCTGCAGGTCGGGGTGGATCTGGCTCTGATGACTGCTGACCGGCAGCAGGAAGGACCCACCTTCCTCCTCCTCCTCCTCTTCCTCTAAACTTCTCTCCCTTCTTCTCTTTTCTTGCCTCTCTGTTCGTCCAGATGTCTTACATCAGGGAGCAGCTACTCTGATTACTCAAGTCAAGTCATCTTGCTCCTTCATCAGCTCCTCTGTACCGGACAGAGGACAGACCAACTCTTTCCTGCTGCGGGAGCTTTTGAACGCAGCTCAGCGCTTCTTCCTCTTCTCCATCTCAAAATTTGTCCTCCTCACTGATCACGGCGATGTCTAACGTGTGAATCGTGTGTGTGTGTGTGTTTATACGCTGAATGTATTTGTGCATGTGTGTGGTTTTTCTGCCGTGGTGATCACAGTGTGTAATCGGAGCGGAGTGGGAGGAGCTTGAAAATATTACGAGTGCTGACCCCTGACCTCTCTGTGGGACCAAGGGGGCGTGACCTATCCATTATCTCCTCCTCTCTCTCCCTCTTACAAACACACACACATACTTTGGTCTCACACACACGTACACGCACACATTCACGTAGCAGTCGTAGGTATGCTGTTGTACCTGCTGGTGAGGCCTCAGACTGAGCAATGAGAGCGGCCATGGCTGAGTTTGGGTTGAGCCGGTTTCCAAACATGTGGGAGGGCGCGAGGTTGAAGACTGACCCTGGCAGGCCGCTCACCTGGAGAGGAGGACAAAGGAAGAGATGCTGTGAATAAAACGAGTTTGATTTACACGACAGAGGAGGAGTGTTTATCGACAGAGATGATCTTTTAGGGGCACAGAAATAAAAATATCCACTCAGTCAAATATTTTTACAGTGATACTAAAGACAAACTATAATAAGGATGGCTATTCTAGTTGAGATTTTTTAGACAGTTAATAAACAATCACATATTTTTCAAAAAATGAATGTTGATGGGAAAATTTGTGTTGAAATCGTCAGGATTTAAAAGTAGAAGAGGTAAATTCTTCTGTTTTAGAAGCTGACTTGTGATAACTGGAGTTTATTTGTGAAAAAATCAACCTTAAAAATTGCAGAGTACAGATTTTGTGTCCTTTGTTGTAGCACTTCATACATCTTTAGATGTAAAAGGCTACAATATGTTACACTCTGTGTTTTTATACAAGTGTTGATTTGTGTCAAAGAAATACTAAATGGATTTTTAAGCAGAATTGTGCCTGACTGTAAATTTGTAGTTCGTTGAGTAATATTTAAAACCCGTGTTGCTTTGTCACAGAGGTGTATTTGGATTGTTCAGTTTGTCCCTTATTTTTAACAGGAGCTAGAGTAACATGTTTACATACAGCCTGCAGAATAACAATCCCAGATCTTTGAGAGCAATTACAGATATGGATTAAAACATACTTTATTTTGATTCCACGTACAAAAACAAGGATATTACAGATGTGCAGCTCATTATTCAAAACACACAAGCACACACACACACACTGGGCTCAAACTGCCACAGCAGCCTGACAGTACGCTGACATGCTGACAAAGTGTTTCTGATGCATACAGTTTAATCCAATTAAGGCATTTCCCAAATAAGGACTGAGGAGTAAAGGGTGGGGTTAGAGGGAGGAGAGCGAGGGTGGAGCACCAGGTCTGGGACAAAATGGCTGATTGTATGGGTCTGAAAAATATCTGATTTGGGATACAATCGTGCAAAATTGCAAAATGTACATAAATCCAGTTAATATCTAATAGTGTTAATAAGTAGTAACTTGCAGTTTTTGTCTTTCTGCTGTTCGACATGTAGAACTTTGTTCCTGTTTTCTTCATTTTTTTTTTCCACGACATGATTGGCACCAATTTATCTGAGAATTGTGCATATGCAGCACATTAATATATACAAATATATATATATACATATAATCTAAATATTATGAGTGATACTACTTTGTGACTTTGGCTGAAAAACAATTGCAGGTATATTTTTCCAACTAAACTTGATTTGAGATTGAAAAGCCTTTAAAAAAAACAAACGTGAGGAAAAAAGTCAGAAAATCAACATTTAAAAAAAAAAAATTATATATATATTTTTTAATCCAGCACTTAAGGTTCACCCGAGGAAGCTAAACCATAAACTTAGATTAGAAATGAATTCAAGAAATTTGCCTAAAATAATAAAATCGGGAAATTCATTGTGTTAGAAATTTCCTCCACCGTGGTTTATCAAAGTTTTAGAGAGTGAGCACCGTCTGTCCGTTCTCTCTCTCTCTCTCTCGTTTAAATGACTTCAGATTTCTTTCCAGAACGCTTCCCTTTTTCGTCTTCTTCCTCCTCCTCCTCCTCCTCCTCCTCCCCTTCTCAGCGCCATAATCCAGCCCCCTTTTCCCATCAACATTCATTTTTCATTTTCATTCATTTTTCATTCAAAGTCTCTCTTGCACTCCCTTTTCTCTGTCCTGGGCTGATAGCCAATAACAGTAGGCCGGGAGTCTCTTAGCGGACTGAAAATAGTAAATGGTCTCTGTCACTCACACACACTCATACACATACACACACACACTCTCACACACTGAGGGAAGCCTGTTATTGGCGTCTTTCTGCAGTTGCATAATTTCTGCAGCCTCGATTCGGAGTGTGTTTCCTCTCTCTCTTTCTCTCTGAGTGTGTGAGTGTGTGTGTGTGTGTGTGTGTGTCCCAGATGCCCAAAGCTGTGCATCACACTTATACAAACCAGCACACATGGTTTTAACAATCTGGAGTGACTGACGGAAGGAGAAAAATCTTTCCTTCTCTATTAAAGTCTTCCTCGTGCTTTCTGCCGCTCTCTTTCTGTCTCTTTCTCTCACTCTCTCACACACAAATAAATACATATGCACACGCACACATAAAGACACACAAACACTCACACACAGTTAGAGCCTAAACTCATCTATACATCCTGCAAACAGGCGTGATATCCTGTGCTTCCCTGGGCCTCTCGTCCTCTATAATATGTGCCGCACAGAAGAGAGCGGGCAAGATGAAGGCCAGGCCAGCGAATTCAAGGCATGAGTGCAACCCCTGCCTCCCCTTCTACACACACACACACACACACACATGCACACACACATGCACACACACATTGGCCTGATCCCTCCCGCCCTCCATCTATCCCTCCATCCCTACTGTGGTGCTTGTCAGATGTCATTACATCACAGGACAACGGAGGGAGAAAAAGAGAAATGGATGGGGACAGAGAGGAGGAAGGTCGAGGGTGAGAGAAAGTGTGTGTGAGAAAAAGAGAGCGAGAGAGGTGTTAAGTGGACACGGGCGAGGAAAAAAAATGGGGCTGGGTGGACAGAGACAGAGCGTGGTCTTTAGGGAGCGTCTAAAAAGAACGGGCGAGCGGGGTCGGCGATTGAAGATGAGGCTTTTTTTTCTTCTTTTTGTGAGATGATGGGCAGTGATTAGTGGAGGGGCTGGGCAGCTTGAATCAGAGTCAGTGCCTTCACTTTTGAATATTCAGCGCGTTCAATTCAATTCAACGACACGACGGAGAAATCGCCACAGCTTTCCTGATCCGAATAAACCTGATGAACTGTTGCTTCAACATCTGGTGATTAAACGGGAATAGCTTTAAAATTAGATGGCGTTACAATAATGTGATTGTTTTGAGTGAACGCACACGAGGAGGGGGTTTTCCTCAAATATGCAGCCCAGACTCTGGATCGTCTCTTTGAGTAAATGCATTTGGAAAGGCTATTTTCATGCTCTGGACACATGGTTATTTTTTTTACCCTTTCATTGCAACACATCCGTTAAACGCTCTTTATAGTATTAACAATAATAATAAAATTAACACATTTCAATGTTTAAGATGCACACCCTGCACGCCGAGGATACTGGTTGTTAAATCTGGCAGAGGAATCAAACGTGTTTCAATGCCAAGTCAATACAGAAATCACAAAGACTTCCATATTTGTGCTCTCGCTAACGCAGGAAAACCCTCTACAGGTGCACCCCAGAATATCTCGCTGAGAAAACACAACCCACACAAGGTCAGGACACACTCATTTCACACATAATTAACATGTAGTGGATTAATAATAGTGCTGAGAGATTTGGTCGGGAAGACGCTTAATTAACGTGCTGTGGTTTATTTGTGTTCCCACAGTTTATCTGCGCTTCAGCTCAAAGACACCAGAGATGTGTGTGTGTGTGTGAATTGACAGATATAAAGGCTTCCGATAGAGGAAAGAGAACATGTGTGTGTCTGCGCGTGTGTGTTTTCACGCGTTGGTGTTTAGACTCACGTGTGCGGAGGTTGTGCTGGTTAGTGGCGCGGTGGCCGTGAACGGAGAGGGAGGGGCGAGGGAAGGTGTGGGCTGCTGTTGCTGCAACAACTCAGAGCTGGCTCCGCCCATGGCGACAGCTCCCGTCCCTGACGATGGCCCATCAGCACAGGAGAAAACACCTGTGGGGAAATCACAGTGACAGTCAGTGAAGAACTTCCACAGAACTGATTTTAACCGTCTTTGTCAGTGAATTCTACGGTGGCAGCGATGAGGTCCAAGATCCAAGATTGGTTTATTTGTCATTTGCAGGTTAAACAAGACCAAAGATGCAATGAAATGCCCTGGATGAGAGTGACCGCTCCACCCAAAGAAGCACAGATAAAAACACGCAATAATTACTCGGAGGAATACATTAAAATAAGGATACAAGAATATAAAAAAGTATAAAAGTATAAGATAAATATTTACAAAGTGCACAAGCGATGCAGTAGGTGTTGAGTACGAATGTAAGCAATGGGGGGTAAGTCAGTGGGCTAAATGAGATATGAATGTATTACACATGATATTGCACATCACAGATACAGATATATTGATTATATCTGTAAACTACATATGAATGAATGAATGAATGAAGGACTATCAGCTGTCTGGTATTGTGCAAACAAGTTCACTGTCACTGCTTTCTGTCGACTCTAATCATCTACATCCTTTTATTTAATTTATAAAATATATAACACTATAGAATTTGTTCTTTTTATTCATAATATCCCAGTCTTTTCAGAGTTGAACTCATCTATTTAAAAAGAGAAATTACAGCTTTTAAATTAAACATAACACAACAATGACTATTTTGACTGTTTCCTCTTCATTTTTGTCTTTAACTAAAATTTAAAAATGTTTTAACTTGAGAAATTTGACCCCGGATTAGAGCAAAAAAACACCTAAAATTACGTTTCAAACCAGGTCGGCTTTAACCAATCACATGCACCATTGATTAATCAGTCAATATAATGCGTGGCTTCAAAGCTCTGCCTGAGTGTGTTATCAAGTAATTTAGTTTCTTCACAGTGGGGAAAAAAAAAAAAAATTAGGAGCTCCAGATCAAGCGTAAAAAAACACACAGAGCCGCTGACACGAGATCTGACGAGACAAATCATTCTCATTAATGTTTTACACACTGAGACAGAAGAGAGAGGTAAAAAAATCAATTCTGTCATTTCTTTGTTGTTTAAATAAATTTAGAAAAAAACACACCCACTCACAGTTTCACTCAGCCTATCAAGATCACGGTCTAGTAAAATATACATGAGTTATAAATCATCTACTCAAGCATATTGCTCTATTTTCACACACCCACACGCATGCTCCATTCTCTTATCTCTTTGCTCTCTCTCCCTCCCTTCCCTCACCCCCGTGCTCGCCCACTAACCAGGGATAAGCCCTGCCCCTGCCCCCCTTTGACCCCAGCAGAGGAGGAGGAGGGGTGGAGGGCCCCTCAGCCCCACAAAAGCCTGAATGGCTCAGGGCAGCGCACATTCACTGGGGGAACAAGAGATCTTTGTGCCAGGAGGGGAGGGGTGGAGGCAGAGAGAGGGAGAGCAAAAAGAGAGAGAGAGATAGGAACACTACATGGCCCTACATACTATTTATAACGCTTTGTAATACGCACCAGAAAAATTGATACCCAAAGCAGAGCGGCCGTGACTCAGGGGGCACGAGCTGCTGCAAGATTTTTAGCAGCTGGGTAAGAGGCCAAACCAACAGTTTGTCAGGGTTTAGCTCAAAATGAGTTACACACAAAGGGCTGGTGCAGAAACAGAGCCAGCAACTGAGAAAAATACAGGTTAATTTTATTTCATATTGACTGTTTCAAAGATGAGACGCACAGGTTATTTAAAACGGCCCAATACTGAAAGATGAATCCGTCTTCATATACTGTGTTTGCCGTACATATTTTCAGATTTGACTGATATTTTAAAATTCTTCAACTTTGAGAATAAAGTGATAATTGAGTGAATAATGCTTGTGTGGCTGTTACCTGATTACCTTATTTCTGCCTCAACTATTTGGAATGAGTTGAAATACTTCTGCAGGGACAAATATGTTGATATTCCAATTTCAGTAAAAAATGTTGTCTCACTAAAAAAATTCTGCAAAGTTCAGAAGATGTAATACATGCAGGTGCTAATGATGGGATTTTTTTTTTCTAAATTTAGAGTTTTTTTTCTGGGCTGCAAGAGAAGACAAAGAGTAAAACCATTTCTCCACACACACACCTCTAACACACAATCTTGAGCCTGTAAAACTTATACCCTATCCATGTGATCAATAAGATTAAGCCCCCGAAGCACAACTGCCTCCACTGCCCGACCTTCCTGCTCCTTTTCCCTTCCCGCTCAGTACGTCTGTTCTCTAAGCTTCAAAAATATCCACCTTGATTAGTTCAAGCTGCATTTATCTCCATAGGAAATCTATGTTGTCTGTTTAGAGAGGGTTAAACCCGATGAAAAAACCGAGCGGCTGGCATCATGTTGCAGCTATTTAACAGCTGAATCACAGTTTTGACTTGCCAGTTTCTCCACATTATGCACTAAAAAGTAACATCCATCTAAATAGCTGAGTCTGCTGCTCTGACGTGTTCCTTCTTGATTTTCACTGCAGACGGTCATTTAAAGTTAAAAAATAGATCGTGGAGAAAAACACTGAAACCCACCAGAATGACAGAGACGTCTTTTACTCTACGAGTCTTCAAAGACAAGACAGAAATTTATTCAAACATCACGCCAATTTGTGGAGCGAGCAGCGCGACATGAAGGACAGTCAATGTAAATATGTTTGCGAGTGTGTGTGCAGACTCTGTGTCCACACATCTGTGTGTGTTTGTCTGCTAAATGTATGTCACATGGTGAGGGGGGGGGATGAAGCCACATCAGTTTCAAAATAAACAAACAGAGTCGCTGCAGTTCTGATGTGCAAGAAAGCAGCTAGAAACGAGGAGTGAGGGCTGACCAAACTCGGACAAATTAAATCAAAATTATTCAAATTTAACACATTTTTATTCTGCGCGGTTTGTGCTGAAGAACACAAACATATTCTTCTGTTGCACATGAAAGAGCCGTCACTTTGAAACTGTTTGCTTTCAATTTTCAGATACGCTGTTGTGTTATTTGTGTGAGGTTTCATGAATGTGTGTTTTTTTTGTGTGTGTGTGTGTGAGTGTAAATTGTGTAATAATCTCTGTTTTTGGATGGAGTCTCAGTTTAATTCATCCCAGAGTTCCCTCTCTTTTGGAATTAGAGATAAAAACTAAATTTAAAATATTAAAACACATATTATCATTTTTAAAAAAGTTTACTGAATTTTTAAAAAATGATAAATGAAATAAAGCTGTGAATTACAAAAAAATCAAAATGACAAATTATTTCTGAACCAATGAATCTTCAGTAACGTTATTAAAATTCAGAATTATTTTATTGTTTCTACACACTCAGATAATAAGGGAGAATTTCACCGCAGTTTAATTTGAATCTAAATGAAATGCTGTTCGCTGAATTAAATTCTGGTTTTCAGGTTCCTCTGGTTTACCCTCACATGGTTTTCACAGTGAGCACAAGCTGCTGATAATTATGAATTTTAGTTGGATGAGGAAAAGCAGCAACAGCTGAAGAGTACTGAGAAATAGAAATTGGAAAGCATCCCATAATAAGCAAACAAAACAGGAGCAAGCATCACACATACACATACACGCACACACATGCACTCCATGTGAACTGGATATATTCACATCCACCTAGAATCTTTCCTCCCCCACACACAAACCCCACTGTGCTCTACCGGCTCGTCCGTCCCATCAGTGACCCCCCTGCTGTCAAACATTAACCTAACCAAAATCTAACCCCCTGCCTCTGTCTCCTCACACACACATATCTATCAGGCTAACTATCTATCCATCAGCACGGTGGAGTCAGCGGACAGGAAGGGGGGGGATAAACGCCAAGATCCTCCCCATTACTGCCCTGCATTAACCCCTGGCCAAATATTTACAGTATAAAGAAGAACACACAGTTCACACACACACATACATACATTTGAGGCGCAGTCATACATAACCACCACTGTTTTATTTGTTTCTATCTGCCTTCACCAGCTGTGGTCAGATACGTTGCCACTGCTGCACCAAAAAAACTGAGATGGATGTAAAATCACAAACCAAATTATCCCAAACCACCACAACTGCAAAAGGTGAAATCCAGGAAGTAAACTGGCCCAGACTGGGGTTCTGATTCACCGTCTAGCTGTAATATTTAAATACCCACTAAAGACGGGTTTGAAGGCAAAACTGAGGATCAAATTTATGGTCAGATACGACTTTTATTTATAAGAAAATTCCTGTCAATTCACAGTTAAGCCCATTAGACAGAGGGTAATAATACTAACACACTATATCTGAGTTAAAGCTACGCTGCTGCTGTTTATTAACTCAATCTGTACGCCTGAGGGCACACTCACACAGAAAGACCGCACCAGACTTCAACTGGTCCAAGTTTTTATTTTCATTTTTTAAGATTTATTTTTTGGGAGCTTTTTCTGATAGAACAGGATGGAGCAGGAAACAGGGGAAAGAGAGCGAGGAGTGATATGTAGGAAAGGAACCACAGGCTGGAATCGAACCCTGGCTGCCTGATCGCTAGGCAAGCAGCTCCCCAAGTTTGTGTAGTTTTAAATGTATGTCCTAAACTGAATCAGACAGTGAAGACAAAGCAACAAATGTTTAAACAGGTGTGTGTATTGTTACATATTCACTTACTTCTCATACTTTTTCTGTTTATGTTATCTACTACGGTTAAATAATTATACTGAATTACTACATTTTGTTTAATATGTTCCAATCAATGTGAAATTTAATGCTATTTTTAATTGTTATTACAGATTAAAATTCTCAAAATTAATTATTCTGAAAGGACGAGTGATTATTGTGAATTCATATTTTATCTCTGAACAAAAATAGTCAGAAAAAACAGAGAAATCAGGTTTTGCTGTATGCAGGAGCTTTCTGTAAAATGTCTTAAAATGTGAAATAAACTGGTGATCATTACAAATTAGATAAGTCCGAAGCAAGCATCTATTTCATTTATTTGTGTAGTTAATTAGGAAAAACAAAACACACGCACACCATCAGCTTCATAAAGCATCAACAGGTGAGCTGAGGTTCTGAGGCGACGCAGACTGCAGGTAGGGGAGAGCAGCTGAGCGGCAGCAGAGAGAAACAAAAGGGTGGTAATTCTGTAAGAAAGGGAAGATGTGGGATGTGTGGGGGCTGTATTGAGCCATTTCCATCAGCAGAGGGGAACTCCAAAGCATAAAGACAGTTGCCAAGCAACTGAACACGATGAGGAAAAAAAAAAAAAAGAAAAAAAAAAAAAACATACCGACTGCTTCCACGTGTGTGAGCAAATAACACATGGACCCGGGCTCTGACACACATACACACACGCAGGCACACAGGGAGCCAATTACAAAGGTGTGTCAAATCCTTGCCGTTTGTGATTGGTAATGTTAATACCTTACTGCACAGAGGCAATTCTCAAACATGTGGAGGGAGGAAGGAAGGTGAAGAATAAAAACTGCTGCAACAAAACCACATGAGCTACTTCCTTTTTCATCACTAAGGGCAGTGAATGAGGGGCACAACTTCTTTGTTTGACTGGTGTGAGAACTTTATCGTTAATTACAGCAGCCTGTTTTCTCATTTAAGCTGCCAACATGATGATTTTTGGTAATTCGAAACAAGAAGGATGGCTGTGTAATCCGGCGGACAGATTCAGTTATCTCTCTCTCTGATATCTGAGACATTGGAGTGTTTTGTGTGTTAACGGGCTGTTTCCTCCTCACCTGGTCCAGTGGTTGTGGAGCCGCTGTTCTGCAGACTCCCATTCCTGAGGAGTGCCGGGGACTTCTGAATCCCACCGCTGACACCCATGACCCCCAGTCCTCTTTCTCCTCCTCCTACCCCCACCCCCATCCCTAATCCACTGCTGGAAACCAAGCCAGGCCGGCCTGAGAGCGTCGAGGACGTGGTGGAGGAAGGGGAGGCGGTCGAGGAGGAGGAGGTGTTGGCCGCCGAGGAGGCGGGGAGAGTCAGGGAGGGAGCCGGCTCCAAAGGCTTCACATCCGTGGTGAAGCAAGGTCCAAATCTGTTTCGCCAGTTGCCCTTCTTTTTCTTCTTCACCCCGTCCTCCCCTCCTCCTGCGGCGGCTCCTCCGATCCCGGGCCCTGAGCTGGAGGGTGGGGGCCGTTTGTAGCCAGCGGACCCACTGAGGCTTGTCGTCTCACTCGCTGTGTGACTGTGGGAATTCTCATACAGCTTCCCGCCCACTGAAATGATAAAAAAGCAGAGCTGAATATTTAAGTACTAAGTCAGTGGAGTCTCAAGGTGTTTTCTTCTCTTTTCATGTGTCTGCCTCAGGTCTTTTATGAGGACCACATATTCTGTACCATCAGTTCTCCTGTTTTAAGCGAACAATGACTTCAACTACCTCTGGAGAAATCAACCAATGACAACAGAATTAAGAATTTTCCTGAAAAATACTCGGTCCTCTTCACATGAATCTGACAGTTTACTGTGAAAACATTCCTTTAAGACCGGAGAATCACTGAAATGTGATTGTGTCTTTTAAATCAAACAAGAACTCAACAGATTTATGCGACTAAATAGTATGAATACTTTTCTTTTTATGTATGTATATGATCTCATGAGGGAGGGAAACTGAAAAAGGCGCTGCTGGACTGGTTCATCTCATGCTACGGTTATACTTCTATCATCTAGTACCTGCAGATGCTGTAGTGGCGGACATGAGGGAACCAAAAAGCGTTGTGGTTCCCTCGGAGGCTCCACCCTCTGAGCTCGGTTTAACAAGGCAGCTGCTGAATGACGGCGGGGAGGAAAAAGTTGTCCCGCCTCCGGGACGCAATGATGGATCTGAGAAACTTAAGAAGTCCGAAGAGGAGGAGGCAGAGGGCATCTTGCTGGCACTGGTCAGCAGGAGCCCTGCGATACAGACAGACAGACAGACAGACAGGAAGAGAGTGGAGAAAACGAGAGAGAGGACACGGAGAGAGGAAAACATTACAGCTGGAAGTTTCCTCACAACTTTACTCGACATCTTCATGGGAGCAGAGAAGAAAAGATAGCCCAAATAAGCACTTTATCTGCTCTCCCACTCTCTATCTGCGGTACAGTCAGTCCTCCCTCATCACTGTCCTCCTGCTGAACCAACAGACTGCTCTGGAAAAACACAAATAAATGGATTCTCACAGACACACAAAAGCACACCTGACAAGGGCTTCAAGGTTCTGACTGAACAAACCACAGGAGTGCAGCATGTGCCCTGGCTCTTTTCAGGTCCTGACCTTCCTGCATGCTCTTCTTTCTTTCTCTATGCTTATGAGCATGTGTGTGTCTGTGTGTGTTGGTCTTTTCTCAGACAGGGCTCCTGATTACAGGAGCCAGAGGCCAGTCAAGACGAAACACTGTTATCACAGCCACACACTGAAGTCTGGTGCCTGGGCAGAATCCAGAAAATGACACAGCACGCACACACAAACACACACACACACACACAGACACACACACTCATGGTTGGATCTTAAGGTGGGTCTTGGTGGATGGGCGCAGCACTGCGTTTCCTTTTTTTAGCTGTACGGTTAATTACCTGTTGTGAGAAAATTTACATACAGGACCATTTGCAGCTATCAATTTACCTTGGTGGAACGGCCCAGTGGAAGCAGAGGCAGATGTGGAAGAAGTTGCCATGGTGACGACAGCAGAGGGGAGGGGTTTCCCTGAGGAGGTGAGAGACTTGCGGCCACTCCTCTGTCCTACTGTGTGACTTGCGCCGCTGTTCTTCTTGCTCTTCATCTCAGACGCCACCTTCCCGGCGTCGGCGGACAAGCCGTCTTTGGAAGTGCCACCGGAGTGAGCCGACGACACTTCCTGGAAGTTGGCGTTGGTGAAGCGGGCGCTACTGTCATCCTGCCGCTTCTGTGAGGATGCTGGCAGGGAGGGGACGCCTCCCCCTGAGCTGCTGCTGTTGTACGGCTGAAGGGAGGGAAATTAATGATGTACTGGGACAGGGAAATAAATATATCCAAATAAATACACCCAAGTAGAGTTAAAAAGGTTAAACAAGGTGAATAAAAAAGGCAACCAGCCCTTTTTTTAATGTATATGACATGTAGCTCAGTCGTCATGCAGCAAACTGAAGGGTTGAGGAGACGAGGAGAGCGCTCACCTTCTCTGGGACCATGATGTTTGGAAGGATGAGGGAGGGAGACATGTCCATGGAGCTCTTCTTGTGTTTCGGTTTGTGCCTGTCTCGCTCCTTGTGTTTCTGTGCATAGGGAGCGGAGAGAAAAAAAAAAAAGGAGAAACAGATGGGTAAAGCTGCTGAAGACATGATACAGGGAAAAGAGAAATAAGGACGAACAGAAAAAGAAAAACAGACCTCCAACAACCTCATTTGATAACCCTCTGCACTCCAGGAACATCGGTAACATACTGAACCGCATACGCAAGTGTTTTGTGAAATATTACGGTTGAAAAGAATTTACCTAACTACGGTATGAGTTATTAGGGAATAGGAACAGAAGAGGGAGGATACGTGTGGCAGACAGAAAGAGAGATAAAAAGAAAGAGCATTACATTTCAAAGGCTCGGTAGGAGATGAAAGCTCAGAGATCCACAAACACAAAGAGAGTGATGGAGGAGAGATAAAAAAGGCGGGCAGGAGGAGACAGGAATTCAGCCTGCTTCAGTTTAAAGCAGAGTGTGTCTAAGTGCCCCGCGCTGAAGCGCACAAGGTCTCAGTGTTTCATCCAATCATATCCTGCTTCTTGGACGATCACAGCTCAATTTACACCCCAGCTATCACACACCCCGCCACCCTCCTCTCGCACCCCTGAGGTGGCGACTGGGTGCCAGCGCATTTACACCTCACATGCACAACCCGCACCCTGACACTTCTGCACGTGCGTACAAGCAGACAGGTGCGCTGACACACACGCACGCACGCACGTACACACTTACACAGACAATTACATGTATTGCAAGCACACATCCACACACTCTCTAAGATAGGTGGTGAAAATATGCAGCGATTCTGAGAGACGACATGGGACTCAACAAGCTCCTAATGCTTGGTGTCGTGAAAATTCTGAAACACCAGAACCCCTCCCCCTTTCCTCATTTTTTTTCTCCTCCCTGAGGGTCTCACGGAGGAGCCACTGCCTTGAGGCTGGTGACAGTTTAGCCAGACTTCCTCTGTTAGTGGCAGTTAACAGACATGAGCCGCCAAATCAGGAGATAGCAGCTCCACTGTAACTCCCTCTGCACGCTGCTGCTGCTGCTGCTGCTTCCGCTAATGCTAACGTTCTTTGGTTTAGGAGACAAATATTACAGTGTGTGTGCATATGTGTGTGTGTGTGTGTGTGTCTCTTTTGTTCTTTTGTCAATAGCTGACCATGGTGTTTATATTTTGCTTTTGTTTCACTCATCTCACTCCACTCTGGCTGATATTACCTTCACACACGGTTTCATTTTCCCAGCTTTCCTAAAACATACAGATGTTGACTACATGTTTTCTTTCCTATTAAACCAAAATCTTCCTCATTTATCCCCCTTAAACTGAAATATTATTGTAGCCTTGACAACAAAAGCTACTTAAATTATAAGGAATATTTGGGGTCTCCTGTCATGAGCATACTGGCAGATCTCAAACATCTTTCTATTAATGTTGCAATATTTCATTTCATTTCATATTCTTTATATGGTTCTGCAGTCATACGAAGAACAGTAACCTTTACAAACACACCACAGTCACAACATTCAAACCGCCCTATTGCACAGTTCCAGTGAATAGATAAATAAATAAAGGTAGGTGTAAAAGACAGTTAAAAGAGAAGTTGCAACTACATCTGTGCATTCAGTATCTTAACAGATGTTGGAATACACTTACAGAATAGTACAGAATACACTTGCGGTAACAAAATTTTCGTCCATTAAAAAAAAGGACCTATAAATGTGTCCAAAAATACTGAATTGGAAGTTTTGATTTACAGGAAGACTAATCCTTGACAATGATAACAACAAAACTCAAACCATAGACTGATCCCTTTTATTCACGACACCTGATTAGTTTCAGATTTGCACATTTTGTTAATTCACTTTAAGGGCTTCTGTGAACTCTGCTTCTTCTGCATCATTCTGATATGATTTAGTTTGATGATACAACCCAGGATCTAATTCTTCTTCTGCTGTCTGGTGCCAAATTTTAACAAATTACAGGAGCAACAGAGCTTACTTGGAACATACTTGGACAGCAGGCCTTCTGGCAGCACATTTACAAAGACAGGTCTAGGTTACCTTATTTTGCCGGCAGTAAAAAAAGATGCTAAAAGAATGTCACATAACAGCAATTTTTATTACAGCTTTTACAATAGATTAAATGTCTGCAGAGTGTGACAAAGACTTGAAAAGAAATCAACTCAGGGCAGCCTTCGTCCATTTAGAAAAAGAAATCCTGATCACTTAAGGAATTTATATTGAAATGAAAAATGAAAATCAATTTCTGTGGTCAATATCAAAGGAAAATGAAAATGGGGAAAAAAATGACAGCCTCATGCGAAAAGACAGGGTGGCTGTGTGGATAAAGCCGAGCCAGAGAGCAACACATGCACTTCTCAGTGTACAAAGTGTCGCACATATTCAGAAACAAACTATACACTAACTATTCAGACTAACTTTCAGTAAAATGGTCAACACAAGAAATCATTAAAGACAGAAAAAAAAAAAGATGGAGTAGACGGCTCCAAGGTGAAATGGCAAACTAATAGCTCATCTCCCCGAACAAAAAAGAGAAGAGCTGAAGGAGGAGAAAAGGAGAGTGAGAGAAACAGAGAGGTAAATTCTTCGGGATTGCCTTGTTGTTTTTCATTAACATTCCAGAGGAAGGTGTTGATGGACAGAGCCTGAGCTGAGAGGCTCGGATAACACACACATACACACACATACACACACACACACACACACACACACACACACACACACACACACACACACACACACACACACACACACACACACACACACACACACACACAGAGGGAGCCAAAGCACTGGGCGTGGGAAACATAACACACAACCATTGTAACCCTGACACACCCTTATCAATCAGGTCAATTGATTATACAGGCAGAGACAAAGCATTTCAGCGTGTCCTCTCCCCTCTTTTTCTGCCGCTGACCATTAGCGGCCTGATCAATTGACATGTCCGAGTGCTCTTTGAGACTGTGTGGGGTAAATGTAAGAGGTGGCAGAGGACGAGGGGCATGTCTATTTATCAACAAACTCACAACCAATGAGAAATACAACAAAGGGCTGAAATCCTCTCCGTCTGTGTCACACATGCGGAATAATATGAGCATTAATTCCTGCATGTGTGTCGGGCAATTTCTTTAATATGTACACTTTGGTTGTATGATATTTGCGTGTGGTCACTAGGTCGTGTGCAGCACATGATTACCATTATATTTGTTCCATTTCTATAATTTGTTTCTCTGACCTATGACAAAAATGTAAGAATATTAAAACAAAAAAAAGAACAAAAAATTGTCTTTGAATGGCTTTTTCCCCCCTAACAACAAAATGCTCTAACTCTGGAAAAAAAACAATTATATTATATTTTTTTATAGATAAAAAGGATCAATAAATCCGTTCATGTCTTAAAATTGTGTTGCTTTTACTTCTTTTTCCATAAAAATAATAAGAAAAAACAATAAATCTCTGTTATATTACATATAAAGGGCCTATACCAATGATCTGAATAAACTTATTCCCATTGGTTTAATATAACATGTATTTTAAATGTTTCACAAGTCAACGCAATGGCCTCAGGAAGAAGATGAGAGGTTGCAGACACAAGGGGAAGGCTGGGGGGAGATGAGGGGAAACGGAGGAACAGGAAGTAAGGGGGAAAATAATCCACCCTGGCCTGGCAGGAATTCCCCCGTGCAGTTTCCTGCTGGATTTCTGACCAGCCATTGTGTATCTATGGATGTGTGTGTGTGTGTGTGTGTGTGTGTGTGTGTGTGTGTGTGTGTATGTTTCCTGCAGGCCTCTACTAAGCGGCCAGTGTGGGGGATCTTTTAGCTCCTGCTGTAGTTTGGCTGCAGGGTCTAACGTGAGGTGGGTTCACATCTGAGCCTCCAAACCACATAACAAATGCATGTGTGGACACACACACATCTGAGCCTACTGATCTCTGACCCTGGAATGTGCACGGAGAGAGCACACGTGCACGTGTGTGTGTATGTGTGTGTGTGTGTGTGTGTAAGTGTGCGAGTGAAAGGGAAGGGGGTACTCCAACTGATGCAAATAAGGCTGTATTAACAAAAGCAATAGCAGGGGGGCTTTATAATATACACAAGGCTGCACACATGCATGTCGCACACAATCATCTTAAAGCTACAACTGTAGCTACACAATGACAAGAAAGACAGTAAAGATACTGCAAAACATGCCTGATACTTAATTCTAATTTAGCTAATTGTTTAATGCAGAAAAACAAAGAAAAATATACTGTAATACAAGTATTATTATTAAATCACACTGTATATACAGTCATTTTAGAACAGCTATTAGTGTGTTGCTATTTTTAGTACAGATAAAATTTGAAATATAAGTTATAAGTTAAGTTAAGGTAATTAATTTATTCGTAATCAGTTGTGTTGCCTGATTCGAAAAGTCAAATCCCTTCTGGTTGAGACCTATTATACTTTAAACATAAAGATTTAATGCAAAGTCAGGAGAGAGAAAAACAACACCACCAAAAATCCTATGCTGATATATGTTATTTCATCTCTTTTCAATTTGAATCTGATGGGAACTGACTTTATAAAGAATTTGCAAGATATTTCTACCAGCCATCTTTACGGCGACAACAAACACACTCATTTTGTAATATTAAAAAATATAAGCTAACAGCTTGATTTAAAGCTCCTGTGAGGAACTTTTGGTTTGTGTCATTTTTGGCACAGTTTGTAGACAAAGTGTGTCGTCTTCGTGCTTTAATCACATCCCATCCTGCTGACTTTTGACAAGCTAATTCTCATTCATTGTGAAATCTCAATGTGGAAATGATAAAAACAGGGCGGTTTCTTCAGCTGTTCTGCCAACACCTACGCCCCTCGCACCTGTTTCTGGTATTAAATATTAAAATATAAAAATCGTCAGTCCCGATGCAGATGGTCTTGTTTGCTTTTAGATATCATAAAAGGGCAAGGGCATGAATTTTTAATCAATTTAACAAACATCCAAGAACTCCTCACAGGAGCTTTAAATGTCACTTTTTTTTGTAAGAATCTGAACATTTTCAGGTCACACAGAAGCAAATGTGTACACACACACACACACACACACTCACACACACACACACACACACACACACACACACACACACACACACACACACACACACACACACTCTCTCACACACACGCACACAAACCTGTTCCATTAAGTTTAATACTTGCCTAGCAGTTCTCAGTGGTCTACCATGCACTTTAAGACCATCCTGTTGGCTTTAAGAGCTCAAAAAGCCCACCTCCCACACTAACCAAAGAATCAGGACCCTGTAAACTGTGTCAAGTGATCTCCATCGGAGAGGGGGCTGAGGGATGGCTGCAGTTTTAAAATGCGGTCCAAAACCTACAAATACTTTTGAGGGTTCAGTTGGAAGAATCAATGACAGTGAAAAAATAAACTCTACGCTCTCTCTGAACAGCTCAACTGTAAAGGGACATGTCTGCAGGAGCTGGTGATGGAGTAATGGTGCATCTGACATCAAAAGATTAATAACTTATAACGTAGTATTTTTCAAATTACCTTCAGGGCAGATTATGTTTGGGCTCTGTCCTCTATTTTGACGACAAATGATAAAAACAAACCAAACACACAAAAAAGACCTTAAAAGCCCTTATAATTCTGATTTTCACAGCCTGTGATTACATGTCCTGCAGACAGCTCCACTTCAAAGACTGCCATCCATTTCTATCCATTAAATATCATCTTTCGCGATTCATAGGCTTAAAAATGACTTTCTAGGTGCACTCTCAAGATATGAAAGGGTATTATCAAAACCACACATCCTTTTTTTTCCCTTTATCTCTTTTGTTAATTTGAACAAACGTGTCTTCTGTCACTACTTGTCGTAGATAATCTCCTGCCCATTGATTCAAAGACCGTCTCCATAAATGCTTATTACAAAGCCATTAAATTTGCCACTGAGGATGCTTATTGATCAGTAGCTCGCCTGTCCCTCCACAGTGTGAGCATGTGACAGTGAGGGCGTATGAGTCACAGTCATGGCGTTGGAGGCATAGAGAGGGTAAGATCTGAGGGCTGTCTTACCTTCTTGTCCGTGTCTGGGGGTCTATCCATACACTGAGTGGAAGAGTCACTTAAGCTTTGAGACCTACTACCACGGCCCCTGCTCCTTCGCTAAAAAAAGGTAAAGAGGAACTCCAAGTTACTGGATGAAGTCCAAGGGAAAAAAAAAAGGCTAAAATAAAAAAAAGAACTAAAAACTAGAACTAAAAAGAAAACTTCACCTTTAAAAGGCTCAACTCAAAATTCAAAAACAGTCAAAAACACTTGGCATTGATTACAAAAGTGAAGTTCACAAAAGCCAGTTGGCACTACATAGTGGAAAATGCATGGTGGTAGAGGGTGTTTCAATAATATACATTAGATCTCAACTATAACAATAAAAAACAAAAAGGATTTATCGTCTCTGAGGAACAAAAAGAAACATCTATTCTTAACCACTGTTTCAAACTGCAGTCCAAAAACATTAACACAAAGAGCCATCATGGGACAAACAAGAGACCCTGGGGTACCAACTTTGCCAAAAACAGCCTGTACGTTTTTATTGTACGTTTCAATTCTGATCAAGAACTACATCCTCAAACTGGATCTATATCACCTCAAAGCATGGATCAAACTTTAAATTTCTACTGTGAAATACAGATCTCCAACTACACACTTAGCATCTCTAATAATTGGTGACAAACAGAGTGTTCTGACCACTTGTTCCTCATCTGGCTTCACATACAGCTCACTGCATGAGTCACATGACTACGACTTCCTTCCAGACAAGATTGGCCTGATTCTTTAAGAGTAAGATGAAATCTCACAAACCATATTCAACCTCCCTAAAATGTGTAACAGCTCTTTCAACGACCCCATAACGCTTGTATATCGCTGTTGAACTCCAGTATACTGCCTGACAAGTATGCTATCTTAGACGTAGTAGCCAAGAATGGCAATTTGTGATTGATGAAGTCACATGACAAGAAGAAGAGGTACATCAGTTTGTTGTAAACCATATACTACAGGTCTATGGCTGTGTTTCAAAATGACCACTACTCATTTGCTACCTATCGTATCATGCATCACAGTGCAAAGGCAAATGATGTAAAAGGAGTTGGATATGCTGAAGTTGAAAGTTATTCATAAAATGTAACTATTTCATTAAAATAAACTTGGTATAATACCAGTTTTATATGAAATTAAAGCCTTTTTGAATGTAGTTTTAGCTTTTTCAAGTGATCCCTTTTAGTTGTGCAACAGTCGTGGCGTGCTGATGATGGCCAGTATCATCCATTAGTGTTACTTATGGCGCCAAAGGGCTTCCTATGTAATCCTCAACAGATAACTCCCTCAGTATGAGGTAAAGAGTGGTAAATGTGCATGTGATTTCAAAACCTAAATCCTGCTATGGACCCTGTTTAGTCTCCAAAACTTCACTTTCTGTTCAGCGTTTGCTAGGAAAGACTTTTGGCTTTTTTACACTTTTAATCCAACAGTTTTAAATGTTTTTGGTGCTTAACTTATGGCTTTCAAAGGACAGCTTGTGACAAAAAATGTTGCGACAAATCACTGACAGAAGATCCTGTAGCTCTTTCATATCTAAATGATTAGTAAAGTAACCCAAATTAATCAGAGAGCTGCATTAAAACTTGGCCTTACAAATGAGGACAAAATGATCATATACAGCCCTGAAGAAATAGCTGACCAAGGAGCAATTTCTTTGGAGTTTGGACCAAACAATGATAAACTAAGTTTAAAATTAGATTTGTCTTATGGCTGAGACCAGTCAAAACCATATGTTGCTAAAATGCCGTAAACATCCATCAAGTGGTATTTTATGAAACGCTCTCTGCTAACAACATTGCTCTCCTCATCATTGATTCCCTCTCGTACATTCCTGTCATCCATACAATCTCAGCTTAATGACATTATGCCCCAGCATCCAAAGCCATTCATACACGATCAATACAACAGCATGAGTCTTTCCATCAGTGTTTGTTAACATTGCAAAATGTCATCTGCGTGTGTGTCTGTTTGTGTGTGCGCGTCTCTATACACACACATATATAGCCTGCCCTGTGTTTCCATCAAACCACTGTTCCAGGAATCATCATAATCAAGCCACGTTTGTATTTTTCATATTAGTGTCCCTCCTCCGACTTGAGCACGGTGCGCACACGGGTTTGTGTGTGTGTACATGTGTGAGGTTGTTAACTGCTGGAGAGGTGGAACAAAAATCTGAAGCACAACAGGACGTCTCTTCGGTCAATGTGTGTGCCGAAAACACATTTCCTCTGCATATCCAGCGGTTGGATTTGTGTGTTGATATGCCTCTCCTTTTCATTCTTCTCTTATCTGATTGAATTTGCTTGACAAAGGCGAGCTGTCCACCCATCAGGTCCGCATTATGCCGGCTGCACGGCCAGAGCAAGGCTAACAGACCACAAAAGATGAGGTAGGGCTGCGATCATGGACAATAAACCAGTTATCTGTCATTGAGGAGTGAATGCCAATCGTGCAGAAATGTAATAACAAAAGATTCTGTTATTCTGTCCTCGCAAGGTTAACCTTTATGCCCTTTTTCTACAATATTATTCATTACGTTTTGTATTTGGATTAAAAAAAGACTTTTCTTACAGCACTCAAACACCTGTGCAATGTTAAATTGAAACCATGTGTCTGATCTGAAGCAGGAGAAAAGCCGCTAGTGTACTTGATGACTACATAATAAAAGCCAATTGACAGGAAAGGTGGGTTAAAAACTGTGAAATGAATCAGCCAAATGTTTTTCTTTTTTAAAATACAAAGGTGATGATCGAGTCGGATTATCCTTATTTACAGCTAAAATTGAAAACCAGGCACAAGAGTCCCCATCCTGCTTTTGCAAATCCAACCAAAGGCGAATGGATGGAGTCATAGATGAAGTTACGATGATGGTGGAGGAATACGGGGGAGATGGAAAACAGGGGGTGATGGGTAAGGAGTGATAAAGTAAATAAGAGAAAAGAGATGGAGGAAAATGAGGAATGAGGCAAAAAAAAAACAAAGAAAAAGACAGAAAGAACAAAGTGGAAGACGAGAAATGAGGCAAAAGAAAACATGGAAGAAGAAAGTGTTGGTGGGGTCATCAGAGGTCATTCACAAGATTCTCAGTGTGTGTAAACTGGTGTGTACGTTGTGACTACCGGGCCATCTGTGATTAACTTTCTTAAACAAAAAACAAACTTTCATTAGGGCTGTCAAGAGTTTTTTTTCTAAACTGTGATAAATTTCAGAATTTCAAATCACATGTATAAAATTCCACAATTTCATAACAGTTTAAGTCTGGATTTACAAAAAGTGATTTTTGCCAGGGTCTTGATTTGGGGGATACTGCACTGCTATGGTGACCTGACCAGAAATCAAAGGGCCTTTTCTGTGAAATACAGTGTTCATTTTTATCCTTTGAAAGATACAACTGTGCCCTGACAGCACACAAAAGGTGATTCCATAATGAGGAATATAAAACTCAAAGAAAATACTCAGTTCTTGGGGATTATGGGTATAAAAGGAGCTTTACACCTATAATCTAGTGAAATGTAGTAGCAATGTGTCAAAAACAAATAAATATTCTACCTGAACAAAGTACATCATTAAATAAATTTTAACCCTTTCATGCCTTTTGTATCATATTTGATACATACTTTTATGATACCTCTATCAAATCAATATGATCAACAAATTACTAAAAAAAACCACCTGAAAACAGTCCGATAAATCATAAAAATGCCCAGTTTCCAAAATCATCTCATGTATCAAACGGGATAAATAAACATAAACATATTTATTACGTTTTAAGGACATTTGGATTGTTTTGGTTTTCAGTAATAAGTGAAATAAATATTTCAGCTCCAAAAAGAAACTGAATTTCCTGGCCATAATTTGTGATTACAGGCATTAAAGGTCTCAAAACAAACAGAAAGAAAGCAGTTTTCTCTCCATTCAGGTAAGAAGTATTGTTGTGTGTTATTTTTTAGAGTCTGACAAGAGAAGCACAATCTCTGGAAAAGTCACAGTTAAGAAAGAGGACACTCACCAATTTGCTGTGGTGGTATTTGCAATATCCACAGTACTTGACATTGTCTGCATCCGATCCTTGTTCCTCACATAACAACCCTGCGAACTGGGCGCTGTGGCAGAGAAAGTGTGATTTATCATTCAGTGTGATGCAAAAAAATATACAACAACTGGTATCCTTATGCTGTTGGGTAAAACAGTAATTTCCTAACTTTAAAAAGCATTATGGTTAATATAATTCACTGAAAACATGTGAGCGACAGAATTGAACACTGACAGTGACTGAAAACTTTTCTTCTATCATATAAAACGCTTTGGTGGAGTTTTGAGTGTGTAACTGAGAAAAAAAAACAACAATCTCCCTCTTTGTGGAGTTAATGTGATTGAAACGGGTCTCACCATGTGACGTGGAAGGCCTGCCGGCAGCCATGTTTGTTGCAGGTCATACAGGCTCCAGAGGCTGCTTTACTCTCTCTGCCCTGGTCTTCACAGATGTAGCATGTCTGCAAAAATACAAAAGAACCATTTAAACGAATCAAAAGACTCTTTCCCTTCGAAAATTCCTCAGAAATGGATTTTCCAGCATGTCTGGATTCGTGGGCATATTTTGTCACCTTGTTGTAGCGCTCGTGTGGCACCGACTGAAGGACTATCGGCTCCATAGTTGACACATTGGCGAATTCCACCTCAGGTATGTAAAGGGCGCAAACCACATGGGCCCAGCCTGTGAAGAAACCCAAAGAGAAGGAGCCATCAACCTCTGCAGCGAAAGGAAGGGAAGGACTACATTTTAAGGTTAACCTGCATATTTGAAATCACGTGTTTTCGGTCTTGAAGAGTAATAAAAGCGTGATTTGTTGGTTTCAAGTTGTGGCAGTGCTTTGAAATTTATGGCGAGAGGGACAACGGCTGATAACCTGCTCCGTATATCGCCTACAGAGTTTTATCAGCTGTGTGAACAAAACAGACTTTATGTACATTCTTAAGAGGTGTAACTCATACTTAAGGTTATTAAAAGTAATGATTAAATGTTGGGACCTTTTGAATCAAACAATGAATGCAAACCACAGCTCCCTTTACATATATCTATCTAGATAAAGTGCATGATTAGTTTGGTCTCTCTGGGGGTTTAATACCTGGTGAGAATTTGATCATAGTTCAGGAGTTCAGGGCAGACCATGGGATTGTGTTTCGTAAATATCACTGTTCATGATGTACTGGTATAAACACAGACACGGTCACCATATGGGGAGGCTGTTACTCCTCCTCTCTTTGCATGTGCAACCCTGCCGTCCCCCCTTACCTACACCAAACATAGTATGTCGAGCCAAAAGGGTTGATGTATAAAACTTCTCTGGCACAAACAAAGCACAACCTACATGTGGCCTTGAATCACCATAAAAATGCCAAAATGCACTTTGGGCTACATTCACCGAGCAAAAATAAAACAATAAACTTTGCGAGAGCCGAGCTGTAAATATGTTAAATTGCAAACTGGTTGTTAATCCGTCCGGCTAACACACAGCTGCCTGTCAGCAAAGACAAACTGGGGGCGGCGGGATGACAGTGGGGCCTGCTGGAGTGGCAGCAGAATTGACGACGGGCAAGGAGGAGCAGGAGGAGGTCGGCGCGAGGTCAAATGGAGGTGGGAGTCTCCTGCCACACTGGAGGTGTCTGTTTTTCCCCCGTAGCGGAAACAAAAACAGGCTTAAACTTACAGTTGAACCCCTGACCTGCCTTTGACCTGGTGAGCGGGACAGGAGGGGGGAGGAGGGCAGAGGGCGGGACGGAGAGGAGGCGGCGGGTGTGAAATGGGGGCATGTTGTTGTTTTGAAGTCCCTCCAAGAATCTGGAAGAGGCCTATAAAACAGGACTATAAAAGTGGCACAGCCTGCCTCCGCAAACTGAGCGTTCAAACTTTTACCCCCCGAATACCAAACAAAGAGCAACAAACATCCTTTTCCTCACGATGCGCTGAGACAATGAGCCGGAGTTTGGCTGATTGGGTGTTTTCTGGTTTCAAAATGAACAGAAACAGGAAAAAGTAGACGGTTTGAGATGATGAGTTTATGGCTTTTCTTGCAGGAAACCACAAGAAAACCCTGACACCAATGTCAGATAAAAATGAACGCATGATATTTCATGTTTGACAAGTTTCAACTGAGATACTGCTGAAACAAATTTCCTCTCGAGTACAGACTTGGAGTAACCTGCTGCTCATATTTCATAAAAAACTTTCTTATTGGATGCAAAGTATAACCTTTTTATACCTTCCAGAGTGCAACTTCTTTTTACTGCTATCATTAGAGTACCAACTTTGAAGGTATATCAAAAAAGAGAGCCAGACAAGCTTCCTTCAATTTAATTTCTGTCTCTCTTCCTTTCTCCCCCCTTAAAGATGTCGGATTAAATACCCATTTCAGACTAATACCTTTACTCTGCTTTATTACTGTTCCACCTGAAATAACAGCGACTACCACACAGATCAACAAGTAAAGAGGGACTGACAGGAGCTGAGAAACGGACGGTCGGGGGGGAAAGAGACGGTGAGAGAAAAATGGGAGGAAAAAAGAGAGGGAGAGAGGGGTCATGGGAAGGGTAAAATAAAAGAGAAAGTAGTAAAACGGTGTGTGTTAGTGTTGTCCTGATGCCTCCCTGCAGGCCTGGACACAATCCCACAGCTGTGCCGCTCTCTCTGACTGACTCACACACACACACACACACACACACACACTCACATACACACTGAATATTTACAGTCTCCACCAAGCTGACCTCCCAATGAACCCAGAGAGGAGACTCCTCACAGGCCATGCACTATACCCATCCTGGCCCGCCCCCTCATAAACATACACACACACACTCACACACTCTCGTAAAACATGGACTGGCAAAGTCGGTGAAGAGAGGCAGCACACACAACAAACAGCAACATAACTCTCCCAGCACGCTCACACCCCTTAAACTTGCCGGTGACACGCAATTAATGAAAAAATACACAAGAGGCTCACCACAGATGTGTGTGTGTGTGTGTGTGGGATTCTACCTCCGTTGTCTGTCCTCTTGAGGGCTCCATCTTTGTGGGGACACAGCTCACATCTCTGCGGGAGAAAAAAGAAACATGGGGGTCAGGTAAAACAGGTTGACCAGCTCGGTAAGAAAAAAAAAAAAAAAAAAACACACACAAGAATGACAAACATGTCGGTGAGTCAGATAAAACGGCACATGGCCCTGACCCGGGCGCAAGGCCAGGAACTCTCCCGGAAAACTCCCCAAAGATCTGCCACTAAAGGCTGTTTTTTCCCAGGCGTGTATCAGCAAAAACAGGTCCTGAGGTGACTCCTTCTGATGATCTGGTGTAGCTTATCAACACTGAGCACAATTTGTGTGACTGTGGCAAGTAGAAAGTTGCTCATGTGCACTTTTTCCCTCTTTTTAAACTGCTAAACATATGATAGTCCAGGTGCTTCTATGACAACTTTCTATGTTTTAAAGCTGACATAGAAGCAGGTGATTGTTTCAGCAAAATGTTTGTTGAGCGATTAAGCCAATGTGTAAGGTATGTCGGCGGTCGGTGCCCTCAAAACACACACAACAAATCTGTTTAATCATTTTAAGAAGCTCTTCACGAGTGATTCTGCAGAAAGCATGAAAATGTGAGTAGAGTCTGTACAGTCTGTCACTGCTGACTGTGCGAGTTGCATTAGCAGGGTAATTTGTTTATTTTGGGTCTTACATACCTGCAGAAACACTTATGACTGTGAACTAATTCACTGTATTATCTAATATTTATCTACATTTGTTGTCCTGTTGAGTTAAAATGGTTTATCTTATTTAATTTGCTTTGTTATTTACTTTGTATGTTAATAAAATGTTGAACTAATCTGTAATTTCTTTAGTTTTTAGTACAGATGCTTTAAAACAGGTAGTTTTAAAAAAAATCATGATAATAATCGAGATTGGGGGATACAACAAAATATATCGTGATCATTTTTCTTTGCCAAATCGCCCAGGTCTAATGACACCTGTCCACATCCTTTTGACAAACTTTCTTTATAGCATCATTTCAGCTCTGTTGAATTGATATTGCTGTAAGCTGCACGTAAGTCCTTTAAAAGGTCCCCAAATGTGATTGATTTCCACGACTCGGTTACAAAGACACATGGAAACAAAGCGCTATCAAAATAGGATCATACTTCATTAGCTTAACGGCATTAGCTGTGCTGTGAGCTGCTGGGTATCAATTAACCTCCCCAGCCTGCAAATAAAAATAAATTCACCTCTGTCAATTTCAAAACAACCAAGTGAGTTTGAGCTCAACACAACATGAGCGTGGACACTTAAAGGAGGATGGTGAAATGAAGAGCATAATTTTTATTTTTAAGTTATGTTTTGACTCTATTGTTAAAAAACAACAGAATAAGTCCGGAGGAATCATACCTCTACACACACAGCATTGACTCAGTGTTTTCCATATCATAAATAAATCCTTCTTGGATGAGAGGCAAGGATGTAGGATGCATAAAAGATTCAGCGCCTAGTGAGGCATTACTTAATCTAACACAACAAGAAGATTTGTGACCTACAGGCATAAAAAAACTAATTCTTCTGAAAATTCTGACAAAGTAAAAAAAAGGAGGGAGAAATACAAGCTTTATAATGTTTCACTCTAAATACTAAAGTAACTACTTTGATGATGAATCATTTCTTAGGAACAAGCAGAAAAACCAGGATGGGGCAATTGGAGGCAATCTTTAATCACATTTACTTTGAATCCACCAGGGCAGAGAACATCACCTGAGCCAGGAGGAAGATAGTGAGTTTAGAAAAGCAGGTAGAGAAAGATAAGAGCCTCTTCTATGTAACCATCATGTCCAAAGAACAAGATGTGAGGAGAGGAGGTACAAGCTAAGAGGGAAGAGGAAAGTAAGTGAAGTGGAGCTTTGGCTCAATTAAGTGCTGCGACAGACATGTGCTTATAGTTTGTTATGGAGTCATGAGTTTAAGCTTTTCATTCAGTAAGACTGCTTTCCTACAGACTACACACTAAACATAACATAGACGACCACCTCAGGGCAGCTGCTGAGGAGTAGAGAGCGCTGAAAAAAAGGAAAAAAGAAAAACAGCACTTTTCAGTATAAAGGTCCTTACACACCGGGATCAACGCAAATATACGACGCAAAATTACGAAATATTCAGAGGCGAATTTTGACGCAACTGACTATTCACATCAAGCCCGATGCGATTTTGCGACTTTCCAGGGGGAAAAAAGGCGCATCCCGGGTGGAAGCGAGAAGACTGACACAACAGCAGACTGACTGTTTTTCAGTTCTGATTAGACACTAGTGTTGAGATGTCTGAGTCAGGGGCCAGTACCAGATAAGCACATGAAACTGTGGTAACACCCGTTAGCTTACGTTAGCACAGATGAAAGTTAAAACAAAGATGTTTAGCAAACTGTTAAAGCACACAAACCATCGTCATATGAGAAACCCGACGCTATGACTCTCCACAAATTGTCCTTCAGGTCGTTATCTTTGTAATATTTGTGTTTTTTATCAAAAAGCACTCTGATCTCTGATACGTAAACAATCAGCCGTCGGCCATGTTGGATATACCAGTGAATCTGACGTCGCAACAACACGAAATCTGATTGGTCATAAGTGGACACAAAGTATGCGAAACTTTGGAAAAATCGATAGTGATACGAAAAAATAAATGCCGCAATATCGCAGGACAGGAAAACGTCGCTGATGTGAACGCTTGTATTGACAGGATACAGGTTCAAAAAAATTTTTGACTGAAATAATCACACAAAAAAAAAAGTCCCGGTGTGAAAGGACCTTTACACTTTCTGTTTTTTGTTTGTTAGTTCACTTTTATTCAGGCCATTACGGTAGCTGCATTTTTTAAAATCCTGCACACTGGTTGGCTTTGAGGCAGTTATACCAGTACAGCATAATGTGGTTGAAAACAATTTATTATGCTGCAGACAGCTTGTTTTATTTATCTTCTGAGTCCATTTAGACTCCCAGCCAGAGAGCACTGACTGCACTGTCTCTGATTTGGTTGATCTAGAGATAATGTCATTAATGTTTTATGATGATAACTGGGTGTAATGTTAGCCAACAAAGTTCTTCTTTGGTTTACTTCAGCCCAACTGTGTCCATGCCGAAATGCTGAACCAACCAGGTTTTATGCAGATTACTCAAAAAAGATACTTATCACTGTGACCGCTGTACCAAAAAAGCCTTTTCCATCTGCTGTTTTCACCCCTCAACACTTTTTTGTACCAGCATGTAAATAACAAACCTGCTGTCCCTCATCAGATTAATGGGAAAAAGGAAAATGTAGTTATCCTGCTACATTTCTGCAGGAGATACTTTGCCCTCTGTGCACACATGACTACTGCAAGTGAACAGATCATTTCTAACACCTGTATCAACAACTTCTCGAGTAAATCTTGCCCTGACAAAATCTCGACAGGTCGTCAGAAGTTTGCCGGGGTCACATAAAGTTGAAACTCAACATCAACACTAGTGGGCTGCTGTTACGCTAAGTTTCACAAAAAGACCATGCAAGACATTCAGGCTTTTACACCCAATCAGTTCTGCCGTATTTGACTCAGTACAGAGATCTGGGTATGTTGATACTACTTTCTTGGAAAGTCTGTGTTTTTGAGAGAAGTCCTCCTGCCTGACCACATTTAAAGATGCTGCCAAATCACCACCTAGATACCTAAAGATTCAATATTCACTGTCAGTATATATGAAAAACTTTGTGTCTAACTCGCACTAAAAACATAAACCTGAACGCTCCGTGCTGTTTCACAAATCAGTTTCGAGAGTTAAGGCCTGTGTCCACTGCCAGCGCTCATAACATACATTTCAGTGAACGTATAACTGGCACTTACTGTTCTGAGGTTACAAAGAAACAAAAAAAATTGACAGGGATCACGTTGTTGCATTGTAACATCTCCATCAGCCATTACTGTCCACAATATCAGGGGTCCGGGCCCCTCTTGATATTGAAGTGCGCAGCAGTGGTCAAAAAGTCAACAACTAAAGCATCAGTACAGCGTTGTTTTTGTTGTACATGAGGTTCACGCTACTTTTTCTGCAGATGAGGTACACGCACACATGCACTGTCCAATCATACTCCGACTACGCTGGTTACATGGTGGAGAAAATCAAAATTCCAATCTCATTATCTGGGTGTCTTAATCAGCGTTCTCAAACTCTGATTATAGTCGGACTAAAATGTTTACATGCACTTCAGCTGTCTGGTCTTAATCGGAGTAAGGCAATAATTTGGTTTTCTCGAGTGTCATGTAAACATACTGACTGAGAAGCACACCAAAATGAGCTGATTCTTGACAGACTTCGATTATCTATTTAAGCTTTACTATCATAGGATCAATGTTATCTTCCTGCTGTGAAGGCTGCAAACAAACATTGGGAACCACAGACTGTCTTAAATAAAAACACCACTCCAGCATTTCTGATTCCTGTTCTGCAAATGTGACTATCTAGAAACCATGAATGACGAATATCAAGATCCAAAATGAGAAACATTCGCTGACCCGTCATTTTTATTCGACACGGTGCACTGTTAGCTTAGATTGTACTGATTGAAGTGAACAAGAAAGCCAACAGTAGAGTCACATGGTATCCAGATGGATGACACAGCACAGACAGAGTGTCCTTAACATGCGTTTTGTTTTTTCACTGACACGTTTCAAGATACAGGACCTAACCTGACACTATTTCTCAGTCAAGTTTATTAATGAAAGCAGAGTCCACCAACAGTCCCTATTCAGGACTTCACTCAAATATGATGAATGGTAGACGGATTATGTGACTCACCACGCGGGCTGCTCTCTCCTGAGACTCACACTTTCTGCAGAACCAAGGACCAGTGGGCACCTGTACGATGCCATAGCAGGCTGAGGAGAAACAGAAAGGGGAAATTTGAGTCAGACATGGCAACCACAACAAAAGACAGCGTTCTTTACCACAGAGTATCTAAACGGAGATACAGCAACTACACCAAACACGATAAAATCTGAGAAAAACAACATCACGTGCCAGATGGCAAACTTGTGTCTAAACTGGTTTGAATGAAAATATGATGTTTTGATGTGACAGGAAGTTGATACAGTTGACTTGTGATCCTACATACTAGAATCCCCAGAGACAATGACAGAATTGCTGATGATGCATTGTTTAAGTCAACACACAAAAACACAGCCGTAGCAGTCATAGCTGGTTGCCGTATCTTATATATATGGCTACATATACATGATATAAATTACATATAATTGTTGTTAATTTGAAGCAGTTCAAAACAGACTGCCATAGATGATCGAACAAGGAAAATCATAATTATAATTTTATTTTGCTCAATGCAGATCAACACAAATCAGGACCATGAGACAGGGGAGGACTTGGTTTTATATAGAGTAACAGTTCAATACTGTTGGTTTCTTACCTTCATTTACACAGACAGCTAAAGTTTTGAGAAAGTGGAACCTTGTGAACAACAAACACAATGACGGTCTATGTCAGAGTGTTTGTGCTGCTGTCTCTACAGAGTTCATTAACACTTTTTCAGTTAAGTGTAGATTTGCTGTTTTTCTTTTGTCTTTGTTGTCTGTCTGTCAGTCTGTCTGTTTGTCTATACTCATCTCTCTGTAAAAGCTTTATGTGCAGGCATGTGGTGTTCTTCAGTGTTGTTGAGTTACTAAGTTATACCAACAATTACTGGCATACAACAATGGTTTTATTCGGTTTTTGCAGATAACTACGCACATGGATCATTTTCACATCATCGTCATATTGCCTTTAATTTAATAGTTAAGAAGTGGTGATCTGGTCTCGCTGTCGAAAAGATCCAATTTTCTGATGAGGTTGTTTCAAACTAAGAGCCAGCGTCCAAAATTAAAGTCCAAACTTTAATAGTGAATATTGATAGCTGATACCACATAACAAATTATACCAATATTGTTGTGGCTGAAATGCTATAGCACAGCCCTACTAACGTGTGCGTGAACAACCTAAACTGTCACTCTGCCTCGCTGATTTGTAAAAACTGTTTTATGGTGAACAGGGAGATGAAGGTGCGTAACTTTGAAACCAGAAGCTAGGTTAGTAGTTGAGAAAGAACAGAGAAAGTCCCCTATGTAAAAGGTGGAACCAACAGGGTGAGTTTGTGTTTGGAGCTTGCGATGTTGGTTAATAGGACACATACAGTAAAGCGGCATGATGACATCATGACAGCGTTCTTCACTGAATTGGCTTCCTACCAGCTCTGTGGTGGAGTCTCGGCATAAATGGGGCTTTAGATTTTAACTTTAAGTAAAGACACTGGGACCTCGCGACCCTAAATATAGCCTACCTCTACACATTTTCAGATTACCTCTTATCAGACAGGAGTCTATAATCCACGGATTACGCAGCTATAATCCCAATCTCAGCTACGAACATTCAAGGGTTACCAAGTTCAAATGAGTAAAGTAGTACAGAAAACAAAGATTTACAGAAAAAAAGAAAAACGCCTATGTGATTCAGATATTCTGCATGCACCGCATATTTGAGTCTTATTACATGCTAGCCAATGTCACTGAAATTAGGAAAATATTCAATCATTGTTTAAAGACCTTCTCTTAGATTTGAGTCAACTTTTAAAGACACAGGAGACATGTTTTTTCATCTGTAATTCGTCCGCTGGTACTAATCCTCTGTAAGTTACTATCTGTGAATTGTATCCTCTAACCATACTATGTGAAAGCCATGCACAGATTAAATACAGTACTGAATAAACCTAATAGGATAATGTGAAAAACCCCAATTGATTAAAAAGCCATGGATTAAACAAAAAAAAGGTCACTTGCATGTTATCCCACGTTGATCAATAAAAGACTTTGAAAACCAGTGACAGTTGAAAATTGAGAAATAACCGTGTATTACCAACTTTGAAAAGGTTGTAGAAATGGGGATGTTGCATTATCTAACAGTTTGAGTCTGGGCTGAAATGCTCACCAAACACAAGAAAAATAGGGCACTCAATGGACACAGTTAAAAGTTCCTATTTCCACTCTATTTATAAAATATATAGGCTATTTGAAAAGAAGCTGTCACAACTGTGGAGCATATCTGGATATGCGTTTGTATGGAATGACAGTATACTCATTCTTACATGGATTAAAATACTGTTAAGTTTGATAAGCCTCCCATACACATCAGATTCCAGCTTTTGCTGCTCAGTTACACTTTCTATGCAAGCGTAAAGATGATACAATAGAGTATAAAAGTTTTTGTAGTGGATGAGATAAACACTGAGTGTACTGGCTGTATTTCATACCACTTTAAAAACTTCAAGAAACCACTTTATCTTGCACAGTATCATTCCGTATCTTCTGATCAGTAGTTACTCTTCATGCCTGATGTGTCAAAGTGTGTTGTAACCCTTCATGTGACACTCTGAGTGTTTATCTAGTAATAAAACTTTAAGTCACATCATGACTGTCACAACGACTTTAACCAGGCAGGGAGAAACATGTGGATCAAATATACTTCCAGGTATATAAGAGTTGGCCTGTTAGTAGATAATTACAGGCCTGATCCTGTCAGGACTATGTCACAGTATAACACTTATAACTCCGCTGGATCGCCAGTGATCCCATGTGACACTATTATGGATCGCCAGTGATCCCTTGTGACACTATTAATATTGTTTACAGTTTCTCGGGAACTATACTGTGTATCTCTATGGGATGAAAAGTGTTCAAAAGCTTACACTTTTGGCGATCTATCAAGGGTTTTCAGGCATTTCTACATCTTCCACAAGGTTTACAATCCAGCCACAAAAATATGTGTTGGATCAGAGAGGTTTAATGGTAATTCCGCAGTGATATACCAGTGAAAACATGATTAGCTATCATATTATTGTGATATATGAAAAGGCTAAAAGTAGTTACTCTTTATGTCTAATGTGTTAAAGTGTGTTGTAATCCTAAATGTGACACTCTGAGTGTTTATCCAGTCACAAAAGTTTTAAGTCATATCATGATTGTCACCACAACTTTAACCAGGCATGTGGGTCAAATATGGTTCCAGGTATATAAGAGTTGGCCTGATCCTGTCAGGACTATGTAACAGTTTAAACAGTAATGAACTAATGTAAACAAACCCATATTATGTGTGTAAATACACGGGCATTCATCCGCGTGGGTTTAGAGATGCTGACTTTGCAAATAGCTGTTGCACATGGCCAGCTGTTACAAGTGTAAACAGTGAGCGTCATCATCTGAGTCATTTAGGGTGAATGGTCCTCACTGTCACTGTACATTAATAAACACGTGGATACAGGCAATTATTGTTTTTAATTTGTTAAACTCAAAGTAATAAGTGCCGTTTACACATTTTCCAGTACTGAATTTTAACTCTTACTAGCTGTCAGTGGTCTTACTGGCGTGAGGGATCCCTGATAGGAGACTTGAGTGGGCTTCCTCACATGACAGCGACTGACAGGGAAACACGAAATAACTTCCACCAACAAATGTGCTCACAAACAGCTTCAAACTTTAAACCAAAGCGGATTAAACCAGCTAAAACCAGGGTAGTGGAGTGCTCTGCAGCATTAGTTGAGCCTGACCTCAGCCCGGCCTTGGTAGAGGGGAAGCCGGAGGAGGAGGCTGCATACGAGGCGCACTATAACCTTGTAACAACACAACGCTAACTGGCCTCACCGTGAGGCTACATGCTAACTCCTGCCCGAGCTAACAGCAAAGCTTACCTTGATGCACGGCGACGTTGCAGCCATGTCCATCGCAGTAAACCAGAGGGTTTTCCGCCCAGCCTCTCTCGTCAGAGCAAACACAGCAGCCACCGATCATCTCCTTCATATTACTCGTCGAGAACTCGTCGTCCGCTGCTAGACAACGCTCGCCGGAGACCATCTACGAAGAAAGCGGACATGCGGAAGAAAAGCTCACAAAATTAAACCGAAACCTTCGCCAAAGACGGCCTCTTTCCCTTACGACGCTACTTTAGGTCCCACTCGGTCGAAATGTCATGTTCCAAACGTGTTAACGTCCTTTTTTGACACCGTATTTTTATCACCAAAACATCTACTTCACGGCGCGGTGGTGAGCAGAAGAGGGGGACGTCGTAGAGAACAGGATGTGCGTAATGACGTAAGGCGCGTATACGTGCGTAGGGAAGCGTCCTCAGCAGCGTTCCATTTTGGCTCCACATGGTCAAAATGTTTGAAAGTTTCACTCCTGAAAAGAGTCCACGTTACTGCTCTCTGTACTGTAGCAACGCGGGAGTAGGCTGTTTCTGACAAAAGAATACCCAAAGCACCTCAGTAGATATAAGCACAATGTTTACTGAAGAGATATGTCGGTTTTAAAAGTGTGTTTACAAAAGACTTGATAGTCATTTGCTGAGTTTGCAAAAAGCACAGCTTAGTAAGCATTGAGAGAAGGCTAAATACAAGAGTGACTGTTTCACGTTGTAGGTCATATTTAATCTGCCTTTCTTTTCTTGGGGACCACACTTTTCATTTTAACAGAATAGTTATATTAGAGCAGAAATATTTGGCAAAATATGCCAAATCATTAAAACAGGTTTTATTAATGATTACTCATAGAAGTTATTTTAAACTTAATATCATTTTCTTTTCCTCATCCATATTTGGCTATTTCTTTTTCTTTTCTTTTTTTACTTTTAATCTAAATGTACCATCTTTGGAAAGATGCATCTGAATAAATCTTGAGAAAAAACTTTTGCAACTTTTAAATCATTAATACACGACAAAAACTAAAATCTGAGCAGGTATCAATTGGATTTTAGATAGGACATAGATGTTTTGTGTCCCATTGATTTGATATACCAGTTTTGATGTATATTTTCCTGTATTAGTAACAAAACATATATTTTTATGTATTAATAGCCTCAAAGATAACTTTTAAAGCAGTTGTTTGGGTTCATATATGCATATATTACCTATACAATACATATATTTAGAGTGTTGTATTCATTCTATGACATGAAAAAAAAAATCACAGCAACAGATACAGTTTGAATATTTTATTTACCAAAATAATAATGCCAAAATAACATTAAATTTTCTACATGTTCGGTGACAGACAGAAACAATACATACTAGAAAAAGCTTATTTAAAAAATGAAAGTGACTCTACAGAACAGGTGTGCCAGTGAGGAAATGTGTTGGACTTTTTATTTTAGTTTGTACCACTGATCAGTAACCTAAAAATCACATAAAATATACTGTACAGTTTAATCTAAGTGGGTTGTCTCTAAAATGTTCTCCTGCGTTAATTATAAAACATTGAACTAGTTTTTGTGTTGCTTTGTCATATAGATAAGTAGCTAGATTGTGTCTGAAAATATTCTTCAAGTTGCAAATATACTTAATGTTTTTTCACTGAATTATTTTGATATGACAAAGAATAATTTAAAAAGTATTTTACAATAAGTAGGTAAAATAAAGTAGCTTATGTTTTGCTCACAGTTGATAAAAAGTCAGATAGCCTGAGACCAAATTTTGAAAAAAGGATGGGTGTTTTTCAGGAATATTGGTTTGAGGCTGCATATCAGACCTGTCAATGTACAGTTTTGTTTTGACAGCAGCCCCATGCTGTTGCCAAGGATGCTCCAGAGCACACACACACACATACACACTCACATGCTATTCCAAGCACTCAGCTGCTGCTTGCATCACCGATTCCTCTGAGCAAGCTCCCGCTCTTGGTTTCCAGAGAAACGTAATGACTTGCCAATAATGCGCAAGAGCACACGAGCGTCCTCCGTGTAATATGGTGAGTGAGAGGTCCCTGGGAGTGCCTGCCCATTGTTTGCTTTAATTTCAAATTGCTCAAATGCTCCAGTCGACACTGGGCACTGCACTAAAAGGGGGAGAGGGAGGGATGGGGAGCTGGGGAAAAGGAGGAAAAAAAAGTGAATTGTGTGTGGCAGGGGAAAACCTATTAGAGCTAGAGAGAACAAAGGGAGGCGAAGGAGGGGGCAGCCGCTGTGGAGGGGCCCATATAGCTACTGAAACACTGAAAATGGCAAATGATTTTTTACAACTTGCACTTGATTAAGTCAAAGTCTGCACGAATTATGTATAATGTTCTTTAGGCTGTTGGATAGGAGCTTTCTCTGAGACAGAAAATTACAGCAACACTGTCCATCTTTAACCACCACTGTGACCTCTAAGTACATATAGCACTGAGAGCTTTTATATAATTTAAGGTATTCTATCATTATAACACAGCAGTGCCTCCAGAGATCATACGTCAGAGCTTATGGTGTTCATTGTGTAGATCTGCAAAGTTGTTTCGGGCCAGGAAACCCACTGCAAAAGTGTACACGTTTGGATATGTTTGCAAAAAGTCATGTTTATGAAAGTTGTTCCTGTCCTGAACTGTGAATTTTTGCCGATGAGACACACAAAATGATGGACTAAGATGATGAATTTATGTCATGGTGTCAACAGTTTTTGTCTGTTTGCTGCACTGTAGGCAAATTATTTCACTTGGGGTAAAAATTGCCACAATACCCTTCAAAGAAGTTATGTTCACTTTGGATATATATCTATATTTTAAACATATTTGAATTTTTGCAAGCCTTTAACCCAACCATAAGAAAATAAAAGGGTTTAGTTGAATGTTTTGCAACATGCTCATATGTTTATATATATAATTTATTCTTTTCTTAGGTGCTTTTTATTGACATGCAGTAACTGTGCAGGTGACTTCAATGCAGTCAAGATGTAAGAGGTTGGAGCATTCTTCTGATTGAATTCAGGGCATGTGTGAAAAGCTGAGAGAACTTTTGTGGTGTGTCTGTGCAGAATCGGGAGTGTAAAAATACACAGAGAGGAGACACAAAGCAGCTCCCACACACTCAGGCGTTTCACACATCTGATATCATAGTATGTTTAGGGCATTAAATGCAAAACATGTGATTGCATGCCATTTTTTTAAAATTATGTTTCACTTTAGGTGCTTTTTCTTAGAGTGTATATCTAATTCAGTTATTCTTTAAGTGCTAACATTTTCTTTGTGTCGTCTGTTCCTTTTTAAACACCCGACCCTTTATAGGACCTGAACCTTGTCCTTAAAGCTGCATCCTTTATTTGCTTGACTGTGTGTGTGTTTCTTTTCTCTAGCAGACATGTTTTCACAGATTGAGCTCGTACATTTCAAGAAATGACAACTGACAGCTGAGTGCGGGACTTTTACTTCTAAGCACATATTTTCTTAAACAGACTCCATATGCTTGTTTACAAGCTATTGATGAGTAATGTGTGTTTTTATGTTCAGTAGGCAAGTCAGAGAACATTGCCCACGACTAAACATTGTGTGTGTTACAAAAGTTATGTTGCTCGACATATTTGAAATATTTTTGCACAGTCTTGCATTTTTTTTTTTTTTCATTCTTAAAAAAACATAATAGAAAGTGTAACATCAACATGCACATATTTTCATCACTGCTGTGCATTTGATTCCACAAAGCCAACAGTTTAATGATTGTTCACCTGGAGCAGCCACAGTGAATGCATCATTAAATCTAAAGGAGTATTACGCTAGATTGGACAGTAATTTAAAGCCGTAGAGCTCCATATCTATGGTATGGGCATCCTGGGACTAATTCTGCATGTGTGTTTTGTGTCTCATGGCAGTTTATGGTAAATAATATTTTGTTTTTTATTGCTATAATGGTTGTGTTGGATGTGTGCAATGTCAGATAGCTTTGTCCCAAGAGTATTGTATTTGGAGATATGACAGAAAATAGGAGACTATGGATTACTCTTTAACACTGGTTGTTTTCACCATAGTGTGGCCTACGAAGTTTGACGCTGATATGAGTGAAATCTTGATAACAATAGGACCATCCAGCTTCTATCTTGGTTACACCAGATTTAGACGCATCAGTGTTTCCTCGTGCTCTTTTCTGTGGTTGGTGAGTAGCTCAGAGAAGAAGCCCAGGAAAAAAAATACAAACAGTCCCAACACGGCGGGGTGAAAGGTGAAGAGTGCCCCTCCCCCCACCACTGTCCGCACACACTTCAGGCTCGGATTGCATGTAAAATCACATTCTCCCGGGGTGGTTGGGGGTGGAGAGGAATTCATTGTTTTGGCATGGGGCAGTGGGTTTGTGTCATAAAAAGTCCATGCGCTTACAAGTGCCTGCGCCTCCTTGACCGAGTGTCTCCATAAAACTCGGTGCGGAACAAACGACTCGGGGCTGCACGAGCGACATGTTTGGTTCAGGGGGGAAAGAGTTGAGTTGAACACACTGACTTTAGATTTTTACGGCCAGTTAGATCTGAAAATGTACGCACAGCCAATCCAAACTAATCACAGTTTTTTGTAGGCTATTAAATTTTCCAAAATGACGGCGGAGGAATTCTGCTTATTTTTCATGGAAGGGTTTCAAACAATTTCACTCCTGTTCAAATCTAGGTTAGCCTGCACACATCAATACAGCACTGGTCATGTGTGTCCACTATGAGTGTGTGTGTGTGTGTGTGTGCGTAAAGGCTGTGTCCTTACCGTAATCCGTCTATCTGCCCCATTAACCGCAGTAAAGCAGTGGAAAAATGAAAAAAAGTTGTAAAACAGCAGTCAGGAGCCACTATGAGGCGAATGTCAACTTCTCACTTGCTCAAATAAAAACTAATGAATTATTAATTCTTTTCCAATTTGATATTTCTCAGCAGTTTACGTTTTTACTCCCTCGACATAACCTACTTTTTCTACAGCTTACAGCTTTTACATTACTCAAAATGAATATATTTATAATGGTGCACAACTGTGTAAAGTCTTCATGTTTGTGTTTTTCAAAAGTAACACATTTATAGATAAATCTTTTTCTTGTTTCTACTTCGCCTCCTTTTTTATTTACCCTAAATTTATCTCCTTAGCCTAGATCTATGCGCGTAAAAGTCAGTCATGGCACGTCTTTGACTGTTGCTCCAGCTGACTCTATCAAGTCTAAACAGGATCTGCCATTACTAGTAAAAAAGCCTGTACTGCGAGATTACGTCGACTGTGGCATTCCCCACGTATCACCAGCACACACACCGGGCTGCTGTGAGAAACCTCCCCGGTGTTTAAGGTCTTCTTCTCGGTCACTCGAGCTCTTCTTACTCCCTTGTGAGACCCCCGGTGCTGGAGAGGGAGGAAGAAGTGCCCTGTGGCATCTGGTGGATCACAAATCTGCATGACAAAAAGTCAGTCCTTGATTGGAAATGCCTTACTAAAAAGGATTTTGGTTCAAGTCAGTAACTGTTGATATATTTTAGTTTTTAATTTAGACCTTAAAATAGAAGTTAAGAACTTTCTGTGGCACTCACAACCTCGGCGATGTTTGAGTAAATTCAACTTATGATGCAGTTTAATTTTGTGGGTAATTCACTTTGGTAATAATTCACAACTTACATCTTTAATTATTTTAAAATATTACTGATAATTTAAGGTGTGTGATAGACTTTTATTTCTTTAACAGTGCTGTTTTATAGACATTTCTTTTGGACCAGCCTCACGAACAGATTTTGCTGTTTACTCTCTTGATCATCATTAAGCTCCATGTCCCGCAGATTAACCTCGCGTGGGGGTTGGGACTCTTGGAAAATGGTAATTAATTTACAATAATAAACCGCCATTTTGACAGAATATATTTATATCTTGACATAAATACACTCGTCTCCTGTTGTAGAGTCTAACTCTGGAAATTGGAGATGCGTAAAAGAGAACTGCGTAGTTTACACAGGTTTGATATTTGTAAGTTATAACCATTGGCCATACAATCCAGGGGTAAAAGAAGTTAAGTGTGTTTAATGTCTAATATGAAGAAAAGTCAGAGATGCAGCGGACAGGACGTGAGATGAAATAAGCCCTGACTGTCTCTTCCTCCCTGCAGACTCCCGGGCCGCGCACGTTGCACCGGGGCACTGGGATCTGAGTTATTCCCCCGGGGGATCCGGACCTCCACAAGCTGCCCCCTCCTCTCCCTTTACTCTGCTGCATCCGTGAAACTCCTCGTGCCCCATGTATTAATGCTGTCATACAGAATCAGCACGTGAACAGCGAGTTTTCTTTTCTTTTTTTCTTCTTCTTCTTCTTGCTCCAGCCGGAGCAAACAGGTTATTGGTTGTATTTGAAGCGTCGAGAATGCAGGTCAGAGTAGGCTTGGCGGTATGGGAATTGATGAGGAGTTAACTGATTGATTGTGAAGAGTTTGCGAAGCACATAGCACACATACTCTCAGATTGTAACCCAAAGGTGCACCGACTCCTGAGTACACTGTGACAGGGCTCCAAACTACAGCCATGTCGTGTTGAACTCAAAGTTTGAACACTAGAAGTTTTAAATGGTCTTTACGCGTCTACAAGAACTAATTCCAAACCAGGTCCTAAAAGCCTCTCTCAAAGTACAAAATTTGCTCCATGACAAAATTTCTTCACATTGGCATGAATGTAATGTTGCAATACGTTGACCTTAATCCTCGGTGTAAGTGCGCACGACCGTTTAACACAGCCAATAGTACCAAATGCGTACATTTAGGCTCCTCCACCATTGTTTATCATCAGTATATTTATTTTAAGCCACATTCACACGCTGTTTTCTTAGAGTATTTGGCGTGTGCAGTCTTGCCAATAACTCCACGACCACCAGCCATGATCATGTTTTCTTCATTCTTAATTGCGTTTATCTTAATGCACACCATCCAATCATATTCAGAGAGCTATAATCACAACGCCCACATATAGAACATCCTGTTTGATGTAACACCGAGGTAACAGCGTCGCCATTCAGCGTACAGTCAATGCTCTGTAAATAAGCAAATAGGCTTAACATTGTGGAGATGAGCGTGCCCGGTCTTGAGTTTGGCCCCCACGCGCACGGCGCTGCCCGTGAGGAACGGGCCACAAGGGACTCACGTGTTTTACAGATAACAAAGACGAAACATAACGCGGAGAGGATTGAGGGAATATGGCTGCAGGGGGGAAGCGCAATAGCTGGTGCAAACAGCTTTCTGTGGACCTTCCGGTGATTCAAACAATTAACCAATTTAATACATAGTCACGTTAGAGGGTCAGAGTTTCAGCCTGTGTTTCCTCTCTTCTACGTGGATACCTTTGGTCACACACATGTTTGACTGTATGTCAATTTGGCGTGCGCGTACACCTTTATTTTTGCTTATACTTTCTTGGTGTGACTATGTGTGTGCGTTCTGTGCGCACAACCCTATAGTGCACGGCAAGGCACAGCGATGTGTGTGTGTATGGATGTGTATGCATACATTACGCACATGCGCAAAGATAACATGTGTAAATGTGTACAAAGCAGAATTGAAAGGCCAGAGCAAAGAGGAATAACCAGAAATTAAACAGAGTTGTCTTTCCTTCAGAGAAAGCTGAATATCCAATTTATACAGTTTCTAAAAGCTACTTGTTGATATTTATGCGTGGAATTACCCTCAGTGTATTCGCGTAAATCTCACAGCAAAATTAAAAAAAGAAAAAAAGGAATTTGGTTAATTATTAAATCGTGTTTTCACGTCGTGCAAACGTTTTTAAACCTCCACCTCCAGCGAACAATTGAAGCGGCTGCAGCTTTACATTGTCTGGAAAATCATGTGGGAAAAGCAACCCTGACTCTGCGCTTTCAATCTGTCCAATCACTGCTCTGGTGTCCTCTGCCATGCAGAGTGAAAAGTAGGCTAGAATTTAAACGGGCGATTTACCGGTTTGGCATGACTCCACCACATTTACAAGGAAATATTTACAAAATTTACGGTAAAACCTTTGAGCACTTTTAATGCCAAACTCTTACAATTACATGCGTAAAATGCGAAAATCACAGAGCAGTAACTGGGGCTTCGATTTTCCATACATCTAATTGGGAATTATCTCTCTCTCTCTCTCTCTCTCTTTCCCTCACACACACACACACACACACACACACACACACACACACACACACACACACACACACACACACACACACACACACACACACACACACACACACACACACACACTCCACGTAGTGCATAGTACAAGGACGGGGAATAGGTGTAAAAGAAACATTAAATTGCCTCGGGTATGGCCTGGCGAATGAAAACAGTCCTGTGTATTTTGAGCTTATATTTTAAGGATAAGTGGGTCAGGCTATATGTGAAACATCGAGGAACAAAATCAGAAGGAGAAAAAACCTCGAAAAGCCAGCACAAGCAGAGAAGTTGAGCTCTGGTCAGGGCAGCAGCCTAAACGCTGAAAAGCAGCTCTGCACGTGTGAAAAGCAAATGTCTTTGTTTAAGCTACGCTGCGTTCACACACATTAGAAACCTCCAAAATAGCCAGAGAGTGGAGTCATTTTACGAGTATGCAATCGATTACATATTCTGTGCGTGAATTTCATGTAGACTGTGGGAAATACAAAACATTCCTGAGTTATCATGACAGCTTGCAGACTCAGACTTCAGTCTGGTAATACGCGCACCCCGTGTGAACTGAGGTGAATCTAGCAGCTCTAAATATGAACTTGTCATGACTGCGTTATTTACTTAAAAAGCGGAGCCAGTGGGGGTAAATGTAAACTACCATAATGTTTGGGTGTTGTAGGGGGTGGAGATGGAATATCCATTTTTATTGCATCACCTGTCAGCGTTGTCCAATGGGCGTTGACTCCGGGGGCATTAATTGATGAAGGTGTCTCCAGACCGGCGCACCTCCCCTCCCTGTCATTTTATTTGTGGCTCAACCAGCAGCCAGAATAGCAGCTGCATTTTAGCTCTTATTCTTTTTCTCTCTGTCTCGGACTCTCTCTCTCTCTCTCTCTCTCCCTCTCTCTCTTTTCTCCCTCCCCTCCACCCTTACAACTCCATCTCCCTCCCTCTCTCTCTCTCCCTCTCTCTCCTCGCTATTTTATCCCTCTGGCTGAGGCAGTGGTATACACCTACCCCTCGTCCTGCTGCCGTCCAGAGGGGAGTGGAGCCGGCAGAGGCAGGTATCAGCAGCAGCAGCAGCAGCAGCAGCCCAGGCTTTGGTGGACGCATCCATTGCATTCCTCCACCATGCCGGACCCGGGCGTGAGGCGACGTGTGGATGCTGTCGGCTCATTCAGCAAATCAGACACCGGCAGCTCCATTTAACTCTGCATGTCAAAGTTTGCATTTCATGACGCAGCAGCAGCAGCAGCGTGGATGGATTAAAGGTATGAGCAGGATGCCTTGAGCTCGCCACCCTGTGCCATTTACAGGTAAATCCCTCACATACTGAAATTGACTACATGGATTGATACATTCAAGCGGAAACATAAAACATGGGAGACCTGGAGTGTGGCTTTGAGGAAATGCAAGGAGTGAGGCTTGGGTACCTGCTCATCCAAGGCAAGCAAATGTTTGCTTTGTCTCAGGTCTTCACCGACCTGCTCAAGAACATCCCCCGGACCACGGTGCACAAGCGCATGGACCACCTCAAGGTGAAGAAGCACCACTGCGATCTGGAGGAGCTGCGGAAGCTCAAAGCAATAAACTCTATAGCTTTCCACGCCGCTAAATGCACTCTGATATCGCGCGAGGACGTGGAGGCTCTGTATTTCTCCTGCAAAACGGAGCGGGTGCTGAGGTCCAACAAAAGAAAAGCGAAAGCGGTGTGTTCCCCCGGGACTGAGGATGAGTCCCCGGGGCGTCTCGATGCGGACGCTGAGCTGTGGAAGGAAAAAGTTTGGTTTAGTTTGCACGGCGTCCCGGAGACACTCTCACTCCACAGCAAAACAGGCAAGAGGAGAGAGCTGACTCCTTGCCTTACCGACTCCAAACTACCTCAATTTTACCACAAAACCCACGGGCGGGAGTACCGTTCTGTGACCAAGTCCAGTCACAAACACTTTAAAAACTATGAAACAGCAAAAATCGCAGGGAACCGCGTTACTTTGAGCCAAAGGCACCCCTTTTTCCGGAGCGCTGTGAGCCGGCAGCCGGTGGTGCTTCAGTCCGCCATAGCTGCTCAGTCCAGGCTCTCGCGCTCAGCCGGCGACCTACTTCACAAAAGGAAGAGGAGGCGCGAGGGGGGCGGCGGCAGGGACAGCGCGAGGCACTCGTGGAGCAGAAGCAGACACGCGCACCACCACGTACCACCGGTGCTGCTCGTACAACAACCCAAATCCTCCGGCGGTCACGCGACTTCTTTCGGTGCTTTCCACCTGAGTTCGGATTTCTATCTGGACCCCAGACCTCACCATCATCACCACCACCAGCACCACCATCATCATCATCACCACCACCACGAACCCACTTTCCCCGAGAGTTACAGCAGCGACAGCGAGTCCAGCACCGCGTACTCGGAGCGTGCGTACCCGGACTCGGATTTCGGGTCGGGTTTCTCCACCAGCAGCAACTCGGGAAGCTCCGAGGAGGAAGAGGAGGGCGAGGAGGACGATGACACGCAGTCAGAGAGTTCAGAGGTCAGCTCCGACGAGGAAGAGAGCTCGTCTCAGTCCGATTCGAGCTCGGTTTCCAGCCGGGTTTCGGTGCAGAGCATCCGGTTTAGGCGGGCCCGGGTCGGAACTCTCGCCAAAACTCTTCACACTAGTAAAGCACCTTTGGTTCTGGAGCCCACGTTTCACTACACCAACCAGCAGCAACAGGAAAAACCACACAGGACTGTGGGTCACGATGTCCCCCCACAGACAGCTGACAGCAGACAGGACTTCGGACCCTTACAGCCACCAAAATTCAACTCCTCTTCTGTTGGGGAGAGCTTTTTCACCGAGTCCAAAAGGGAAAAATCATTCGAGTCTGACCCTGTGGATGAGCTGACCCATTGTCCACCAGGTCCCAACAGAGCTAAGGCCCCACACTCCTCACGTAGGACACCGGGGCTTCCCACAAAGTGTCCACAGGGACTGAGCTCACAGTGGGACCACGACGCAGACGCCAAACCTCCAAAATCTGCAGAGAAAAGAGAAGCAAAAGCCCCCAGCCTCAAACTGCCAACTCCGAAAAAAATCAAAATCGAGGCAGAGGAGACATCTGTGACTATCTTCCCCCTCTCTGACAGCAGCAGGACAACCTGGACGCCCCCCATCAACCTCCACAATGTGAAAGTTAAAGTGGAGGAGAGCTGTGATGAATATGAATACCAGAGCCAGGCTGTTTCACTCAAATGTAAAGGAGATAAGACAGAGAGCAGCCAATATCCAAACGGAGCCATCAAACAAGGGGACTATTTGACAGAGAAGAATCCTGATGTGGCCCCAAAGTCCCCTTGTGGCCCTCAGGAATGCAGGAGCACCCAGGACTCCCCGTGTGCCGATGAAGGGGATCACAGGGGCAGACACAGCAGGGCTCTGGAGAAAAAGAAATCCAGAGTTTCCAGGACGCAGACGAAACAGAGCGTACCAAGAGTCAACAAAGCTGCCTCTTCCTTTTCCTCTTCTTCATCCACCACCTCCTCATCCTCTTCTTCTTCTCCTTCCCTTCGTCCAGAGGAGTCATCCACGGAGGATATACCGAGCAGACGCAAACAACGCAGCGGCCATAGCTCTGCTGCTGCTGCTACATCGCCGGCTGCTAAAACGCCTTTCAGCCTTATGGCAAATTTCCCATCCCCGCCGTCGCTGGTTGTTGGCAGCGACGGGGATTTGTGCCCCGCTTACTCCCTGAACTCGTTGAGGGGCCCCGGGCCTCCCCCTCCGTCCCACCCCGTGTGGAGGTGGCAGCCAGGCGGACAGATTCTCCCTCCCCCACCCGCTCAGAGAACTCGGAAATACTGAGCTAAAGCAGAAAAACAAAAGCCCCCTAAAAATGTGTCCACATCCAGCCGGAGTCTTTACGTGAGCCCTCTCGAACTCGCTCACAACTTCATGGGTGTTTGTTATTATTTTTCTTCCCCCCCTTTTTTTTTCTGTGAATGGGTTTGTTTTGAAGTTTGATCGGGGATCCCCTTCTTCTACTCCCGGAGCCTCATTGAACGCCCACAGGACTGTGAGACACCGCGCGTGGATTTACGCTTAAAAAAAAAAACAAAAAACTGATGTTAAACAAAAAGCTGTCAATCCTAAGCAATATGTAAGGTTCTCACAGTTGTGTTTACTTGACTTTTTCCCCCCTGACTGTTTCTTCTTTGCTGTCTATGCTCGACCTGTTGGATTGTATGGTGCTAGGGTTTCAGTGGTTTGTGCTTTGTCTGATAGAGGAGAGAAAAAAAAGGAGTGAGGAGAAAAAACACAGCATTCCTCAAAGCGAGGCTACCATGGCTTAGTTTGGATTAAGAGTGACTTTTTCTCGCTAAATCAGAAAAAAAAATCAGGGTTTCCCATTCTGTGCCACTCGGTATATTTTCTATATCTGAGCTCTGTTTCTTTCATGACTGTCATGCTGGCCAGCTTGGCCACAATGGCTCATGTGTGACTAATTCAGAGAATTCTTTAATAATGGGTTTAATAATGTCTCTCTATACGTGCTCACACTCAAGCCTTTATTGGATTTGACAGGATTTTTTCTCCTGGTGGTTGTATTTTTTTTCTAGAGTCCTTGTGATCTGGTTTTCATTCTTGTTTTTATCTCTGAGGACTATTTCCTGGTTTTGCAAACATGTGGTGGCTGCGCACCGACGCAGGCCCAGACACAACACAGGCCTTATGTACAGACAATCAAAAGAGGAGAAGAAATCATAGCACGTTAGCTCCCACATGACAGACCAAGATTCAAGTCCCTCCTGGTCCACTTGGCCATTGATTTCTCCTGAATGCAGGTCAAACACAGAGGTAAAAGACAGTGCCAAAGAGAGGCTATATATGGATGGGATGTGGGGGCAAAACCAGCACCAAAAACAACCTTTAGACACCTTTCTGTAGCTTCCACTCAGAAACAATGCGACAAAGCACAAGTTATGGCTTAAATGCATTGCACTTTGAAACTGTTGGGGGTCATGTTACAGCTTGAGGCTAGCCTGTGAAATGATGTCTGAGGGATGCAGATGGGGAAAAACACAACTAAAGAAGGGAGTGTTGGCTTTATTTGAATGCACAAAGGCCAAAATGCATTCATTTGACTGCTATTTGAATATTAAGGATGCACCCAGATGTGAGTTGCTTGCAGGCCACGATTTTGATTATAATTTGCTTGTTATTAACCTGGTTTTATTAGAGAAAACAAATCAAATCACCAACAAAAACACACTACATTTGAAACACCCCAAATAGGAAACATAAGGAAATATTGCTGTAGAGACTCTCGAATATGGCCGCCCAGTGAATGTAGAACCCGTGCCCTGATTTAGGTTTAGGAGAGTTAGATCATATAGTGGAAGTTGCACCTACACTTCCATATTTAAGCAGACGTCTAGATGTTTTTAATGGCAGTGCAGGACGCGCTCTGCTAATTGGCAGGCTTTTTCTGCCTGTGACAAAGAGAGGCCCAGCTTATGGCTAGCCAGATCACAACAAACCCAAAGCCCGTGAATGATGTCAGCCCCCTCTCACACACACACTTACACACAGCAAAGCAAAGGGTGCGCTCATTCAGACGATTGTAGGAACTATTTAATGGGTGATTGTAAAAAATAAAAACATGTACAGAGAGAGTGAGTTTGCGTAAATCAACGTGGAGGCATATGGTGAAGTCATGTTGTTTAGGACTCCACTCTGCAGCCACCATTGGCCTCATTCCTGAGGGTCAATTCAAACTTGAACTTAGGTTATATTCCCAGCCTGGTAACTGGCTTTTTTTCAAGCCATGGCACAAGCTGGTGTATGCGCAGTAAAAAAAAAAAGAAAAAGAAAAAGATAGAGGGGGTTGAATGAGGTTGAGGGAGAGGAGGGAAGGGGGAGGTGGGATTGCTGTGTTGCAAGAGAAGCTTTCAACCTTTAATCCGCATGTCAAAGGCATAGGCTGCACAGCATCGGGGAGAAGAGGAATAGCCAGTGCGGGTTCGCCCCCCTGACGCACCAGCTTATTCTCACGCGGCGCTCACAATGCGCAGCGGAGGCACGGAGATGGTGGTAATGGCCTGTTGGGAGGGCCTTTTTCCACCGTAAAGACAAATAGCTCTCTGACAGTGACGCTATCAATGTAAACAATTGCATCGTGCAGCAGCTAGAGGCTGCATCATGCACTCTCTGACTCCCCCCTTTTCCTCTCTTTTTCCTCCCCCCCTTACCTCCCTGCCCTCCTCACCCACTTCGCTTTTTTAATACAATACTTGAGGTCAGGTTTTTTGACATGGAATTTGAAGTCACTGGTTGTTTATATGAAACTGAATATTTATTTTTGTGAAATTTTCTGGGGTTTTTCTTGTACCTTGATTCTTTGTGAATATATATTTAGAGGACAACTGCACTCGAAATGGAAACTTGAACGGTGGATTTCTGAAGCACTTTGCCTTTCTTTTTTTTTTTTAATTATGAAGCATTCATTAAACGCGACTGAGTGTAATGAAGAGGACTCTTTCTCTTTCTTTTCTAGTAGATCATCAGGTTTTGTTCTGTGCGAGAGATTTTGTCATGAGACGATTGATAATACTTTTAGAATTTTAGTTAATTCATAACTTGATGGATTTCTTTTGCCTTTAAAAGTATTTGTGTGTGTGTGAACGCAGCTGCTTTTCATATCTGATTCATCATGTGCTGATTTGCCACCTTGAACACCTGCAAACTTCCACTTTAGTCTGAAATGCATACTCTTACAAGGCAGTGATGGAAAAATTATACCTATCATCGTTTTTATCTTGAGGCTGAGTGATGACAGATTTAAAAGAAATGGACCCAAAATAGACTAAAATAGTGCCAATCCACACCGTCAGTGCGTAAAAGTTTGAATATCAACACTTAACATAGAAAAAAATGACCATGTGGGGTATCTTCAGCAAGTTAAACCCTTATATTTTAACGTATCAGAGAGGGATTCCCCTCCCCGGTGTTTTTAGGGGGCTGTGTGGCGGAAGGGGTGGTATGGCCTGCGGAGCCAGCAATAATAACAAGAGACAAACCGCAGACATTTACGCATGCAACCGCTGCACATGAGGTGGTGCAAGGCGGTTTAATACATGAAGCATAGAGGTAAAACCTCAATAAACTGGCTCACACTGCAGTCCTGGACATCACACAAAACAAACAAAGTGTAAGCCTCTATATTTACGGGACGCTTGTGTGCAGGGAATGAAGAAAAAAAATCATTATGCCCCACAATAAAAAGCTACACGGTTCTGTAGTAGGAAAGCAAGAGTATATTGATGCCTTACGGATAAAATACAATGAATTTTACAAACATATATACCTGCAGGAATACAGCTAAACTCGCCCAAAGGCTGTTCCGCGCTCACAACACTATGCAGCGAAGGACTGTGCAACTTTTTCCCTAAGCCCTGAGCAGACTTGCCCTTCGCTCGATCTGCCATGTTTGACGTGATGTTTCCCTGATTAATGGGACTCTGCGGTATACGGTCCAGGCCAAAGCCCCGAGGTTGATAAGGGGAGCCGGGGCAGGCAGGCAGGCAGGGAGGCAGACGGAGAGACAGGCAGGCAAAGCAGACTGGCCCCAGCACGGGTAAGTTGTGTGCTGCTTCTGCTGGTGGAGCCTGAAGGGGCCATACTGGGAGCAGAGACGAGCCATTATTCTGCTGCTGGCGTTTCAGGGCGAAATTCCAGTGCGGATTGGAAACCAGTAGACTGTAACTTCTATAGAATAACAATGGAAAGAATACGCGGAAAAGAACAATAGAAACCTCCAGACAATTTGGTTTGATTTAAAACGATAACGTCGAGTTAAAAAACCTTTTGGAATGACACTTAACGCTGACAGTAGAGTTGTGCGTAATGCTGACAGACAAACTGCGCGTCAGGCTCAGCGTTTTGCATTGATCATTCAGACAATTAAATACACACACACCGATAAAAGCTGTCAGGACATTTTTTATATTTAATCTCTCAGCTGTGAAGTGTGTTCCTGTCACTCATCCGCTCACCCAGGGTCACTCCCGAGCACAAAATATTTAAGCGTAAAATACATCAATACACAAACGCATTTACGACTACATTGGGCCACATGGGAAAGATTTTATAAATATTTAATGCATTTTTTTAATTCACAAGAATATCATAATTCTTAAGCTGTACTTTCTTGTTGTGCAGTGTTTAGTTTGTGTGTGGGTGTGTGTGTTTTTCTGCGTGTGTGGAGTATAAGGGATCACGGATAAAGAAGTTATTGCAGGTTACATTAATAAATCCCACAAATTGCTACATGTTATGATTTGACAACGGTGTACAAGAGCTACACAAAGCCTCAAGTTCTGGAAATAAACTACTTATTGGATACTGCTGTAAATAATCAAGTGCATTACAGGGAATTCCGCGAATTTTCTAAGACACATTGCATGTTCAGCCACATCACAGGAAACCTATACACACACACACAATTCAACACACGAGCGTCACATGTGAGTTCACGCTCTGGTTTGTGCTTCTGATAACATTTAAAGCCCGTGCGCAACCAACCAGGCAGCGCGTAATAGTGAGGAAAAATTGTTATATTTATTCTGTTGCATATCATCATTAAAAAATACAGGCAATCTCTTTTTATTCAAATACGTGGAGTTTAAGTGTGAGTGTTCCTGTGTCCCCATATGATTCCGATTTAATCCAGAGTAGGGCTTCTGTAGGAGGTGTAAAACATAGTTTTCCCACGGCTTCTCCACGAGCTCCACTGTGTGACCCATGTGCCTTACCCGATTTAACATGAATTTATACAAGCTACAGATCTGGGAACCAGAGTGGAT